TTGTTATGCTCCTCTCCAGTCCTCACCATCCCCAACTTCTCAAAGCTGTTTGCCCTCTTTACAGACACTTTGAAACTCAGAACTGGTGGGGTCCTTGCACAAAAAGGGGCTGACAATGAATGGCATCCCTGTTCCTACCTCTCACAGTCCTTGGTGGGGGCTGAGCAGCACTACCAGGTCTATGACCTTGAAATGCTCGCCGTCATCCATGCTCTGAAAGCCTTCTGCCCCTATCTTCTTTCCCCTGTTGAACCAACTGTGGTCTTCACCAACCATAAGAACTTGGAATACTACCACAAGCCTCAACAGCTCACCCCTCACCAGGCCCATTGGGCTGCAACCATCCAGTTGTACCCTATCCAGTTCTCCTGGCAGGCTGGTTGCCTACAGGTCCCAGCTGACACTCTTTCCCAAAAAGGCACTCTGGAGGAGCCCGCCCCAGTGGCCATGGTCCTTCCCTCAGACCTTTGGCTTTCAGAGGGGGTGAATTCCCATGTTCACCTTGTTTCACCCTCTTTTTCAGTTACAAAAATACAAAAACAACTAAAAATTAACCATCTCTGTAGAATCAGACATCTACCCACACAGATCCAGCATTTGAAAAACAACTCAAAGCCATATTCTTGCCCATCTGAGGAAAAGTCAAAAGAGAAAAGGCTGCCTGATGCTTGCCCTTTGAGGAAACTGGTAAAAGGAGCATGAGGAGTTTACACTATATCCACGGACCTGTATGAATGTGTCAAGAATGACACATCAAAGGATTTGACAGGTCTGGAACCAAGGGATAATGTCACAATATCAGAAGACAGGACAAAACAGTTCGGAACCACTCAGTTGTATATTCCCCCAGAGGATTGTCACCACTGTATGTGCTCATATCATGACCACAAGTCAGCAGGACACCCCAGAAAGAAGGTGATGTTTGCAAAGATGCAAAAAGAAGTATGGTGGGAAGGTATGGGAAAGGATATATGAGCATATGTGGCAGGCTGCCCTTCATGCCAAACCACCAAGATGGTGACACACCCACCAACACCACCCATTACCCTGCATGATATGCCCAAAACCACATTTCTGTTCCAACAAATATCTATGGATCTCATCATGGATCTCCCAGTTTTGGGAGAACAAAAATACAACTTGATTCTCACAGTTGTCAATCAGGGGCTGTCCAAAGCCACCCTGTTTGTTCCATGTCACAAAACTATTGACTCTGTCAGGATCACCTGGCTGTTTCATCAGTTCATTTATTCCCAGTATGGCATTCCTGAATCGGTAATCTCTGATCAAGGACTGCAGTTCACATCTTCCTTTACAAAAGAGTTGTACAAAGCAATAGGGGTAACTCCTAAACTCTCAACAGGTTACCACCCACAAACCAATGGAGAAAGTGAGCATGTCAATCAAGAAGTGGAGGGATACCTTCAGCTCTACTGTGCTGAAGCACCTAACTTGTGGGCCACCAAGCTCCTGTCTGCAGAGTTCACCCACAACTCCCAAGTCCACTCTGTACATCAGATGACCCCTGTTTTCCCTCCTTTTGGGTTATGACCCATCCCCCTATCCCAAAGTAAGGCTGACTGCAGTCCCCTTGGTAGATGAAAGGCTGGAAAGGCTGGCTTCAAATTGTGATATTGCCATTCTTGTGCACAAGAAAGCACAGGACCCAATGCGTTCATGCTCAAAAGGGACTTACATACCACCCAAGGTCAGATCAAAAACCAATGCAACAAGATTGCCCCCTGACATCTTGGCCCATTTGAAGTGACTCAGGTCATGTCACTGGTGGCTTTCTGGTTGGAGCTTCTGCCTACTTGGAAAGTACATCCAGTGTTCCACACCTCTCAAATCTACCCTTATCAAGAAAATGACACATATGGGAAAATTCCACCAGCACCACTTCTGGAACTTGTCAATGATGAAATTGAATGGGAGGTCAAGTCAATAATAAATCACAAGGTTGACAGGCACAGAGGTAAATGAAGATATTTGGTCAAATGGAAAGGGTTCCCACATTCATCAAATACTTGGGAACCCAAAGAACATATAAAGGACCATGCTTCAGATGCCCTCTCCCAGTACAAACTCACCCATCACCTTCATAACTAAATGGACTCCCCCCACTCCATCAACACTGAGAATGACTATGCCAACCTCCCCACTGCAGAATCCCTTTATGACCCTGCAGCCAACAGAGATGACCTGTTCATACCCCCCATCACTGTCTATGCCCCAACCTCACCTTCAACATCCCCCACCAGTTTTTCTGGCTCCTACCCCTCATCCCCCATCTCGCAATGCTGCCCAACATCACCCCCTCTCACCCACCCTCTCCAACCACATCCACATGCAGGTTTCTCAGTCAGGAGGGTCCCCACACCCAAAACCAGAGTCCCCCTCAGAGGGGACAGTAACCAGTAGGGAAAGGGAAAGGGTAAAGTGTGCATTGGTGATGACTCTGATAACTGATCAGCTGCCCCCTCTCAAGCCAATGCTTCCAAATCTGCCCACCTTTGCACCACCTTCACCACCTATCCTGATGGACCACCACATGCAGCCCTCAATCTCCTCACCTCAGCCACCCTTGCCAGGGATGATGAGCAGCAACTACCAATTGCAGCAAGTGACTACCTGGACATTGTTAGGGCACTTGACATCTTCCACGATGGACACAACATTGACAGGTGCTCACCAGAACAAGTTAAGTATTTTGGGCTGCTGTCTGAAATCTACAGAGCAACAGACATGATCAATTCCACTGTCTCAAAGATATGCACCCAGAAACTTGCTGGCACTGCACCTCTGTCAGAGGTAATAATGTTCAACATGCTGGAGTGAAGCTCTTCAGGGCTTTTAGAAGCTGTTACTGGTGGTGCCTATCATCACCTTCTCCATCAGCAGATCAGCAAGTTTCTTGCCCCTCCTGCTTCTCGGCTTCTTGATCAGATTTGCCCAAAACAAGAGGAAGCATCAGTTTCCTGCAAACAGGAAGAAGTGAAGAAAGCAGAACAAAAGAAGGTTGATGAATGGAAGGTGATGGAACTGTCATTTGTTGACTCAGGAGATTTATATAAAGAGGTTGGTGCCCATCTGGGAACTGGGACCCATAACTCCACTTGGGAGGTGCTGTTACAGGATGCATTGTGGGCCAGAATTCACAAACACTATCATAACGCTGTCCATGCCACCGACCCTCTCCCTTCAACTCCCTTCATCCCCATCCCTCTCAACTAGCTTTGTTTTTACCTTGGAGGACAGTCCCTGGTACCGGTCGACCATGTACTTTATCAACATGCATGCTTCCAGTGTCATTACCTGGGATATTGGTTGTGCTGCAATGGACATGGCTCCCACTTTACTCCAGCCCTCAAAGAACTGCCATCTCCATCACCAACAGGACACATTCCCACATCTATACTACTTGTTGACCCCTTTCTTCCCACCCCACTAATGTGCCAGGCCTGTCTTCAAGGGTCTGAGGACCTTAGAGGGGGGGTGATGTTATGCCTGCATCAGGGGTCTTCCCTTTTTCGGCTCCTTGTGGTCACATGCATCACATGCCTTGTTGCATCCCTTATAATCATCACCATCCTAGGGGTTCATATGCTGCAAGGCACATTTGGATCTCCAGCTGTCAAGGTATTTCCAATACCTGTTGAGACCATGCCTGTGCTTTGATCTGGTATTCCACTGCCCTCTCTGATGGATGACATGCTATATTCTCACCTTCTGACTCATATGTAACTCATTTATGTTGCTCAGATGTTGTACTATAGTTCTGGTGTCTGGCTCCTTACTGCACATTGATTGTGCAGCTGGTATAGCCTTTGTACCCTTGCCTACCCCCATCATATGACACCATATGACTCCTTCTGACTTATGTATTTGTCTGATTGTTTTGTTGATTACTGCAGATATGTGTCACATTGTGACTGGTACGGTACTCATACTTAGAGGTATATAAACCTGTGTACTTTACCTTGTATCCTCAGTTTTTCAATAGCTTGCAACTCAACTAACTTCCTTCTCTTTCATCCTCATTCCCTCCTCCATGTGATCTCAGAAGAACTCACCAGAAGGAGCAAACCTCTGCCAGACCTCAGAGATAACTGAGCCATAGGGGTTATGACAAGTTTGGCCCATAGTCTCCCCCTTGCACGCTTCATGCCTATTCCATTTGAAGAAGTCTCTGTGCTCAGGCATAACAGTTAACTCCTGTAGGTCCTGTCATTGCTTTTCCCTGCCTGGAAGAAAACCATCTCAGTGAAGTTGGAAGCAGCCTTCACCCTTCACAAGATGTAGATCCACAAGTGTCTAAGTGACTAAAATTCAGGCTGAAAGGGTCAGTGTTTACTTATAACAGTTTTCAAATCTATTGCAGCCCAGACTCAAGTGTTCCCTCAGGCAAGCTGCTTTAGTTTTGGTATAGGTAGGCTATGGGACAGGGACCTATATAATGACAGGTCCCAAGCTTCATCCAGTTAACTGGTAGCCCAGTATGAGCACCAAAACTTTCAGTGTGCTCCACAAATCAACCCCACCCTGGGTGCCCACTAGCTCATGATCAGTGTTTCCTACCCCTTTGTGAATTCCCTCACTGCCCTTGCTTTCCAGACAAGATACCATCCATGTGGCTTATACACTCAGCACACATATCATCCTTGCTGCCTTGCCTAGACTGGTTCCAGATGTTCCTGTTCCCAAAACCCCAGCACATATTAATTCAATACCAGCTTCTGAAAGGCAGAAGCAAGTAACCACAATCATCAGGGAACTCATTGAGAGGCAGATGTGTTTTGCGCAAGGGAAGTCAATCGGTGACCGTAGCCAGAAACCACTTTGGAATTGTGTCAACCGCTATGTCCGGGTATGCAGACATGATACCCTGGGAACTGCTTTGACTTTGTTCCTCGTTCCTGCAACTGGGTTCCCAAAGGAAGTGAGTTCAACTGGCTGGTTTCCTCTTATGTTGGTAACTGGGATTTTAGATATGGGAGACCATGCTACGAAGTCTTCTGGATTCGGCATCTGCATCTCTTGTGGATGAAGTATGGTCTTGGGAAGCCATCAATCAGGGAGACTTGGCTCTTGTGAATGCAGAGAGTTTAAACGAAATTTGTAGGATGCTCCCACTGTGGCGTCCATTGGATCTAACATTCCCTCAGTTGACTGGCATGATGATGCCCGTGACATTGTGAACTTTCTTTTAAACTACCTCCCTGAGGAGACCACCCCTGCATCGCTGCCTACTTGCCTTGCTCATGTTCCAGAAGCTGTGAGTAACTCATGCAAAGAACTTGGCTATCACTGTCGGAAGCTTGTGGTAATTGGTCACTCATTTGGTGGCACTTCCTCATAGGTGTTTGCGTTGCTAAGTTTGATGATTGCTCATTTCTTCTTGTGCAGAGCCTTGGCAGCTTTGAATTTCCCCAAGTTGTTTTCGTCCCTCATACTAGTGGACCCCATCATTACAGCTGAAAAGACTAAGCTTGTTGACGAAGCTGTCAGGTTCGCTGTTAATGCTTTTACCATGCAAATGTTTTGGTCATCTCGGTGAGTGCTGGTTTTGATATAGTTGCTTGTACTGATTGATATCAGTGGAGAAGCCCTATCTCAATTCAAGGAATCACCGTTCTTCACATCCTGGCACCCAGACGTCCTGAAGACATATGTTGACCATGGGTTGGCTGTAGATACAGCGGGCAGCATCAGATCGAAAACGACCAGCGTCCAGGAGAGCCTGACCTTTGTCAATGTGCCTGTCTTTATCGAAGTCTGGGAGTTGTTAGAGAAACTGGATGAGAATATCACTCTTCGATGGGTAGTACCGTCACCTGGGTAGGTTGTCCTACTCCGCTTGTGGTGCAACGCTGCACCAGAATCGATCATGATCTTTGGATTCATTTTCAGTTTCCTTGGAGAAGAAGATACCAAAGCGAGGGTTTGGCGTCGACCAGCCAATACATCTAACATGGTTTTCTCCTTCGCTGGACACCTTGTATGTGACTGTCCCATCAATTTGAATTCCGCACTGATTTAATTCCCACATCAATCGTATACCTCAGATCGTACAAGAAGCACCAATTGAACTCGGTGAGCAGTCATCGATCGTAAGACCTAGTGCCGAACTAAACTGAAACAATTTTGTAGCTCAGGATATCGCCACATTCTTGTCGACGAATTATGGGTCTCCTCAATTCAAAGCAGCTTTATGAATTCGATATGTCCGCTGACCCACCGATCCTGGTTAGTATACGGCACGACGGGAATGGTTTTCCAAAGGCCAATGTTGGAATTTTCTAGTTAGTTGAGCGTGTATATATGTTGCGATGACCTGTGATGTCTAGAATTCCTTTAGAATTTGGAACCTGGTTTGACATCATGGAAGGTAGTTGTGTATTAAGTGTGAGTGCGACTGTAGACTCAGACTCGAACGTTGCGGTGACCCACGGTGGTGCCTGGACTAATTATGAAACTCAACTGGTCTGTTATGCTCCTTTCCGCCGACGAACCGTGGAGAGATAATTCACCTCACAGTTGCTCACTGCATTATTTTACTTTGTTAGTTATGCAACGCAACAAGGGAAGGCAGCTTAAGGAAGACAAATAGATGAGCGACGGAAACTGAGGTAGAAGCGTGTGCAGTAGCCCATTGCTCAAGCTGCCTGGCAGAACCTGCTAGTTCGTGCACCAGACAGGAGAGACGAAGAACGTCAAGGAACAGGTCAAACAGGACAAAGGACTAGAAGAACAAGGTTTGATCCGAACAAGCTGGGTGACATACCGTGTGGGGTAGCAGACAAAATTTCTGTCTTGATACTCGCTTCGTCCCCAATGGCCCAAATTATCTGAGTCAACTCTTCCATCTTTCATGATAGTTTTAGACATTCATCCATCAGCAAACTGAATGCCATGCCGTTCAACAAATTTTTCGGTACAGGGCCGAAATAAAATTACCTCTGGGTCTTCTCATGCTTCTGCACAGATTGAATGATCTGAATCATGGGGTTCAGAGCCAGACCTGCACTCCAGAGGGGCAGGCCAAAGGAGACTATGTGTGTGGAAAAGCCCTAATGCAGCCAGTCACCATCATTGAAGAGGTCCTTACCTTCTTTGTCGATCATCCTATCCTAGATAACATTAGTCCAGGCACCCAACCTTGTTCGCATGGTGCCCATTTTCCCAGCTCTCGAGATGATGCTTTGTCTCGATGTCAATTCCATTTCCCTGGAACTTTGCCTCTGCATAGCCGCATATCATCAGTCACCTGAAGACAAATTCACCGTGTCCTCGAACGATGGGGCATGCTTCGAGAGCAATCCATCGAATGTGACCTACCAACAGAACACATGCATGCCATCAACATCTTCCCCTTGAAATCTTCGAGAAATGATTATTAGGAAAATCGCCTGAACTCACCTATAGCATCACACCATGCTTGATAGGCCGTCTGCAGAATGGAATGACGAATGAGATAGGACAGATCTTAGCCACATCTACTACTTGCGGAGAATATCGTCGGACCTGGAAGCCTCATCAGCTCAAGCACGGGTGCAAAGACAGCACCATACCGGCTCCACGACCCACTGGGTGGGACATACACAGCTGCAAACAGGTGTATGACCTGGAACGCCGAAGGCCACAGTAGCATCCCAGTGCATGGGAGAGAAATGGCAGCGCTAAACTACGAGTACACGTACAAAGAACGAAGTGATAAACGCTCTCGGACAACTGAGACCGGAGAACGTCAGAACCAGGAAAGGAAGCGAAATGTGACCAAATACAAAGGCCTCGCTGGAGGCCAAGATAAGCCCTGAGACCGACAAGAAACAAGACATGTGAAATCGGCTATTAGGGAAGAGAAGTAAAGCTTTACGTAAAGGAAGAGAAAAAGGTGGGTCATGGGGGGGACGTCCATGGAGAAGAAGAGTTTATAACAAAACAGGGTTCTCACGAGCGTAGTGCTGCCACGCCAAAGAGGACGGCTTGAATCTGGATAGCACCTCCAGAGCGCATAGAATGACCGCCAAAGGTGGGGTTGGGAAAGACAGCACAAAAGGGCTGCAGGAACCAGGTATGAGTGGGTGCCAGCGTCATCTTGCAGGCATAAACTAAGCACTCCTGCACGGTATAACGCCGTTTGATCGAACGCAGATAAGACGCAGTACTCGTGACCGATTGTGCAGTATGTACGAGACAGAGCGACCTACATGACCGTAATCGCTCACCTGCACAAGAGGAACGCGGGTAAATACATAGATGGACCTGAGTCGTTGTCATGCGTCGCGGGCAGACAATCACAGCAAGTTAAGGCGGTCGATGGAGTGCGATACGCATAGGGTTACGTAATCATCACTAGGCACCTTCGGGGCCCGTATTGCTAGAGCAGGCAGTTTCTCAAATTCCATGCCGTAGCGGGCACCAGTCTATCGAGGGGAAATGCTGAGCATAAGTGTGGCTAATCCCCGCGAATTTTGCAGCATATTGTGAAATTCTCTGGACGAGTCGTTTTCACTTGGCGGAAAGAACCACCGTGCATCGCTGCATTGCTTGGTGAGTAGTCATTTTTTGTCTTTCAGGTGACAAAATATGTTTGCAAAAGCTGATAATCGCGTGACCATTCGTGGTGGAACCGAAGAGAACACAGGCGGCGCTTCTGGTTCGCTGGGATAAGTGCATCTGCAAATCGCTTAGTGCTCTAAGAGCACCGTTAGAGCGCTTAGCATCAGTAACAGTGCGTGCCGAGCTCTCAAACAATTCAAAAACTGTCTGAAGCGCATGCTGTAATTCGACCGTCTTGCAGATGAAGTAAGTCATCGATTCCGTCGTCACGGGATGCGCCAAGCAAGGTGGATTTGACTTGCGATGTTCCAGATCGCTGGCTTCATGCATTGCTAACCACGTCGGGATTAACTCCCTACAGGCTCTGTCATTGCACTGACCCGCCCGGAAAGAAGCTTTCATCCTCCACAACATATAGTCATCTGCAAAAGCTAAGCGTCAAGTTGGCTGGCCAACTCTCAAATAATTCAAAAAGCTGTCCAAAGTGTATGATGTAATTCGACCATTTTACAGATGTAGGTCCATGAATGTCCCAGTGACCAGCGTCTGCAGTGCTGAGTATATGGCCTCTATTGGTAACTTAGAAGAGCAAGCTATGTGATGTTGGTGCGCTTTGTCTTGTAAAATTCGGCTTGAAAAGTTCGGCGTTTGGATGGGCTTACCTATCAACGTGTAGGAGCTGAATCTCGATGTTAGCACATCTCTCGGGCCGGGCGGACGAACTTGGAAAGGCACTGTGAAGGTTGGCATCACCGCCTAAGTGAATCTCCAAAATAATGAACGGGGAAGTCTTCAAACTCGCCAACCATCTGTCACGGTCCAATCTTAAGCGCTTTTAGACTAGTGCTTTAGTTTCGAGGCAAAAACAGACTTTTGTTCGATAACCTCAAGTACGCACATCATGGGGCGGTCTCCTATATAATGCCAGATCTCACATGTTGTTCCGTTGATCGGCAGTCCAGGATGAGGACCGACACATTCAGTGTACCCAACACGTCATCCCCACCGGTTAATCCACGGCCGTCGTTGCCCATCCAATGCTATTCTCATCCATTGCAATATCCCTCTTTGCCCTCGCCTCCCAGACAAGATACCATTCACGAGGCTTACGCACTCAGTACTCATTTCATCCCTGCTGCCTTTCCTAGATTGGTTCCAGACCTTCCCGTTCCCCAAATCCCAACGTACACTAGTTCAACGTCAGCCTTGGAAAGGCAAAAGCAAGTAACAACAATCGTCAGGGAACTTGTCGAGAGGCAGACGCGTTTTGCACAAGGGAAATTGACCGGTAACCATAGCCAGAAACTACTTTGGAATTGTGTCAACCGCTATGTCCGGACGAATAGACGTAATACCTCGGGAACTGGTTTAACTTTGTTCCTCGTTCCCGCAGCCGGGTTCCCAAAGGAAGTAAGTTTAACTAGCCACTTTCCTCGTATGTTGGTAACCGAGGTCTTAGATATGGGAGACTATGCTACAAAGTCTTCTAGATACGACATCTGGCCTTCTCGTGGATGAGGTATGGTCTTGGGAAGCTGTCAACCACGGCGACTCGGCGCTTGTGAACGCGAATAATTTGAGCGGGATTTGTAGGATGTTCCCACTGTGAGATCTATTGCACCTAACGTTTTTTCAGTCGACTGGCAGGATGATGCCCGTGACATCGCGAACTTTCTTTTAAACTACCTCCCAGAAGTGGCCACCCCTGCGTCGCTGCCTACTTTCCTTGCGAGTGTTTCACAAGCTACGAGTTCTAATCGCAAACAGGCTGGCTATCCCCTTCGGAGGCTTGTAGTGGTTGGTCACTCATATGGTGGTACTTCCTCGTAGGTATATGGGCTGCGAAGTTTAACCCGTTGCTCATCTCTTGTGGTGCAGAGCCTTGGCAGCTTTGAATTATCCGAAGTTGTTCTCATCCCTCATACTTGTGGATCCCATCATTTCAGGTGACAAAACTAATAGGAGTGTTGATGAAGTCGTCAGATTCGCTGTTAACGCTATTACTAGGCGCAATTTTTGGTCGTCTCGGTGAGCACTGCCGGCCTGATATAGTTGCTCTTATTGAACGACTACAGTGAAGGAGCCTTGCATCAGTTCAAACAATCACCATTCTTCGCTTCCTGGCACCCAGGGGTCCTAAAGACATACGTTGACCACGGATTGACCGTAGATGCCACGGGCGCTGCTAGATTGAAAATGACTTCTGTTCAAGAGGCCCTGAGCTATGTTAATGCACCAGTCGCTTTCGAAGTTTGGGAATTGTTGGAGAAATTGGACGAGAATATCACTCTTCGATGGGTCCTGCCGTCGCGTGGGTAGGTCGTCCTATCCCTTTCGTGCTGCAACGCAGCGCTAATACTGACCATGACCTCCGCTATCAGATTCCTTACAGAAGACATCAAAGCAAGGGTTTGGCGTCGACCTGCCAATGCTTCCAACGTAGTTTTCCCCTTCGCCGGACACCTCGTAAGTAGGCGTCGACCTAATCATACACTGTTTGAATTCCACATGTGTTTTCTTCACCCCAGATCGTACAGGAAGCACCAATTGAACTTGGTGAGCGGTCATCGACTGTGAGACCCACATAGTAGTGATCTAAACTGAAACAATGTTGCAGCTCACGATATCGCCACGTTCTTGTCGAGGAATTATGGGTCTCCTCGAATCAAAGCAACTTTATGAATGCATTATGTAGTTTGCCATGTTAGCCCCCCGTGTTCTCATCCCAACCCACTAATCCTGGTTAGCATGCAGTGTGACAGGAATGATTTCCCAAAGGTCAATCTTGGAATTATCCCGTTGGTCGAGCGTGTACATATGTGCCTCGATGACTTACGATGCCTAGAACTCCTTTGGAATTTGGTTCGACATCATGCAGGATCGTCGTATTGACAGGTGCAGCCACGTGTAGCGATGATAATAGGTAAAGTAACAAAAGCAAGCCGCAGCACGGGGGAATAAGCGTCGCACTGTTCCCTTCACGAATCGTGCTGTCTCTTCGCGTGCCTATTTCTTCGTGCTGCCCGTGACGCCTACCACTGCATCCAGAGCGCTTTGGGAAGTATTGAGCAGGTCAAACTCAAGATGTTATCTTTCGTGGGTAACGACACCAAAGCTGAGACTGGACTCGAAGATACTACTTCCGACGCGATAGCAGCACTGGGTTCAGGAACAAAAATTGGGTGCAAAAGTTACTCCAGGAATGATGGTAGTGCTTTCTGTGCGAGTGCAACCGTAGACAAAGACTTGAACGTTGTAACAACCCAGCATGTACACCACACTGGTCGCCACGTATGACAATGGTGTTGACGCTCCTGAGTCCTGTCGGCGTTCCGATCACTTTTTTCCCTGTTGGTCCCCTTGTACTTGAATGGCACCAATCCCTTCAGCGTATTAACCTCTTCATCCCCTTCACCACCGCCGGCAAACCAACCGAGTCCGAGGGCACATGGATTAACCACACGGGAACCAATAACACTAAGCATGCTCTCCTCACGACGTGGTACTCTGAGAGCAGTATACGTTGGTGCTTGGGTTGGCACAGTTAGATTGAATGTTGCACTGGTGTGTGAGTGATACCATTCGTAAGCTTGGAAGGCGACGTGCTGCGAACTAGAACGAATGGTGGGGAGTTGTCCAGCTTGTACGGACTTGGTGAGGGTTGGACGCGGATAGGATTTCGCGACCAGCAGATTTGAGAGAGGGTTTTTCTTCTTTGGGACGGCTACTGCCACACGTGCTTGCAAATCAGTGTCATTTGGTTTGAGCAGAGGTAGCATGAATGTAGAACATACCGCTTTTCAGTGCTCGAACCGGTTCATCATCCTTCGCCCTAGTCCCCGAACTTGGACCCCATGCCATGCAGCCACCTGTTTCCCTTTCACATCTGCCGACCGACCTCCAGTTCCTCCGTATTGCCCCGTTGTCTGCCGGTTGGATGAATGACTAGCAGCTGCCTTGACTTCACCAGGAAGGTTTGATTTATCGCACCTCAACACCCGTGAGCAGCATCAAGATGGGAGACTTTGTGGACAAGGACGATGAAGACGTCGAGGCGTGTTTGCGCAGATTTCAGAGAGAACGCGGTGTCCGACTGAAATGCGTAGGCTCGTCGTCGTGAGAGACGGATTACACAGTTTGAAAGCAACGTTCCTTCGATGTCGAAGTTTGTTGTGAGCTACTTTGTCTATGCCTCAGGTGGGGGACGGAGTCATTCACGATGGCGTAGCAAGCTTTACTCTCAGCGCGACAATCACAGCGACGATGCGTCACGTGCCCGTTCCCTCCTGGCCGTATCAGACCTTTCGAAAGTACCTTGCTGGAAAGGTCACCCCATGCTGGCTTTGTGTGCAAGTGTGCACATGGACACGCACCCTCCCCGCACCCCTGTACCTATATACACGACAAGATGTTTTTGAATGCTTGAAAGCTCACCGCGAGTAAATTTTGCACGTTCCAGATCTCCCAAAAGCAAGCAACGCCGCCCCCTAGCATGCAATGACAGGGGGTCTCCAGACCCTTCTGGATTTGAAATCTCAGATGCAACTGATACATCAACTGCAAGGCATGCATGTGTGCCGACTGCAGGAGCGCAGGCAGAACTCGACATGGCTGGCAATACCTCACGATCTACAAGGTTCGAGATGGGGCACCCCTGTGCGCCATGGCATAGTGGTGACAGTGGAGGGCGGCCTGGACTGATTAACAGACTCGCATGGTGTGTCACGTTCCTTTCCGCGGGCGATCCCGTGCAGCTTCCTGAAAAGATAATTCGCCTTTTGGTTGGCCACTGCATTGTGTTTACTTGGTTAGTTACGCGACAGAACAAGGAAAGGGAACTTAAGGACGACAAATAGGCGAGTGATAGGAACTGCCAATGAGTGAGCGCAGTAGCCCATTGCCAGACCAGAACTCGCTAGTTCATGCAACAGGGGATAGAAGAAGAACGTAAAGGGACAGATGGAACAGGGTGAACGGCTAAAAGAACAAGGTTTGACTTGCACGAGCTTAATGACTTGCCCTGTGCGGTAGCAGGAAGAATGACCGTCTTGATAATCGTCGCGTCCCAGGTAACCCAAATCTGGGTGAACTCTTCCGTCTTTAATGATGACCTTCATAGGTTTATCTGTCCGCAAACTGATAACGTTGCCGTCCAACAGATTTCTGGGTACAGGGCCGAAATAAAATTACCATTGTGTCTTCTCATACTTCTGCACAAGCGTGACTGGTCTGAATCAAGAGGTTCAGAGCTAGATATGCTCTGTCTGGAGCACACCAAGGGGACTATATACGTGGAAAAACTTTTAACGCATGTTACTATCACAGAAGATGTCCTTACCTTCTCATTCCTTGACGATCACCTCACCCTGAATAACGTTAGTCCAGGTGCTCAACGGTCGTTCACATGATGCTTTGTCTTGAGGTCAGTTCAATCCCTCGAGAGCTTTGCCTCTGTATAGCTGCATATTATCAATCACTTGAAGTCGAAGCCACCGCGTCCTTGAACAATGCTACGTACCTCAAGAGAAATCTGTCTACCGACGGAACGCACGCATGTCAACGTCTTCTCCTTGAAATCTTCGAGAGAGGATTAGTGCGCAAGGAGTGAACTCACCTATGGCATTACACCATGCTGGTAGGCCGCCTGTAAATGGGAATGATGAATGAGGTAGCCTGGACAGATCCTAGTCGCATCAGAAACCGCTTGCGGAGAGGATCGTCCGGCCCGGAAACCTCCTTAGCTCAAGTACAGGTCCGAAGTCACTGCAGCCACCGTACCGGCCCCGACGGCACATCGAAACTCCAAACGTCCCACGCTGCAGAAACTGCAAGCAGAGCCGCGAAATTGAGCGCATTTGAGGGCGACAGCACGGTAATATCTGGGTAGGAATTGATAAGTAGCCAGGATCCCAGACATGATAGGCAACGCCCCTCAGAGTTCCTTGCCAACGTTTCTGAGGACTCGGTGACCGCCCACATTTCGAAATAGGGATGACAAGACGCTGCTTCTCTCTCGACGCAGAGGTACTGAGTCGCAGGGTGGTACATACAAACCATATTGTTCTTTGGTTAACAAGTAAGGGTAGCTGAGCGTGACCCTGAATTGCATGCGTTTTCGGTACAATAACAGAACCCTACGATGTGATGCTCCAGGATAGCTTGGATGCCGTTGACCTTGTCTCTCCGTCGCTCCCGGTCGGTTCTCAATCGTAAATTCTCCCTCCCACCGCTGTTTCATGATGACGGGTATGTTATGAAGAGCGGGCGCAAAGAACATTCTAGAGTCGCGCCGCAGTCAGTCGCCACCAACAACGATGAGTACTTGGTTTTTCTGTGGGCTGGGATATTTATCGCCTAGACAGTACTAGTGTGTGATGGTCGCTTGATCAAACCAGATCTTTCCCACGGCACGCTTGCGTATGGGCTGGCATTCCCAGCGGTGAACGCGCGGGGTAGATCGAGAGCAAAGTTATGTCCCACAACACCAGCGGTCATGGCCGCACAGCTTACAGTCAGTAATGTCGACAGCAAATTTTTCGCATGTCCCTTACTCGAAATCCATGCAAAGGAGAGTAGCTGATCGTGAAATTACTATTTGGGACGACGGGTGGAGCGCTGTGCTGTCGGACTACTGGTGAGGTGCTCCTCGTTTCTTCAATCTGCACGACTTACTCAAGCAGCACACAGCGCAGCTTTCTTAACCGCCTGGCACTTTTCCATCCATCGGTGCAGTCGCTCTCGGTTCATCGTCATGATATATGCATTGATCTCCATGTAGTTACATTCACGTCCGACCGACAGCCAGTATTCCCTGCATTATACTTCGTGCTTTGGAGTATGTGCGCTTTCCCACTGCTCAATTATCCCCGCTAATTGCCTACTGTGTTTCGTTTTGTTGTCCAATCGATAAGGTGTGGATTCGACTGTTCCTGTCTGATTGCAGCTGATTACTGAACCCGCCCCGAAGGAAGAACCATTTCCACAGTTTATATCCCATTTGATGGCTTCGACAGACTACGTTGCGCACGAGCGAGCAGAATTGGCACTCTGCCCTCCTGGACATGATGGCAGGGATGTTTCCCTCTTCAACCTGGCGAAGGCCCTCTACGATAAATTCGGGGTATTGCGCAGAGGACGGGGTACGGTACGAAGAGCAATAAGACAAGAACACTCGCCTTAACTTGAGTTAGCGAGTAGGTTTTGAGGAAAGATTTGGTTGGGGCTCTTGTTCTTGTTAGAACGATAGAACAAATGTAGAATTTGATGTGGACTAAGGGAGAATATCCCTGAGTTTATATACATGTTTCTGTATGTGCAGACCAGTAATGTATATGGAAACTGTTACTACATATAGTAAAGAATAGCAGGGAATGCTATGGAATATGACACAATGGATGATGTCATTCTGACATCATTGTGGAGCTGATTGCTAAGGTAAGTCATGTGATAACACATGTGTATAGAAACATGTATGTCTAGAATTAGTCTAGACATTGGACATACTAAGGTATTTCCAACACTCCCCCTCACTCCCCCTCACTCTAAAATGGTATATTGACAAGACTGATTGACAAGTGATTCATTTTGAATTTCTGCCACATTAAAAATTTTGTAAGACCATCGGCTTTTTGTTTATCAGTTTGAACATATTCAATACTGAATAAACCATCCTGTACACATTCGTGTACATAGTGCCATTGGACATCAATATGTTTGGATCATCCATCTGAGACAGGGTTTTCAGCAATAAAGTGAGCACCCATATTGTCACAGTATAATATGGTCTTTTTGGTTTTAAGTTTGAGTTCATCAAATAGCATATTAAGCCATTTGATTTGACAGGCGGCATCACAGAGAGCCATGTATTTGGCTTTGGTAGAGGAAAGTGTGACAGTCTTCTGTTTATGAGAACGCCAAGAAATGAGGGAATTGCCAAGAAACATGGCATAACCAGTGGTAGAATGATGAGTGTCTTTGTTTGAAGCCCAATTGGAATCAGTGAATCCATAAATTTGTGACTTGAGTCCAGAATAATAAAGCCCAAGTTTTGGTGTAGATGCAACATAGTGAACTATGTGCAAGGCTTTATTACAATGATCCTCAGTGGGATTTGCCATATATTGAGACATGCAAATAACTGCAAAGGCAATGTCTGGACAAGTTCCAAGTGCCATATAGAGTAAAGACCCTATAATTGACTGGTACTGGGAGCATATTTGGGAAGTTGTTTGATAAGAAGAAGGGGCTTTTTCCAGTTGATATCCTGATGGTAATGGAGTGCGAACATTTCAAGCAGTCTCCATTCCAAATCTTTTGATGACCTTTTTAACATATGGAATTTGATTGAGATAAAGTTCTTTCTTTGATCAATCTTGATGAATTTGAATTCCAAGATATTCTTTAACTTCTCCAAGGTCATGGGATTCCCATTTCATTTCTTCATAAATTCTTCTTTCTTAGCTTTGAGAAGACATTTGTCCAATCCAAGGAATAATCCATCGTCAACATAGACAAGGAAAATAACTATACCAGCTTTGGATGAGTAGATATAGATTCCAGCATCCACTTTTGAGCATATATAGCCCATGCAAAGTAGTGAAACATGTAAGGCTTTATTCCATGCAAGTGCTGCTTGCTTTAAGCTGTATAAGGCTTGAAGCAGCCGATAGACCTTGTGTTCTTGACCCAGAACTTTGAAACCTTCTGGTTGCTCCATATAAATTTCTTCATCAAGATTGCCATAAAGAAAGGCAGTTTTTACATCCAGGGCTTCCATTTCCCAATTCTTTTGGGCAGTGAATGCGAGTAGAATTTGCACAGTTTCAAATCTTGCCACTGGAGAGAAGGTATCTTCAAAGTTGGTGCCAAATTCTTGTGTGAAGCCTTTCACCACAAGACAAGCTTTATAGTGACCATTGCTTTTGATAGCAAAAACCCATTGACACTTGACTGGTTTCTGATCTCTAGGAGGATCCACCAAAGTCCATACTTGTCTTTCTTCAATAGACTTTAATTCACCCTTCATGGTGTCAAACCATTTCTTTTGTAAATTGGGAGATAATTTTAGAACATCTTTATAGTGTTCTGGAGATTCTTTGATGCAAGCAGTGAGAGCAAATTCAAATGGATGCATCTCTGCTTCTTGATCCAACATTCCTTTTGGAGATTCAGGAAGTGGAGTTAAGGGAGAAGGTGGAGTAGTTCCTTGTGGATGTTCAGTCCACTGATGAGGAACATGAGGAGGAACCATTGCTGGTGGTAAGACCAGAGAAGATGGTCTATGCTCCTCATCATAACATCTCCTAGCTTCTTCTTGTTCCCTAATATTATGCTCAGCATTGTGAATCCATTGTTGTGCTTGATCCTGATTTTGTTGGATATCCTTTTCAATTTGTACTGGAGGTCTATCTCTATAAATGTTTCCTGGTCTGGAAACAGGGATAAATCAACATTTAGGATGTGGTTCTTGATCTTTGGTTTGTTGTGGCTGTGCTCTCTGAACATTTTGGGAGTCACTAGGAATAGAATAAGGTGTATGAGGATAACGAAGAACTCAAGGGTCAACTGATGGTGCAGCAGCAGGTGCTCTTCTGATCAGTTGGTTTGAACTGGAAGCTCTAGGCTGGTCTGCAGCTTTTTCCTGCTGTGGGTTTGGTGGTTGAGTAGATGAATGAGGTGGTTGCTGGTGATGAGGCAGTGGTTGGATCTGATCAGGATCCAGTAACGAATGAAGGCTTTCAGAGTCAGAAGAATTGGATGATTCAGGTGATGAGTCACTTTTGGAACCAGGGTCAAAGGTCTCAGTCTTTTTAGAATCTGAGCAGAAAGGAAAAGAGTCTTCTATGAATTTGGCTGTTCAAGAAAGAATGATCTTTTGACCATTAAGGAAATGATATCCTTTGGTATTAGGTTCATAGCCCAGAAATACCATTTCGATAGCATGAGGTTCCAATTTATCTTTTCTTTGTTCTTTTGGAACCCATACGAATGCTTTGCAGCCAAAGGTGCAGAAATATGAAATATCGGGAATTTTCCCTAAGAATAATTCCACAGGAGTTTTGAATAGAATCCACTTTAATGGAGTTCTATTGTACACATGAAGTGCACAATCAAAGGCAAAATTCCAGAATTGTTTTGGAACACATGCATGATGATGTATAGTTCCAGCTTTTTCAGAAATAGTACAATTGAACCATTCAGCATGACCATTTTGTTGTGGTTGATTGGCAATGGATAACTGGTGAGTAATACTGTGCATAGAAAGGAGTGCTTTGAAGGTATGACCCATAAATTCTCCCCCTCAATCCAAATGCAGCACAAGAAGATGGTGACCAGTAGTATTCTGGACAGAAACCATCCAATTGGCAAAGGCAGTATAGGTGTCAGATTTATTTTGAAGGTATAGGCAAAAGCCATAGGATGAATAGTCATCCAGGAGAGTAAGAATATACTTTGAGTGGAAGTAAGATTCCACTGGTAATTCCAGTAAATCCACATGAACAAGTTCAAGTGGTTTGGTAGCATGTTTCCAGGAAGGTTTGAAAGATTCAGAAGAAAGTTTGCCTTGTGTGCAACCTTTACAGGTAGATTGTTCTCCATGTATTGGAATATCTGGAAGACCCAATCATTGGAGATGATGAAGTATTGCTTGAGCAGGATGGCAAAAGTGATTATGCCATAACAACTCTGGCAATGTCCTAACCAGAGGGCAAAGGACCGCATGTGCATTGGTAGGTGGAAGTGGTATGCCCACAAACCAGTGTAGCAGTGAGGTCGGTGAGGCTAAGCGTGCCTCAAGGACAATCCAGCCATCTGGTGCTCAGATTACCTTGTGTGTGAGAGTCACAGTGCTGTGATACCCGTTTTTCAACAGTGCATTTCTTGAACATAGTCTCTTTGAGAACAAAGGACTGTATACAACATTATGGAGTGGAAGATTCTGCCCGTTTTCCAGGCAAATAACAACTGTTCCTTCACCTAAGAGTTGAACTCAACTTAACCCAGCAGTAGATGCAAGGGAAGGAGTATTAAACTCTCAAAAAGTAAGGAAATCAGTTTTAAAGGGAGTCACATGATGTGATGCTCCACTATCCAACATCCAAACAGACTCACCCTTTGGTAGGTTCTTAAAAGATGTGTGCACACCCAAGGGGTAGCAGTCAAAAGCATCATATGCATTCCTATCAACTTCGCCAGGGAAATATCCCACAGCTGATTCATTAGGGTCATACTTGATATCTGGATTATGTTTAATACAAAAAGGATTACATGGCACAGGTATAGGCACAGATTCGTGAAAGTCTTTTAAAGACATAGGGTGGTTTGTCTTTAATACTTGGACAGATCTTCTGTTGCTATGATCCTGTCCTTGAACATTTCCAGTAAGGTGACAAGAATTCCTGTCTGCCTTCAGAGATGTCCTGCCATATCCCTCAACATCCCTAATCACCACCATGTCCTTGTGAGCCAAAATGGGATCTGCCACTTGATTTGAGGGTGAGCTGGGACTACAAGGACATATCCTGTCCTCCCCAATAGTGGGAAGGGGAATCTGCCTCTGATGAGAGTTCAAAGTCTCCCATTCCCAGAGTTCCCATAGGGGTGAGACCACTCGGTGTAAAGTGAGGGCTGCTCGTCAGCATATAGAACAGGTGCAAGGTGAATTAGAACAAGGGATTTGTACATGAATCTTGACTGACTCAACTAGATCAGGTTGATGGTTCTGGATTTCCTCCAGATACCAAGAAGCTAGTTGGCCTGTGGAGGCATCTACAGGGAGATTGGGAGTTAACTCAACCAATTCCATTGCTGTAGTTATATCTTGGTGTGTAAGATCTGGATCATATGCCATTGTTTCACCAATGACATGAGAACCAATATATGTATTGAGGTCATTGGAATAAACAGTCTCAACCAGAGTTGGCTGTTCAGGAGAAATTTCAGGAGTGTGTTCACAAGGTATATCAATAGCAGTAATGTTGAATTCATCAGCAGCATATTCATACTGCTGATAGTCAGGGATTTCTTCAATATATGTGGACTCAACCTGTTCCACACCCTCGACTTCAACATTACTGGCTCAGGCTTTACCCTTGCTGTGTCTACAGTTTTGTCCTCAGCCATGGCCAGAGGAACCGGACTGCTGCTGTTGATTATTATTTTGTGGGTAAGGTGTATATACACCATGTCCATGACCTCTATGGTTTCCTTGGTTTCCAAAATTAGATCCAGATCCACCACCTCCATGATGGTCTTGAGTATTGTGCCTGCCATGGCATATTTGACAGAGCAGTGGCTTATTCATGCGAGCCAGCAAGGAGTTAGACTCCTGCTTGACTTTAGTGCCAGTAGATGTGGATGAATCCTGCTGTGGCAGGAGAGATTTTCTGGATTTATGACTCTAGACTTCTTTCATTCAAGGTATGGCAGTATCAGCAGATAATTGATTGGCAGGGATAGAAGAAAGAATATTGATGGGAGCCTGTTCCCAGGCTTGGGACATGGAGTGTATGAGGATGAGTGCTTTCATTTTATCATTAAGACCAATTCCTTGGCCTTGAATAGCAGCCATGATCATGGTAATCTCAGAGATTTTAACCATGATGTCATCCTTGGGTTTTATTTGAATACAGATAAGCCATTGGAACTCCATAAATGTAGTCATGGCGGATGGTTTGCCATATTTGGACTTGAGTTCATCCCACTTCTTTTTGGAAGTATCTTGGCCATCAATAGCCATTGTGATCATCAGATCACAATATAATGTAATGATGCCTTGGGCATGTGTATCAGAGGTGCACCAAGCAGCTTGATGTGCCACATCAGCAGGCATAGGAGTTGTACTGCTGACTATATCCATAATGCTGAGTGTTTGCATATAGGCTTTCATAAGAACTGACCAGGAAGTGTAGTTAACACTGTTGAGTTCTGGGATCTGTTTCAACAATCCTTCAGACATCTTTTCAGAAGTCCATCAGCAAATGTTCATAGAGGAATGATTTGACTGGATGAGTTGAAGTGGATGGAGGATTTAATAAATGATCCTGATGTTTGACTCCATGAGCAGATGCTCTAGCAGATTGTGATTTCCAGTTATGACAAGGCTTGGGGATATGAGGACAAGGATTGCGCCATTCCCTTGTTTCTGTTGTGCCTTTCTCAGCAAATCTCCATAAGGAAATGCGAGAATTATTTCATTCAAGGAGATTGAAATCTAAGGAACCAAAATAGTGGTACCCAAAGAAACTCCACACTACATCATGTAGCAGAAGTCCATTCCTTGTGAACCCAAGATAAGGTTCAGCACAATTATATGGAAAAGGAAAACAAATTTGTTGGTGCCACAATCCTACAAGTCCAGAGCATACAATAATTTCAAAAGAAGTATATGAATCCCCAATGACACAACTATCAGACACCTCATGGTACTGGCCTCCAGATGCATATGGTATGTCCATTGTACCAGGAAGAGGATAATGCCATGCGAGTGGCTTGAGACTGGCAAGCTCTGGCAAGAGCAGTGTGATGTGCCAGAAAGCCTCTTGGTTGCTCATAAAAGTTGAAATCACCTTTCTCCACAGCACATTCAAGATCTCGAAGAATATCCTCCAAGGATGGCCAATAAGCATATTCTCATCTACTGCTGGGGGTAAGCCATCCAAGATGGTGATTAGCTGATGAGTATCTGATGCTGGTACCCACATCTTCTTGTTGTTTAAGCTCTTGGGTAAAGGTGCAAAGCCTTTCATCAAATCTGTCTCTGCTGACTCTTCTTTCACAGAACCACCTTGGGATGGAGCAGATATTGGTGGTTCCATCAGCCCAAACTCCTTGGAAAGAGCATTCAAGATGCTCATTCCAAACCTGAAGAGGCAGGATGATCCTGCAGAACTTGGGACCATAGTGGACATGGGTGTTATATGTGATATAGACAAAAGTGTCATGAGTGATAGAGAAGGCAGGGATGGTGAAGAGTGAAGGATCTTCATAGGTAAACGACAGTAGATCACAGCCATTGAAATTAGCTATGGCATGCGGAGAGGAGGAATGTGTTAGCTTGGGTACAAAGTCGGTGAAATAACCATGATATGCAATGTGAATGCCAGCATTTCCATAAACTCTATGATCTCTTTAACCACATACTTCCTCCACTTAGCTCCCTCATACATCTCATCCCAGTGTTCAGCAATTTGGGTTTCAAGATGCTTGGCAATGACCAAAGACATACTTGAAGTAGATTAGAACCCATAATTGATAAACAGAAGACAAACAAGTTTTTAAAGGAGATTGAACTCAGCAACATCATCAGGGACAACTGTGAGAGTGAGCTCAGGATTGAGCAACTTGTTCACCACATTAATCTCCTCAGCCAAAGGCATTGGAGCATGATGAGGAGGAGTGGGGTCAGCTGCATGAACCTCAGTGTACGGTGGTATGGGGTCTAGGTCAGCATTGAAATCAACATCTGGGAGAGTACAAAGAGCAATAAGACAAGAACACTTGCCTTAACTTGAGTTAGTGAGTAGGTTTTGAGGAAAGATTTGGTTGGGGCTCTTGTTCTTGTTAGAATGATAGAACAAATGTAGAATTCAATGTAGACTAAGGGAGAATATCCCTGAGTTTATATACATGCTTCCATACACATGGACCAGTAACGTACATGGAAACTGTTACTATGTATAGTAAAGAATAGCAGGGAATGCTATGGAATATGATGCAATAGATGATGTCATTCTGACATCATTGTGGAGCTGATTGCTAAGGTAAGTCATGTGATAACACACATGTATAGAAACATGTAAGTCTAGAATTAGTCTAGATGTCGGACATACTAAGGTATTTCCAACACAGGGGACAGAGGGAAGTTGGCAACTTGGACGAGGCAATTAAGTTACACCATGCGGCATTGGAATTACGACCCCTTGGACATCCTGACCAGGCTTCATCTCTCCATTCACTTGCTAGCTGTCTTTAGAATAGGTATGACAATCAGGGAGCAGTTGCCGACTTGGAAGAAGCTGTCACGCTCAGACATGCAGAACTAGAGCTCTGTCCACCGGGAGATCCCTTTCGTGCCTCATGTCTCTGCGACGTTGCTTGGTACCTCTACAAGAGGTTCAAGAAACTTGCTAGAATGTGCAATCTGGAGGAGTCAATTGAGTTACACCATGCAGCATTGGAACTACGTCCGTCTGGACATCCTGACCGGGCTTCATCTCTCCATTGGCTTGCTATCTGTATTTTAGATAGGTATGGCTGCCAGGGAGCAATTGCTGACTTGGAAGAAGTTGTCACCCTCGGACGTGCAGAACTAGAGCTCCACCCACCAGGGGATCCCTTTCGTGCCATATCTCTCCGCAATGTCACTTTCTACCTCCACAGGAGGTTCAAGAGACTTGCTAGAATGTGCGATCTGGAGGAGTCGATTGAGTTGTACCGTGCAGCGTTGGAACTATGTCTATCTGGACATCCTTACCGGGATTTATCTTTCCGTTCGCTTGCTCACTGTCTTTTGGATAGGTATGACAATCAGGGGGCAGTCGCTGACTTGGAAGAAGCTGTCATGCTCGGACGTGCAGAACTAGAGCTCCATCCACCAGGGGATCCCTTGCGTTCCACATCTCTCTACAATGTCGCTTACAGCCTCTACAAAAGGTTCAAGAAATCCGCTGAAATGTGCGATCTGGAAGAGTCGATCGAGTTGTACCGTGCGGCGTTGGAACTATGTCCATCTGGACATCCTTACCGGGATTTATCTTTCCGTTCGCTTGCTCACTGTCTTTTGGATAGGTATGACAATCAGGGGGCAGTCGCTGACTTGGAAGAAGCTGTCATGCTCGGACGTGCAGAACTAGAGCTCCATCCACCAGGGGATCCCTTGCGTTCCACATCTCTCTACAATGTCGCTTACAGCCTCTACAAAAGGTTCAAGAAATCCGCTGGAATGTACGATCTGGAAGAGTCGATCGAGTTACATCGTGCAGCGTTGGAACTAGGTCCATCTGGACATCCCCTCCGGGCTTCGTCTCTTGGTTGCCTCGCTCGCTGTCTTTCGGACAGGTATGATAGTCAAGGGGTAGTTCCTGACTTAGACGAAGCCATCACGCTGGCGCACGCAGCATTAGAGCTCTGTCCACCGGGTCATCTTTATCATGGTATATCTCTCAGCAATCTTGCCTTCTACCTCCAGAAGAGACCTCAGAATCCCACTGCAAGGTGCTACCGGGAAGACCCAATCAAGCTGCGCCGCGCCGTACTGGATCTGCCTCCCCCGGAACATCCTGATCGGCCTTCATCCCTGCATTCTCTTGCTCTCTGTCTCTCGAATAGGTATGACAGTCTGGGAATAGTCTCCGACTTGGAAGAAGCTGTCGCATTTGCACGTGCAGCAACAAAGCTCCGTCCGCTAGGTCATCCCGATCGTGGCACATCTCTCCACAGCCTAGCTATCTACCTTCGGAAGAGGTTCCAGAAACACGCTGCAATGTGCGACCTGGAGGAGGCAATTGAACTGCACCGTGCAGTGTTGGAACTACGTCCCTCTGGTCACCCTGATCGGGCTTCGTCGTTACATTCGCTTGTTCTTTGTCTTCTTGACAGGTATGACGATCAGCGGATTGTCGCCGACTTGGAAGAAGCTGTCACACTGGGACGTGCAACATTAGAACTCTATCCACCAACGCATCCCGCCCGCGCTTCGTCCCTTCATGATCTTGCACTGTGTTTAGTAAAGCGTTTTCGTCTACAACACACAGCCAACGATTTAAACGAAGCTATCGCACTTGAGCAAGAAACACTGCAACTACTTATTCCCGGTGATCAGGGTTACGACGTATCTCAGCGCTGCCTTACGGAGTACCTCCGAATGAAGATCAGCCCACAAGTTGTCACCATGTCCGGTGCTCCAGGTTTTGTGTCCTTTGACTTTGCGGCAGCCATTCGTGATGTTGCATTTGAAACCCTCAAAACCATGCCGCCTAGGCCGCTGCACACGCGTACGGGCGTCCTATGCAATCGGGATGCGCAGTTATCACACTTTATGAGCAGTCCACAATACAAGCGGCTGCTGTCTTTGTGCACGGCATGCACTAAGGATCAGTGGATGGAGCACATCAAGACTTCCATTTCCGGATACTTTCAGTTCGTCACTTTTTCTCATCGCTGGGGTGAGGACGAGCCGTTGCTGCGGGACATTGAACGCCACCCAATATACGCCTTGTCATCCGAGGCGGGGGTTGGAAAGCTCCAAGCCTTCTGTTTGCACGCCTGCGAGCGGGATTACCTATGGGCATGGAGCGACACGTGTTGTATAGACAAAGATAGTAGTGCCGAGTTGCAAGAAGCGATAGGATCCATGTTTGCGTGGTATCGACGGTCCGCTCTGACAATCGTTCATCTCTCTGACGTTCCCGATAATGGTTCGTTTGAGAAGAGCGAATGGTTTCGACGTGGGTGGACTCTCCAAGAACTCCTGGCCCCGAGGACTGTACTATTCTACACCCAAAACTGGTCGGTCTATAAGGACCTTAGGAGTTCGAACCACAAAACCGACGTCGCTGTGCTGGAAGAACTGGAAAAGGTGACTGGAGTAGAGTCCTGTTTCCTCTCCGCGTTTTCTCCGTGTGTGGATGACGCTCGCTCAAAACTCCAATGGGCGTCAAAGCGTTGTACCACCCGGCCTGAGGATATCGCTTATTCCCTTTTTGGGATCTTCAATCTCCACCTACCTGTTCTGTATGGGGAATCTGCTGAGAACGCACTCGGTCGTCTCCTAGCCGAAATCCTATCGCAGTCTGGGGACATATCGATTCTAGATTGGGTCGGAGAAGCATCGCCGTTTCGTTCCTGTTTTCCTACCCGCATCACCTCGTATCAGAAGCTACCATTGCTTCCATCGCAACATAACACAGAAAGACAGTCATCGACATTGAATCAGCAGACCCCGTTGCCCGCAGCGCTGCGAATGCTGCATCGCTCGCTCTCCAAGTCGCCCCTTCCAAAATTCATCAATCGCCGCCTTATATTGCCATGCATCACCCATCGTGTTACAGCAATTCAGCTGAAACGGGATAATTCGTCGGCGTCGAGTTACAGGTACAAGATCCAGGCATCTGATCTGAGACCACTTCAGATCGTATTGCCAAACAAGCTAGAAGATGCAGCGATGGAGCAAGGTGCTCTGCAACTTGTTCACCCTTGGCACTCGAAATTACTTTGTCCATCATCAAAACGTGATACGACGACTGACAATCAGCTTCTTATTACACTGAGGAGACCATTTAATGCTCTTCTGTTGATTGAATTACCCCACAACGAGTATAAAAGGATCGCCTCCTCTATCGTCATTACTGCTCAGCTCGTAGACTCTGCCAGTGTTTTGCAAAGCAAAATTACGACATTGAAAATTGTGTAGATTAGCTATGGCATTTATGACATCAGGCGTTGTATACATATTTGATTGACTTGTGCGAGTGATAACTGCGCTTAGAATTTTCCTGCTGGTTGAATGTGTATGTACTTCGATAACCTGCGACGCCTGGAACGCCCTTAGAATTTAGGACTTGGTTAGAGGTCATGTCATGTTTGCAGTTAATAGCCATGTATAGCGACGATAATAAATAGAGATAACAAGTCACAAACAGCAGGAGGGAAACGAGCGATTCCGGACTATAAATGAGGTAAAAATGTGCACATCGTGTGCTATTCGATGGCCCATTTTCGCACTGCTTCCTTCACAAGTCGTGCCATCTCTTCGCGTGCCTGTTTCTTCGCGCTATCCGTAATGCCCACCAGTGCATCCAAAGCGCTCGGCGACGTATTGAGCGGATCAAACTCAAGAAGATGCCCATCTTTCGTGGGTAACGACACTAGAGCCGACGCTGAACTCGAAGATACTGCCGTAGGAGGAAGTGGAATAGGATCGGCTTTCGGCGTGATAGCAACACTGGGCTCAGGAGCCAACACTTGTGTTCGAGAGTTACTTTGGGAGTGAGTAGTGCTCTGGGAATTCGAGCGCGAGTGCGACTGTAGACTAAGACTTGAACGTTGTGATGACCCGGCCAGCACAACAGACGGGTCACGGCGTATGACGATGCTGTCGACGCGCTTGTGTCCCTTCGGTTTACCGATCGCCTTTTCCTTGCTAGTCCCCTTGTTCTTGAATGGCACTAATTGATTCGCCGTGTTATCCCCGCCGTCCTCGCCACCGCCGGCAAACCAACCAAGTCCAAGAGTATATGGATTAGCCAGAGGAGAACCATTAACACTCAGCATGCTCTCATCCCGTCGCGGTGCTCTCAGAGCAGGATACGTTGGTGCTTGAGTTGGCATAGTTGGGTTGAATGTTGCACTGGATGGCATTCGTGTGCGCTGCGGTTGGTGGTGTGTGGTACCGTTCGTAAGCTTTGAAGGTGACGTGCTGCGAACCGGGATGAATGGTGGGGGCTTGCCCAACTTGTACGGGCTTGGTGAGGGCTGGACGCGGATAGGATTTCGGGACTGATGATACGTATCGGCGCGAGCAGAATGGGTAACCATGCAAAAAGAGGGTATTTAGTAATACACGTACCGTTCCAGGTGTGTTGGCAACTGCGAAAGGATTTGAGAAAGTGCCTTTCTTCTTTGGAGTGGCTATTGCCATACGTGCTTGTAAGATCAGTGTCATTTGGTTTGAGCAGAGACATCATGCATGTAGGAGACGCACCGCTTTTGAGTGCTCGAGCCGGTTCACCGTCATTCGCCCCAGTCCCCGTCCCCGAACCTGAAGCCTCCGATTCCTCCAATGCGGCCGCCCATTTCCGCTTTCGCGTCTCTCGATCGATCTCTAGTTCCTCCGCATTGCCTAACCGTTCCTTCTGGAGTCCACGCAAACACGCCTGGACGTCTCCATCGTACTTGTCCGCAAAATCGCCCATCTTGACACTGCGCACGAGCTTTGGTATGCGAGAAATCAAGCCTTCCTGGTGAAGTTTGAAGTTCGTCAGGGCAACTGCTAGCCATTCCTCCAACTGGCGGACGCGGTGTTCGACTGAGATGGTACCAGGCGCGTTGGTTGTCATGAGATGATGAGATACACAATGTTTGAAAGCGATGTACCTTCGATGTCTAGGTTTTTTATGAGTTGCTGTTTTTCTTCTGGAGTGTATCTGCGCCTCAGGTCGGGGACTTTCATGATCTCGCACGGGCTTGCCAGTCTTAGCGCGACAATCGTAGAAACACACCAGTGACGCATCACGTGACCGCTCTCTCTCCCCCCAATGAGGCGGGCCGTAGCGGACCGGATCATTTAACCGGATAGCAGTATGTACCGGTGGTTGAATCCCTCGGACTCGTCTGAGTTACAGATTCCTTGGATGGGATTTCAGACGAAGAAGACCTCGTAGCCATAATTGTGCCAAAAACCCTAGACCAGAGATACTAGTAAAATCCAATGTAGATGGTGTACCACTTTCAGGGCGGATCCCCCTGAACGCACCCTCTAAGAAGAGTGTTCTTGACAATAACATTATTATCAATGTAAAAAACATGGAGTGCACAGTGTACAAGTGTTATAAATGCACATGTAATAGCGTTCAGTATATTGACACAAATGGATGAATGCACGCAGTAAACTGATAGAGAAGTGTAGCCGCAAGTGAGGTATAGAGAACGACAGCGCAGCCCCTGGGAAAAATTTGATATACAGACCAAACATTGCTTTCGAAATGGAGAGGGCCAAAAAAAAAAGGGAAGAAATGTAAAGGAACATGATGACACACTTCTTAAGTTCCAATTCCACAGGTCTAGTATGATAAAACACGTCGAGGTCCAGCCAACTACAAGGCCTCAGTGGAGCCTATGATCACGATCGCGTTTGTTCTTGAAGCTGCTCAGCAGCTTGCGGATCCCACGGTGGTGGATACCGTGCGTCGTGCAGGTTCTGGTCAGCGCGAGCATCCTTGATACGGTCTTTGGTAGTCATGTTCATTCTCGCTCGACACCGAACAAGTCGGAGTTTTGTACGGGTTATCCCTATGCAAATCAGTGAGCTATCGAAGTATGTGAATGTGTGAACCGTACACGTGGCGATCATGGTACGGTCCTCTTCCAAGAACGGGTTGTCATGCTGGAGGTCATCTTGCAAGACATAAAGACACCAAAGGGACTCCTCGTAGAGTTTCTCGCATTCTGTGGGACTCTCCGCTGGATCTAATAATTCCTTTCGTGCAGCCGTTCGACTCTAGGTAAACAACGAAGACGCTATTAGGAAACACAAGGATAAATGACCAGGCGACAACTGACAAGGGACAAGGCACGATCGTAGACCAGTTGTTCCAGACAGGTCTCGGGACCATCGTATTGGACAGGTAACCAGGTCTTCACAAGCCCAGTACGATCGTTACATTTGATAAACTGATCCTTAAACCAAAAAAGGGCTGCAGGTCGCGATCAGTCTTGCTCACTTGACTCTCGCCAATAACGGGCAGATTGCTTACCGTCGTTAAAACCCTCGCTGACCGTGAGTTCGCAATCAGGTTGTCGCATCCTCAAATGTTCTTGGTAGTTCCGAAGCTTGTCGATGCCCTTCTGGCAAAAGGACATCAAAAGTATGTATACTGCGACACATGTCACGGCGTTAACATTTGCTTCCTGGTCTGCGTGCCGCCTCCGCTGAGCATGTTTCTCTGCCTCTCCTTCTCGACGCATAAACTTAGTTGGGTCGGGAAGAGGTTCTGTAGGAATGATAAGAGGTGAAAACCGATACAACTAGGATGGATCCAGAGTGACCTACTCTGCGGTACTGCTTTGACACATTCATACATCTCGTCCGCCCAATGCATTAACACGTCCGCTTTCTGCGCAAGCTCTTCCAACGAGTCCAATAACTGATTTTCCATCGGATCACGTTCGACAGCCATGCCATCTTTCTGTTTTAGCCCTTCACCCGTAGGCGATCGTATAAGGATCTGCGGCCGTCGTGGGGATGTCTGGTAATGACCAGCGCCGGGGGAAACGGGCGACTTAGGCGTCGAGACACCAAACAACTTTCGCGACGCGAGACTCAGCGCTCGACTGAGAGCATTCGAAGCCATACGTGAAGGTGACGAGGAGAGGGGAGGTGCGTGAGGGTTCGGTGGAGGTGGAAACGTCGTGTTGTGGCTCGTGGCAGAACGTGGCGAACCAGAATGAGGCGATGAAGATGGGCGGTAGGGGGGATATATATCGTCCGGAAGATCGGAGACCAGGTTGCGCTCCATTTCCCGCCGCCGCCGAACTGAACTGAGCTCTGTAAAATCCGATATAAACTCATGATTGAAAAACAGACAAAGACCAAGTCACACACCATCAACCGCTTGGTTGAACTCCAGTGCACGAACATCCCCGACAAGTACATATTCTTTTCGTATAAGTCCATCTTCTTCAGACTCTCCCGGAATGACGGAACCTTCAGTTGACAACGGCATTGGTCCTAATCGGCCTTTCATAGCAACAGGAACGGGCACATCAGCGCCCGGTTTAGTGGGTTCTTGAGCTGGCTCAATAGGTGCGTTCGTAAGGATCTTACCATTTCCTGAAATTGGGCTTGTCACAGACGATATTTCAGCTAGAAGATAGTGGATAGCAGGAAACGAAATACCTTGGACGTGGAGGCGACACAGGAGAAGTATTTTCTTCTGGATTCGTCTCTCGTCTTCTGAAGTGGAATTTGCTAGGCGGAATCATTGCTTTCGGATCAAGTACCTCTGGAGGTATCACGCGATGATGGTCTGGAATATGTCCAATGGGAACATCGTCTGCATCGTCATCTGGCTGTGAACTCTGGGCTGTAGTCAGAGTCGAAGTGCGGGAGGTCGCATCTGGCGCTGGTCGTGGAAATTTGGATTTTGCGAGGGCTTCACTCTTGAAGAACTCCTCGAAACTTGCACGTTCAGTTGGTTGACGCTTCAATAGAGCGCGGACAAGGTCCTTGATGTCTTGGGGTACAACATATACTTCGTCTGCTTTGGTGGAACCTGTCGCGGATTGGAGTTCTTCATCGGGGAACTTAACACCTTTGGAGCTTTCGATTCTTCTGAGCAGCTCGACGTGGTTTTGCGCGCGGAACGGGGCCTTCCCAGTGCACATTTCATACAACACAGCACCGACACTCCACAGATCGGCCTTCGCGTCATACTTCTCATACCTCAGGATTTCGGGTGCCATGTACAATCTAACGAGTGACTTTCTTGCTTAGAAAAGATGAGGCCAACCAAGGATATGAAAGGGACGTACGGCGAGCCGCAAAGTGTTTCCGCCAACTTCGCGTTTGGCAAGGATCGTGCAAAACCAAAATCCGCGATCTTAAGTATTGGAACACCAATGGGATGACCCTTGGCGAGTTCTTCCGGTGAGGCGGGATTGAGGAGTAGATTCTAAAGATAGTTTAGTCTTGCAAACAGACGGAGAGACGGTTCTCTCTACCTGAGGCTTGATGTCTCTGTGCATAAGGTTCCGGGTTCTCAGAAATTTGAGTGCTCGCGCTATATTACACGAATTAAGCCTATCCTTTGTTATTGCCTGACATTAACTCACCGAGCTGACGCAAAAAGCCACGAACAACTACAATATTCAGACCACCCGACTTCGGGTGAGGATAGTACTGGAGAGCAGCCCCCGAAAACGGAGCATACTCTAGACCTTCGACGCGCCCACGCTTCTTGATGTAGTTAGTGAGATCTCCGCCAGCACAATATTCCATAATGAGATATATGTTGCGTTCCGCACGCTGTAAAGAGCATAATGAGCACAGCGAAAAGATAGGGTTCTAGAGTATGTGGCATGGATCCACTACAATCCTAGGACATGCCATTTCCCCATCTGTCAAGCGAATTGTAACGGAAACCCCTGCACACACATACATGCCCACAACAAACGGAAGGAACGGATCCACATACAACAATATCAATAAGTTTTGTGATATGTCGGTGCGACAGAGACTTGAGAATTTCGATCTCGCTTTGCAAATTGTCGAGTAACTTGGCCGTGAGGATTTCCCTGCGAACGGCCTTGATTGCGACCTGGTGGTGTGTGTCCTGGTGCCGAGACGGATGTCATGGCTGAGCAGGCAGGAATAGGATCCGTAACGCACCTCATGGTATCCTTTATATACTGTGGCAAAGCTTCCTTTGCCTATGTCGCTTACGATAACGTATGGGCGTGCTTCGTCGTCGTCCTCCTTCCGCCTGGCTGCGGACTTTTCAGGAGCCATGCCTGGAGAACGCGTAGGGAGTGGCGACGCGGGTGCAGGCATGCAAGGAGAGACGGGGGTCGGTGGCAGGGCTGACGGCTACCAGATTGGAGTGATAAGTGGAACTATTACAATGTACAGGAGGTCAAACAACTAGCGGGACTGCCGCCAATTAGTAGCCGAAATACAGGCTTCACGCCATCACATTACGCTCGATTCGGCAGTCTGTTCCTCAGAGGCCCACACACTACACTGACTAAGCCGACATCTCATACAAGACTGCAAGACAAACACAAAACCGAAAGCAACACGCAAGCTAGGGGGTATACACAGGTAAGCTGAGATATCTAGTACATGCCCTCCTCAGTTCTTCCTCTCTGAATCAAAAAATGCCACCAGCTGTCCGACAGGAACCTTCTTACCCGGACCTACCAGGGGTTTGTTCCCCTTGCCCTTTTCCGGTTTGGACTGCCGCCGTAGAATCAAGGGGTCCACGAATTTTGGAGTGCCTTGGGGGTCGCTCCCGAATGCCGAGTCAGAGCGGAAATCAGTGGACTGAGACCTGAAACGAAGCTTCCCTTCGGCTTGGTTGCTCTGCATCATACTTGTGGGTGCGCCATACGTCGACTGCGCTCTTGCACGACTCCTCGGGCTAGAAGACTCGAACAGGTTCGTCTCGCTTCCACTGGTCAACCTCACAGTAGCCAAAGCTCGTGAAGCGGCCTTTTTCCCAACCGTCTCCATCATGTCTTCGTCGTCGTCCTCGCTACTCTCAGTAGTAGACGAGAGAAAAGTAGTTCCCATAACCGCTCGCTCCTTCTCGCGTTCGAACTCTGCTTCGGCTTCTGGAGGCGCCACAATTGGGCCACCAAGTGCGACGGTATATCGTTTCCTCCCAGCTGGCATTGGAGAGGGGCTGATGCTTCCACGCCGAACACTTTGCATGCTCGGGGCAGGAAGGCCGCTCGTCGGGGACATCGCACGTGCGGGGGGTGACGATGACGCCGCGGTTCCAAGAGGACTAGACATCGAGGGCAGACCAGAGAATATCGCTGACGTAGGGCGGGAACTAGCAGGGGGTGACCCAGCAGGAGTATGGGTAGGGGAAATGACCTCGGGGCTGGCGTAGTCCCCCGTTGGATAAGGTAAGCGGGTTCCCGTTCGATGTGTCGCTACGTAAGCAAGCGGGGGACTTGTCGATTCACGAGCAGTCAGCGACGGAATCCGGCGCGGAGTGTTCATCACGCTCGATATCGCAGCCCCAACTGAGGAGATAGAAGGAACGCCGAAGGCATCTTGCGCAGCCCCGGGCGAGGACTCTGGGAATGGACTTGCATGAATCGCCCGCGGTCCGTGTGCCTCGTCATTATTCGACAGAACGGCAGGAGAATTCGCCAGTCGTGCCATCTCTCGCCCGAGTTCAGTGATACGTGACTGCATTTCAGCGACGTCATCTCGAAGTCCACTTATCTCTGGCTCTGAAGAACGCGCATCCTCTCCTCCATCGTCCTTATCTTTCCCGCGCTCACTTTCTCTTTCAACGAGCCATCGTTCTACGTCGCCCATGCGTTCCTCGAGCGCACGGACGTGAGAAACGGACCAACGCTCGAGCTTCTCGAAGCGTTTTGCGATTATTAATAGGGTTCCGGGCACATCCAACGTACCGGATGGTGTAAAGGACGCGTAGAGAGGAGGTTGTTCACGGGCGGGTGATCCGCCCGGAGAAGTACCTCTTTGTAGTGAGATTGGAGAAAGATTAATGGGCGGCTGTGCCGCCGGTTGCGGAGACAGCCTCACGGGGGTCCTGTTGGGGCTAGGGGACGTTGGGGAAGACGTGTGTGGATGAGAACTGCCAGGTGGGGGCTGGAGATTGAGATCTGACGTGCCCCTGTCTTTACCCTTGACAACCTTCTTTTCCTTCTCGCGTGCTTTGACTTCCTTGACGATTTGCTGTGCTGGCGTGAGGGGTTCCTTTTCCTTGGTTGGTGTTAGTCGGTTCTTCGCAGCGGTCCACCAACTGGGCCCGGTCCCGGCTTCCTGTGCAGAACGTGCGGGAGAGGGTGGGTTAGGAAGCGTCTGCGATCTCGCGCGTTGCGGGGGAGGCAAGGACTGCGGGGAGGAGTTCATCATGGCAAGGACGCGCTCCTCCATTGCCCTTCTCTGTTCGGCTTCGCGAGTGAGGATCATTTCTGCCTCGCGCCTGCTCCGATCTCGTTCCCGCCTGGCCTCTGCCTCCAGTTCTGCATCTGTAGGGAGAGCTTTACTGGATAATGCTGGAGTCATGAATGAACCGACGCGCTGCGCGAGATTGGCTGCAAACTGGGACACAGATGTCGAAGGGGATTGACTGCGAACCCATGTGCGATCTGCATCGCCGTCGTCATCTTCATCTTCGTTGTCGCTGTCTTCGTCGTCGTGTCCGGGTTGGCTGTCTTGGGAGTGTCTTCTTGGCACAAAGGTGTTGCGGAGTGGCGAGGGTGGTCTGTTTGGGGTGGATGGGTGGCCAAAGACGGGTTCGGGCTGGATGGTCGTGTATCAGTACTTTTTGCATGTCTGACTGTACGATGTCGGTACCAAGTCCAACGAAGACGGGGGTGATACCACCGAGGTGGTCATGCGTCGCTGGTGCTGCTGTGTTGGAGCAGGTCTTGGGGATGAGAGGGCGTTAAGATTGGCGATGCTTGGGGACAACGACGTCGACGAGGACGTGTTGGCCAGCGAGTTGCCCGACATGGCAGACACTCGTCGACGCGAGCCCGGACGGCGACGACGAGGAGGTTGAAGTCAGGGACAGATGGGAAACACCTTCCTAATCGAGACAGGGTACCTCCCTGACAAAAAAAGTTCGTGGGCGGGGGGAAACATCCAAAGGGACGTGCGTTGGACGCTGGCATGTCCACGACAACGGGACAAGGCCTTTGATGGACTCGAGACGCGCCGAAACGTGTGTTCTGTTTGATGTCGGTCTGGCTGGATTGATGATAACCCCCGCCGTGCAGACTCCAGGCGCTGTCGGCCTACGTAGAACACCAGAGAACATTGCTCGCGCGCACACAGGCCGACATCGAGAGACTCAAACAGCTCAAGAGTGAGATACCCGTGCTCTCCGATCCACCACTTCTCAATGGCGACCCCCATGTATGTACAACAACTCCCTTGCCCATCGCCGCAGAATCCTGACGACCCTGCAGAGGAGTTCCGTCTCTGTTCTCCAACTTCTTGGAAGCCGGGAGAAGATCCTCCCATTTGAATGCTACCATCCGAGTCTGTCATTTCCAGACAAGATTGACTGGCAATCATTCTCGGCTTGCGGTGATTGTGCAAGTACTATTGCCATTTCGTTCGTCGTCTGATGTATTTTGGACCACGTCCAGACCCAACACCGCTGCGGACGCTCGCCATTCGAACTCGCTTGCACCACACTCAATGCAGCGTGCCCCAACCAACCCAGCGTTCCCCCCTGTCTGCCCTTCAGAGATTTGTAAAGGATGCTCGCAAGATTATCATTGACCCAGTCCTCGAAAGCATATGCGGCAACCCCCACACAAGCGAGGCCGATCCTATATCTACTACTAGTAATTGCTTGGATAATTCAGATTCACTCCACGAACTCGATTGCTTAACCACCACTACCACCACTCTACCTGCTTCGCTATCTGAAGACGAATCTCAACAACCCACCCCACTCGTACAAGAATCAGCTACTGCCACTCGGAAGCGCGAGCGGGCTTGCGCCAAGATTCGCGAGCTTAAGAAACGCAAAGTGAGACCCGACTTAGTGGTCGGGTGCAAGCTTGGAGAGGAGGGCTCAGACTCGGTGTTCGTGCGCCATGACATGGAAGACGAAAGTGCTGCAGTTGACGTCAGCGTCGATACGCCCGCTGTGACACCTGTGGACGGATCTTTCGTCCAAGAGGATACTGCGGAAACGAAGGGCATGGACACCTGTCTCGTGACACCTTCAGAACAGGCAGGCTGCAGTGGCAGTAGTAGAAGCAACAGCGGACCACCTGTCTACACGGATACATTCTCGCGGCCATCACGCACCCGGAAGCCATCATTGAAATTGCAATCCCAGGATTTCGGAGAGCCCAGAGGCTCTTCGCCTTTACAACCTCCAACTCCTTCATTGGGGAAGCGCTCCCGGGATGCATGCGAAGTCAAGACCTCAACTCGCAAACCCAAGACAGAACAGCTATCTCCCGTCACGGAACTAACCGTAGAGGCAAGCAAACTCCGTTCAGACACGTACAAACAGGCATGGTCGATATCCGAGCAACATCTCCTCGAGCGCCTTCTGGAAGAGATTCCTGATGGAGAGAGAAATCGGTACGTCCGGTCACCAGATACTAACGTCACTGATTGGTTATTTCACATAGCTGGGCGAAGATATCGCAAGCGATGGGAGGACGGAGGACACCGAGACAAGTGGCGAGTCGTGTTCAAAAGTACTTTGAGAAGTTGAAACGATTCGGACTTGACGTAGATAACGGCAAAGGCAGCGTAGGCAATTGAGGGCTGTCGACTGACCTCGTCCCGTATGAATACTTTGTAATTGCTGTCTATAGTCTTGCGTCCCAGCAGGTGAGATAGCCGGTAACCCTAACCCGAAGGCGGACATGCAGAGTCGGCTGCACCATGTGACGTCTAATAAACCGCATGGGTCGACGCTGCAGCACTTTGATTCATCACGCCAAAGTCGATTCAACCCCGACGTAATCAGAAACGATGTCGACGCAAGGTTTTGACCCTAACCAAGCTCAAAATCTCCTCGAAGTACGTTGTTCCGAGCTTTCTTATCAACTCAGGACTCCCTGACGTTCGAAACACCCCCCGTGGTCTCGCCATGAAGATCGAAAAACAGTAAGTGATCGTCCTGTCATCAACCATCTCATGGGTGCGTACTGACCAGTCGGTACTGCAAGATTCGCTGTGAAGGCTGTCGAACATGCCCAGGTGAGTAGTCTGGCTGGAACTATGGACCCGCGTCTTCAACTGGATTCCTAGACCTACTGGAACATCCTCGAGAAAGTCCCTCCCCGCGGATTAAGGCTAACGAAGTGAGTGCGAGCGCATCCAAATCTGGGGGGGATGGGACTTGTGCAGATGAATTCCTCGACCGTCCAGATTAGACGATGAAATCTACGAGCACGTGATGTCTGCCTTCCCTGAACTGAGCGGGAATGATCATGAGAAACTGGTCAAACTGGACGAGGACTGGCTCAAGAGTGAGGATGGGAAAAAGAGATGGCGGGCGTTTGTCAACGCGTCAGTACATGATTCATACCTGCCAGGCTAACAACGATTGACATGTACTATACATTCATCCCCGCCAGGTATGAGAAAAAAGTAAAAGATTTCAACTTTGGTTCTCTCATTCGCACGGACGCCAAGCTGGAGTATTCGGAAACCAACACCATCTTCGGTTAGTTTTCTTCTAATCTAACGCGTTCGATCCGTATCCCCGCTGATCTTTTTACGTGTTTTATCTTGTTGTTATCAGTGACTCGAATGCAGTTCTACGCGATCGAGGTGCGTGGTTTTTCCCCGTCGTTAAATGGACATAACATGAGGATGTTGATTCACCACAGATTTCTCGCAATAGACTGGGCCTTAATGATACGATACACGAGATTGCCAAAGCCGACGCAGAGAAGGAGAAGCTGAAAAAAGCCGCTCTGGCATCCGCTAAATCGTAACCTTATTCTTCTAGGAGATGAGAGGGGGGCGTCTTGCTCGTATTTACATATTATCATATCAGCGACGAGGCACCTCGCCACTGCTCTATCGCAGTGACACATTTCAGTTCGTATATATGTTCATCTGTCCGAGCCAGGCTGGAGGTGTGAGACTGGACGGAGGAAGGGTGTCCCCATTGATCTGAGATTGACATCCTGTGCGTTTGCCCCTTGTGGGTTCCCCGTATCTCGATAACTGAAAAACGTAAAAAAGTGGGGGAGGGCGTCTGTGGTGTCTCAAGGGGCCATTGCAACCCACAGCTTGCACACGTAATCTGTCTGATGGGCGGCGTGACAGTGACAAAGATCACGTGACGTGACCCATCGCGTTACTAGTCGCTGCACTCTTGGCAGAGCGTCAATAATGACATGGACGACGACGTGATTTCGATAGCGTCGTCGAGTGGTTCTGAAGGGGGTGAGGGAACAAATCGGCGTGCAACACTTGACCCTATTATTAGGCGCGTCGTCGATGCACTGGGTGGTCTCGAAGATGGTGTGTACCGCATGGGAGACGAGGTTATGGGATGCTTGAGGGATCTAAAGAAACTATGGCGACTCGACGACTCGGACGACGAACGTACCGTTGCCCGTATCTTCTGGGAGACAAGAGTGCTGTCTAATGACCTGATACCCATCCTTCTCGCCACTGCTGGCAAAGGGCTCGTCGAAGACAAACGAGCCATTGCGTGCGCGGACTTGATGACTGCGATGACCTGGCCCATCGACATGGCAGAGGAACTGAAGGAGCTGGACGACGCGCGCGACAAGGGGACGGACTATACCGAGCTGACTTTCAGTCACCTCAACTACAAGGCAGCACTCCTCAAACCAGGCGTGATGCAGGCACTATTCGGTATTATGCTCCCTCCCCTATCGAAGCCCGTCAAGGAAAGAAACGAACGGGATGGCCAGGTCGTCAATGTGATTTTGCACCTCATACGCAACCTTGCGTTCATCAAGGACCTGCCAGTCAACCTGCACCTCAGCGGAGACCAGGCTGAGTATTCCTCTCTCCAAACCAAGCTCGTCAAGGCATACTCTGAAACGAACGTGCTGGATCTTCTTCTGACCATCGCTTCCAACAACGATAACGATCCATTATTCAATTCATTTAACACCTTGGTTCTGGAAATCTTCTATCTGTTGTTCAGGGGTCTTAAACCATCGACACTGGTGATCGATCAGACAAAGGTAGGACTCCATGTTACCCTTTCATTCACGCAAAACATGTGTTTAATACCACCGTCACAGCAACCAACACAAGATCTTAGACGCCTCCTGGCCGCGGAGGACAAACAGAAGAAGGACGTCGCTCGATATGCGTCCTCCCGGCATTCACGATTTGGCACGACGCTTACTGTGCAACTGAACCCGAAAAGGAAAACGCGGGATGCAACCCAGGAGGTGTCTGAAGAGCCTCAAGGCCCTGCATCTGCACGGCCGTTGGTCCTTCATCGCCAGGCAGCAATTAGCAAGGAATCCGGTGATGTGCTGGATATAGCGAAACAGAACAGATGGAAGAAGACCAACAAAGTTGACGAATTGACCCGCGAAGATGACCTATCGACGGAAGCAAGGATGGTCCTGCAGGGCTTCGCTAGGGAATTCGTAGAGTCCTGCTTCAATCGTGCGTGCCTCCGCGGCGTGGGGGCTAAGTTGGGTCGCTTACAATGTTTTTCCAGCCTTCCTGGCCTCCCTCCTTCAGGACATCAAACACGAACGACCGAAGATTACAGAAAAGGATCATCTCCGACTCTTGTATACCACCAAATGGTTACTGGAATTCTTCCTTGTGTCTAGATCAAGGGAAAATGCAGTGGATGGATCTAGGAAGTGGAGCCTTGGTTTGGTTGCCGAAGTCACAGACAGGAGTTGGATAGTCTGGGTTCTCAGACGCATGCGAGATGCTATGGATGAAAAGGTACGACATCATATTGTGTCACCAATGTCACCCCATTTCACCAGTTGATACGTGTGGCTTGCTTATCTACCTCTCACCTCAGCCCAAAATGTGGACCGAATTACAGGCGGGTATCGAATGCCTAACGCAGCTCCTTCTCCTGATCGACACCATGTCTTCGTCGGTAATTTCCGATTCCAATCTCGATGAAGCCGCGCGGCTGCTCCAACAACAACTTATCTATAACGGCGACGTTCTGGACATCGCACTGGACAGTCTGCGGTCTTTCAAGGAAGGCACGCAGTCGCTTGCCTATCTGAATGCCAGCGTGTACCTAGCTTACGCGCTTCTCCGCATGCTCGAGAAATGGGGGAAGCAGAATAGCAGTGCAATGTATGTGAGAAAGAAGAAAGTCAGCAAGAAGAAAGGGAAAGGCAAGTTCAGATCCGTCCAACACACGGTCCCATCAGTGACGCGAAGGTGCAGTCCATGGAACCACCGAGGACGACACCGTGCTTGATGTCGAAGAAGAGGCGGTAGACGAAGACAGCACAGAAGAAGTGATACACGAGACAATGTTCACCTTTGAAGCCTTCGAGATGGTGAGCACCACACAGCCTCCACACATCACTGCTGATAAAGATAACGTAGAAATTCGCGCACTCTGATGTCACTCGGACGCTATTGGCTTATCTTTCACGATACAAGGAGTTTGATACCCCTGAACTCATGACGAGGGTTGTGAATCTAATGCATAGGCAAGCTGTGAAGGTGAAAGCTGAGGGGCTCTACTTCAATGTGCGTGTACCGATCCTACACTGAAGAATGGAACTACATAGCACGTTTGCAGGTCTCAACACTCCAGCTCTTCAAGACAATTCTCGATGATCAACGATCGCTCCCGAAGGACAAGCCCTACAAGGACCTGGTATCGCTACTGACCTTCATCCTACGGAAATTCTTCAAAGCCCTAGATGAGGAGCCGTTCCTCGCGATGGAGGTGAGGTATTAATTTCTCCTATCTGAACACAACTGCATTTGGTTTACTTGCTTGCTTGTTTGCTTATCGAAGCTTGTTTGTTTATCAGGCACTGTTCCCTATGAACCGCGGACACTGGAAGCAGTACTCGAGCTGGGAACCGGAACGGAAATCAGCCCGCATACGCGAGGCAACCGAAGAGAACAGAAATTTCTCCACGGAAGTGCAAGTCAAGAAAGGATATTCTTGGAGCGAACAACTTGGTATCGCCGTTGCCGCACTCGTAGAGGACGGGAAAACTGAACTGGTGGAGTGGGTGAAAGACGTAAGTAAATTGCCTGTTTGCATCGTTCTTGGTTGGAGCAGGAATGAACGTTTCCGGTGAACCAGATTCTCGTGCTGGTCATTCGCCAGCGCCAACGGGTCGTTGAGGAAACGGATCAGAAGGACAGAGATGATGATGATAGAAATGCGGAAGATGCTCGAGAGCAGCAACCCATTGAGCCCTCCAAGGAGGCAATATCCAAGTTCGTGGACTACGGTGCGTCTCACGAGCCTCGAGGCATACAGAGAATTGAACTCACGCCAGCCATTCCTTACATCAACGACGAGCATGCGGACGCGGCGACCAAGAATCCCACGCTGAAACTCATGTTCCGCTTGCTGGGCTTCACCATCGAAGCAGAAGGTGCGGTATTTTTGCCCCTCTCCTATCCCATAGTTGACGCGGCCGCAGATGCGGAGGAACTACAATGGGTCGTTCCGGCCAAAATTGTTCCCTCTATCCTCCAGAACGGGCACAACAGCAGTCGACCAGTTCCTGCGGAATCCAATTGACCTCGAGGGAAAGAAAGCCAGCGAGTTGATAACCAAGAAAACAAGGAGGCGTCAGAGAAGACGATCGCCGACTCCAATCACAGATGCTGAACTTCCCGATGACGAGCCCAAGCGCAGAAAGGCGAAAAAGAAACGGGAAGAGAAATCCTACAAATCAGCCCAGTTCATTGAAGACAGCGACAAGGAATGCGGAGATATGGAGGCCTTCCTCGAAAAAGAGAAAGTTCTGCGTGAACGAACCGCCAAGGCTGCCGAGGAGAGCGGACGAATTGCGACGATGCGAGCAACCGGGACGAAGAAGCGGCGCAAGAAGGCGAAAGACGACTCCGGGTCTAAGCGAGCACACACAGCTAGCCTGGGTTCAGGAGGAAACCATTATGGAGAGTCGGCGGTCAGCGTGGACTCTGACGATAGTGGTATGGCATCGGATGAGGATCCGATCTTGAGATCCCTGCGCAGTAGCCGGTCACCCACACCCCCGCCGCGGTCTGTCCCCCGCCCCCGCCCCCAAGCCCCGTCCCAAGCCCCGGCTTGTCCAGAAGAAAACCAGTGAATCACAGGCGATCCGTATTTCAAGTGACTCAGATCAAGAACCGTTGGCGCAACAGCCCCCAGCTGGTTCGCGAACTCAACCAAAACGTCGCCTTGTACTGTCAGATGATGAGATGTAAGGTAGTCAATATGGAGTATTACGCTGGTATCGTCCGGACTCCTTCGGCGTAACGTTAGTTTTGATAGGCTGTTATCACCAGGGTCGTAATTCATCTCCACTGCATGACGATACAATGTCTTCAAAACGCCAGCGATGGGCCATCGCTAGAGACGACTGGTTGGGGAAGCGCTTGCTGGCGTTTTGGTGGGCCCCCAACGAAAAGTGATAGTATCTTCCCATTCACGAAGGAGGGCAACGACCGTCACGACCTGCCGCGTTGTCCGATCTGATCGGCTGCGGGGCGGGCTCGCCCTGTGTTATGATTGCCAGATTGGCAACCATTATCCGCTGGTCTTCCATTCTATCGAACAGCCCGTCTTTCGTCTTGCATTCGCCTTACTGTGATGATGAATCGTGATCGGTACGGCTCGATCAGTCCTGACAAGTCCAGCCCAGGTCTGTGGATTTCGTCGATAGTTGCGCGGGCTGTCACCGTCGTACAGGAACGAGCATTTTAGCGACCCGGACACGGTCCGGGTTTTCTATTGCTTGAGCTTGCTTCCGGTCCATTCCTCTTCATCACGGTCCCCCACGACCGTCCATAAATGGTTTTATGGCAGGGTTGCGCGGGCGTTTCGCTCGTTTCGTTCTTCGGCTCCCTTAGGGATTCATACCCGGACAGGCCCACATCCCCGAAGGGACCACAAAAAAAGGGGGACAAAGTGCAATCGTTGTCCGGTACACTGTCCGAGATACCAGCGTGCAATGGAACTCGGAACATTGTTTTGGAGTCGTCGTCTGACAGTGTCTGACTGGCCCAGAGGCCGCCGATCTGTCAATAAAACACTGTATAAGTACATAGCAGATGCGGCCGTGTCTTACCATCAAAGTTCACGGCCCACTGGTTCCGTCTTGCTTTTCTGAGAAAGCTCAGCGCTCAGAAACCAACCCAAAACTCTCCTCCTTTTCAAAGACCCTTCTTCTTTCTCAGACTAAGTACATAGTTCCGGACAGACCAAGTGGCCGCTGGCCAATAGGAACTCTAACCGTTTGACGCACTGACAATTGGCAAACCCCCCTTGCACTGGCAGGGGAGCTCCACGCCGCCCGTGTAGTACTAGCGCAGCAAAGCCTGTAATGGGATGGGATGGAAGCACAATTGTCATGTAGCGGGGCCTTTTAGAAGCAGAGATAGCAATCATGAACGTGTCCAGCGCGCCCAGCGCCGCCCGAGCCAACACCGGGAAACCTGATACGCCCGACAGATTGACCACGTCCCATCAAGGGTACATCAAGGCCCGTCGCCCTAGGGAGTCAGCATAGCTAAAGTGCTGTCCAGGGCTGCCTGTGGGCCCACCAACCTACCACCTTAGCGAAAAAGAAAGAAAAAAAAAACATCTAGGTGAGTAACTGACAGTTATCTAAGTGCCGCATCGGCAACGGTGTCTTCCCGTCACGCCGCCCCATCAAGGTGATTGGATTTGAACTTGTTGACCTTCCTATTTCGTCCAGAATGATGGTCGATTCGGTTTCAGACTGCCTGAGAAACACAGCGGATACACGCCGTAAATGATCTATCTCATGATCACGGTGAGTCCATTCATGAAACTTGTCTATAGTAATATACTGTCATCTGGTTCCGAAAGGGTTTCTTGTACCTGTCAGTTGGCATGCAGGCCACGTTGCATGTCATGGTGAGTTTGGCTTTTGCTGTCGCTCCCCCGGTGAGTGGTAACTTGTAATAGAATCCTATTGTCTGATACAGAACCCTACAATGCTATCGATAATCGGGCGTCTTGTGACCCATGTCCGGAGTTGTGGCGTGCGGCATGGATGAAAATCTGACGATACGTTCATGCCCTTTGATGCTATGTACTTTACGCCAAGCCCCCCAATCATCAAGCTTCATATACGAATAAGCGTGTAGCTGCACATAACGTGGCTCATTTGAGCCCATTCACCATCGCAATTACTCCGACACGACATATGGCAGTACCCGTCAAGATGTCACGGACAGGTCGTTTCAGAAGACGGCAGAACACAATCCATCTCGGCGCCTTTTCATTTGATGGCGTACGTACTCATCGTAAGTTCAGTCAATTGCGTCCGCATTTCATTTCGCCGGCACCACTGCTTCAAATTGCTTTACCTTGGTTTGCTTACCTCACTTCCCAGATGGCTGCGCGGATTCGGACACACCTGTGCATACCTACTGTTATATGCATAAATAATCTCCTTTTATGCCGCCATATCACGGTCCTGTCGTTCCTGAAAGGTCAGGCCATTAACTGGCACCAGGGAATTCATTCTTGACACATATCGACCAGACCTGACATCCTTTGAGCAGATACTGCTCTCCCCTTTATCTTCGACTAGATAAATCATATTCTCCACACACCTACCATATACATACTAACGATCCATACAAAGTTGCCGGCGCTGTGCACAATACATTTGCCTTGAGCTTCCCATGAGGCCTGGCTTGATATCCCATAGATGGTTAAATTGATATCTGGCAACTGAGCGCTGGAGCGAGTCGCCGTTGGATTTCACAGAAGCCAAAGTATTGAGGCAAGCACCCAAAGGTGTATGTTACTAGACACGATGGAGAAGAGGTATGGGCTCTACATTATAGTCTGCCCTTGTCGTCACACATCAGCATAACCCTGGAGAACGCGCGGACATACGGGCATAAGCAAAAAGCGGAGGGTAACGTACAATGCAGATCGTCGGCTCGGACGATCGCGAACCCGAACTTGGGGGCGAAGAGTGCTTTCTATTTCGATCATTTCTAACAATGGACAAGTGGGGACTCTGATTTGCACACTAGAAAACTATCGACAGACGGCTTTTCCACGATAACAGTGTCCTTGCCTGAAGGGCCTTAGGAAGTTGTGCTACTGAACACGTAGGTGGCAATTGTCTGCATGCTGACCACATACCTTTGTAGCGTGTCAATCCTGTGCAGGAGATTACAGCTCCACTTACATGGAAGGCAGTCTGGGCAGGATCACCACTGAACGTTCACGCCTCACCTTGACAGTATCTGATAAAGCCATTCACATCGGTTCCATTGATGGCAAATGAGAACCCCGCGTGCACGGTCGACAGATAACGACAAGCATTCGGAGCGCCAGTCGCCTCGAGTTACCTGATGGACCACTAGCTTCCCCAGCCAGTTGGTGTGTCAATGATGGTGTTGTCCAGCCGATAGGGTGAGATGCGGCGTAAGTCCCTTTGGAAGGGGGTTGTCGTCGCAACTGCACCAACAGTTAATATGGCACAACGCAGATACAGCGCAGGTGGAGTGCATTGTATTCATGACATCCTGATCACGGCGATGAAAACAAGGTTGCAAGGGGAACCCAAGGGAGAAAAACAGTTCTAAATAGCACCAATGCATACAAGACTCGCTGGATATTAGCATGAAGTGTCAGAGAGCGACTGCGCAAGGCCAATCAGCGGGAACCTCATCGCTCGATCGAGCGATCTCATTAGCACAGCCTTCTGCTGCGTGAGAGACTCGGAGTGTTGCACAAATGGATATAAGTGTTAATAGCGGCAAAGAAACCACGCGCGGGTGATGCCGACTGTCGGATTGAATTGTGGTTCTTGGCAAGTTGTCGGCAATGTGGCTGATCCAGATGAGATCGATGTTCTGCCGGGGGAACGGACAACAGCCATGGACCCGTGAGGTGGATATGGTGTGCACGACAGAGTTGACATGCCAGGACATTGAACCTAGATTTGCGTGGATGGATGCCAGCTGCCAGATGGGGGACAAACAGAGAGGGCCATAGATTGTGCACGCATGCGGGAAATGGCTGCGTTGTGATATGTATGGAAATAACAAGGCCCCGGCATACACGGAGCTGCCACGAATTCAGTAGGTGGTAGGGTCCGGCACACTTCAGAAAAGTTGTTTTTTCCTTCTGCTTGTGATCCTCTTTGTCTGCTTGCAGGTGGTTGTAGTGCCAATACGGGAGGGAAGGTGGGGTCCAGTGAACACGATGCACATTCGAAAGGATGGGAAAGCGCTGATTTCATCGAAACACTATATAGATAAGAACGAGAAAAACCTCAGTATTGGAACGGGCCGCTCTCCGTCGTAGACGGCTCGTTGAGTTATAGATACGTCGTGAGAGCGGATCTCAATTCCTCAAAGCGTGGGTGAGAATAATGGAAGGGTAAAAAAAGAAGGAAAAAAAAATTCCGCTCCTATACTCGTATATTCAAATTATTATGTCGGGTCATAACCGGAGTAGACGGTGGAGAGCTGCCAGTCCGGTCCTGTTGGGGTGGAGGCGGAACCAGATAGTAGTGCTACCAATGGGGCATACCGATGGAACTGACCCCGTGATCAACGATGCATGATGGTGGTGATAACCGCGTTGATCAGCCGCCCGACACAAAAAAGGAAGTTGGGAGCTATTTGACGTCAAGTACATATGCAGATATGCAATGAGGGTCCTTCCCTCTGCCTGTCTTTAGAGGTCCCTGGACGTGATGTGATTGGCCAGTCAGTCTCTGTCAATGCGGATAAACCGTCTACGGTGGCTGATAAATGAAACGGTGAGCATGTCCGCAGTGCAAGGCGTGTGCAAGGGTGCGCCAGCCTCGTGGATGGGTGGCTCTGAGTGGAGCAGGAGCGGAGGCGGACAGAGCGCTCGGTGAGGGAAGGGAGTATCGCGCGAGTTGTCGCGGAGTTTCGGAGAATGAAGCAGGACTCGATTTAGGGAAAGGCGGAAGCAAAAATAAAATAATTTGTTGATCGGGGATCAACAAAGGCACACAGTTCTGAGGCACGGCGGCATGATGCTAAGCGGCCGCAAGTTGCCGTATTTGAACGTGTGGCCCCCACTTGTGAAAAGGTGAAAAAATGAGAAAAAGGTACATGTATTTTTTTTTTTACATATTGCAGTCTTGACCAGCCGTTTACCATATGTTCGAGTGGGCAGCAGTTTTTTTCCCTATGGAACAGGAGAACTTCTTGGGTGAGAACTTCTCGAATTCGAATGAGATCTGAATGCATCCACGACAGGAAGGAGCATTTTTTTTGCCACCTGCAGGGTCGACATGAAGCTGGACATGTCGGTCGGCTGACGATGACAAACCGAATAATATCGGAATCCGAGGCTCTTCTCTTATTTGGCATAGACTGTTTCTTGCTTGCCTTGTCCAATCCAGACGGACGTGTGGGCGTCTGTTTATCTTGTCATTGTCATTGACTTACCCAACTTATAATAACTCGGCCCTCTCTTTTTCTTTTTTTTTTCAACCCCGACCACCTTCGTCTCTGTCCATCCTCTTACGTGATAACGTTACATGTCCTCTATGGCACACCCATCCTCCGAGTCGGTCTCGTCACAACAAGCTGATCGACCAGAACGCAGCCGTAATGCAAAGGCCCAAGCCCGCCACCGCGCAAAGCGCAAAGCATACATCGAACAGGTAAGTTGTCGTCGACAATCACCAATGGGTGTCGTCAACACGTTGTCTAGCTCGAGCAAACCGTCACAAAGCTACAGACGGCGTTGGGCTTCACGCCCGACCAGGTAGCCGCGCTACCTCCTCCCCTCGTCAAAATCCGCGAATTGGAACAGGAAAATAACCGTCTTCTGAAAGAAAACGAGGAGATGAGACGTCTCCTCACAGAGTCCGACCACAGACACCACATATCTGCCGACTATCGAAGGCACGCACTCAGTTCCTTTCATGACGTCCGCAGCTGCGACCGCGATTTCAAGAAACGGAAAATGGATGACCTCTATATGGTATGGTGGCACTCACTGGTCTTGTGCTCGAAATGCTCACTCGATCACAGCAGGCGCCAGACCCATCTCATCCCGAGACCCTCACACGGCCACCGCCATTAACGATCCCGCAACCGCTCTCGCATCAGCAATACAGCAGTATTCCCCCCCATAACTCTTCCTCTGCTCATGGCGTGTCCGGCACCGGCTCCTCTCTCTTCAATCTCCATGCACCTGCATTCCACCACCAGATGCCCAACACCCCCTCTGGCTCGAGCTCGACTTCGAGCCCTCCTTTTTCGGCGAGTGTCAGTTCCTCTTTAGAGTGACGTCATGTCCGTGAGGACCATAGAATCTAGCATTGATTTTTCCTTCTACCAGCAGCCTGCCCAAATGAATCATTCCTCGCACTCACCCGCCAACAGTCGACCAAGTTCTATGGCCCACCCACTCCCCAACAATTACCACTCCAGCTACGGGTCCGTAAAAGTGGAAGATGATCAATATGGCGTAAGTAGTCCTAACGACATCGTTGTAAGAACTTGTTACTGACCCATGTATACGCCGTCAGTCATCCAACAACCATCACAACCATCACAATAATCACAATGGACAGGCTAACCACTATCACAACACCACTCTCCCCCCATTTGCCCAGGCAGTTTCTGAGACTGGTGACATCGACAGCTGGCATACATACTCGGCTGAGCGTGCGCAGGTCCACCGCTGAATGCCACTACGGATACTGGTGCTTGTCATGTTGACCATGCCTCTCATATTCCCTTCGTCGCTGTCATTTGCGTGCTGGCCTGACAATTGTAGAATATACCCGGTTTATTTTGTTATCGCTGCAACTCGAAATCGCTTTATCGTCGCATCTTTTCTCTTCCCGATAGACTGCCCCATTGACATCATAGGTTCCTGACTAATAGGCTCTCTTTTTTATTATTCTTTTCTTCAACTGCCGTACAAATTTTTTCTGCAGAACATGCATGTATAGTACTCCCCCGCAAGTATAATCTGTACATAGTTGGTCGTCTTGAATCCTGGAAATGCAATCAATTGGCACGATTGACGAGAACGTGAATTGATGATCGTGGGGAAACGGACAAGTCTTCGATCATATTTTGATGGCAGTTGGGTAAAATGCGCATGTATTGCCTGTGACATTATGGCAATAATTTTGCCTTTTCGCTGGGAAGATCTGAGGGGATGCATTACGTACCCAGTCGACTCAGCGAACATTCGATGAGAGGACTCGCGGACTGGCGCCGTCTATGACATGGCGGGGTTGACTGGTGAGCGACACGTTAACTTGATGAGCAGTGTATCAAGGGTACGACCTGGTATGACAAGTTCAAGATAGCTTGTATCTTCTGGGGGAGGAACTTTCTGATGGAAGACGTACGGGCGGAACCGACCGACGAGCCACGGCTGCTCGTTTGTGGAGTTGATGTGGAGGGGGAATCTTTTAGCGAGTCGTTTTCCCGTGCTAGTAGGCATCTCCTTGAATCTGCCTCGTCTATTTCCTTCTTCCCTCTCGTTTTTTTCTTGCCAATGGAACCCCCCGCCATCCGCAGCTACCACAACGCATACATCGTGTTGCAGGGGAAGCGCGGAGAGATGCGTTGTTGCCAGGTATATGTACTACGATGTAGGCTGCCGGGTCTCAGCGATTCCTGGATCCACGGAGTCGACTTCGTGCGAACCTCTTTCTAGTGGGCATTCAGCTACCCCCAAGTTCTTTCCAGTCACCGGATCCGGCTCATGTGTTTGTGAGCCTCGCTATCACGGCCGTCCCCTGCTTCCCTCTAGTGGGTGGTGTTATTTTCAGGAATTATTTCAATTTCCAATTGGGATCGTTATCGCAGAAATCCCAGGCTGCACGCAGTTGGTCCATTCTCCTGAAGGATATTCCATCCCGTTATATAAATCTCCTCAGATCTCACCACGTATATGCATCCGACAAGACGCACAGGTAATACCGACGAAAAAAGGGAGGGAAAAGCGGAAATATATTAATATATTGCGATCATGCTCTTGTTAGGGTCGTCAAGCTATTCCGTCCGTGCGCAGCGGATATCGCTGATGGGAGCTGTCAATGTTTCAATTTCAGCCTGATATGATACATATTGTGGTACAGTGCTGCATTTCGAAATTTTTTTGTCATGATGTCGAGCTGATACGCAGGGTCTCGGTCGCACGGCGAGCGGTGGTTGTTTTGATGGTGTGCGTATCTTGTATCCACTTGCGCTCGGACGCGTGGATGTAGCCGCGATACGCCGACACCGATTCGAATGACCTCCGATACGTCGATCGACACTACGGTCGAACCCCGCTTGTTAACGCTTGAGTAGCCAATGTGCCACGGACGTGCCTGGTCTCGCTTTAGTGCGATACGAAATTCTCGGACGCCTTTATGACTTCTGCCGTCGACCCGCCTTGTTCGAGAATCGAACAAAGTCGCTGAATAACGCTTGATTCCTACCCGGGCGACCCATCAACTGGTCTTCCATTTAGAAATTCCTTGCTTGTGACTTTCAATGCGCCATTAAATTTTGCTGCGTTCGGAAGGTGTGGATTTCCGCTTTGTGTCTGGTGGCTGTGGTTGTAAATAACCTGGTGGACTCTGCGCCACTCATGACCGTTGTTCTCCGGTCGTCCACTCTGCTCTGTGGTGGAACTGTGGCACGACAATGAGCCACCCTGCCTTTGGGTCGACATGTTCACCATACATACGCAAGTGAGGGTAACATTGTGGTGGCGAAGCTAAAAGCTGTCGAATCCTAGTTTCTTGTATCAACGTTTCACCTTTAGGCACCACCCGAGGACATCGGCATGCCAACTATCGAACCACCGGCAGACTCGCAAAAGCCGACCTGTCGAACGATGGCACGCATCTCCTCGGGCACGTTCCCCGTCTCCAGGGGGTACCGTCTCAGGCAGATGCTGTACAACCCTTGGAGCGTTCCGAGAAATACAAACTGCGCCAGCAGGGCTGGTGGCATCGAACTTGATGGAATTGACGAAATTGGACTAGTGGGTTCGGGCGGGACCCCGGACGATATCATTCCACCTATGCCGTTCGACGACGCCCCTGTCTACGCAGATACGATGGATCTTAGCGGTAAGTTTTACATATTTTTCTTCTTGGCTGGCTGTGCGTACAGACAGCTATTCTTTACTGTTTCTGTTTTCGTTGTCTCGCTTCAACATTGAGTATTTCTTCCGCGGAAAATTTTTTAACTTCTAGGTTCTAGACGCCTGATTTCGAAATATCTTGTGCTGACTGAATTCTTTTCTGATATGTCCAAAGCTTTGTCATTTCATCAGTTCTGGGGGTGCCTCATTACTCCGGAGAACGTAGCGGCCCAGATCCAAACCGACGATATTCGCTACCATGCCTGGGTAGCGGCAATGAAGGTGGTCGAGCAAGACCGGTGTGTAATTTGATATATCTGATGATCCAGCTACGGTTGCCCGCTGATGCACGTTTCATCATTGCATTGGATTGTGCTGCATTCAAATCCCATTTTATTCCCAACCTGGGCGCGCTCCGCTGAATACATCGAGCAAACAATAGTGAATGGCACAAAGCCCGCGCCCGTTGCAAACATACGCATACGCTGCTGGATGCGACGATGGACCAGTTCGTGAGTGGCCCTCTATAAACGGCTATATGCTCATTGCTCTTCGGAACTCATGTATTTTTTTTCCCTGATACGGTTTACCGCTCCACGGCGCTTGGAACCCTGGCCCTTACCTTCTGCGGTTCCTACGCCCTGTCTTCGTCTATGAATTATTTGATTACGTGAATAGTTCATCGAGCTCAGTCTCGCACTTCTGGACCTTTGCCCAGGCCCCGTGGTCGTGTTTGTAGATCCTCGATTGCACGATAATGCAGCGGCGATGGTCGACAGGGCGCAACATCTGGTCGCTTTGTTCGACAAAGCGAATGTAAGGCGGTGGAGAGTCATCGTGACTGTTCGTCGTTCCATCTATACACGGCCGGGTTGCCTTCGCTAAGGGACTTGTTTTTTTTCTTCTGTGATTACAAACAGTTACCTGCGACGGAAGACGGACTCCGTGCTGCGACTGTCCTCACGGAACTCTCGATTCAAACCAACCTCTCGCTCGTATCTTGCCTCCCACATGCTGCTGCATGCATCGAAACCGGTGCGAAGATGCTGACGATGAGCGTCGGAGGCGTGAGTTTTTTTTCTTTGGCAGCCATGTTTTCCGATAATTTAGGGATTCTTCCCTCCCGCGTCAATGCCCCAAACGCAGATCTTGGAGTGGTACGAGCAACAAGAAAAGTTGATACCAAAAATTACGGCGGACCACCCTGGGATTGAGACAATCCAGACATGCACATCATATATACTTCACAACAAAGTGAATAGCACACTCACGACCGCTGATGTACGCAGTGTACGTGCAAATTCACCCTTTGATGCTGTTTCATCCAATTTATTCATGTACTGGACTTGGTTTAATTTTTTCTCTTTTACCTCCCGCAGTGGGCAGAATTAAAACAACTGAGCGGTATCGGTGGCGCAGCACTCACTGAAAAACAACTCGATCAGATCCCTATGCGCACCCTCACGACGTGGTTTCCCCGTTCCAACGATACTTCCCGTAGCACGATAAACGCGCGCGCAGCACCGTATCCTACGCGCTACCTCGAGTCACAGTGGGGATTCTTAATGTCGCACTTTCCCGCGGAGTGTCGAAGCCTCGTCTCTGCGGTTCTTTATGTCCGTCTGGGACAGATGAAGGTGCTGATGGAAGAAATAGAGGGTGTTGTGAAAGACGAATTGAGGCATCGGGTAAAGCTCGTGAAGTTGGACCTGAAGGCGATGTATGCATTGAAACCTTGGGTGCCAGAACCGGCCTCGGAAGGCGCAGACAAAAAGAAGTCTATGAGGAAACTGTCAAGGTCACCTTCGTCCTTATCGGCGCTCAGCTCTTGCGCATCATCTGTAACGCATTCTGGTAGTCGCGAGAAACCCCGGTCCTCGTCGGTATGCAAGGAGAATACGACACCTTTGGTCGAGGGTGTAGACTATTTCTAATCTTTTCATCGTTACCCATCCCGGCTAAGCTGGACTAGTGACCGGGATGATGGCCATATTATAATTTCTGTAGCTTGGTAACTTCTCGTGGGGCACGTTTACTTCTAGCATTCATTACTTCATTTCATCGCTCGTTTTATACGTATGTCGACACAATAGTTCGCTTCCTATGTATTCTAAGTCTCATCACCGAACTTCTCGAACAATATCATCTATTCAAGTTGCATGCTGCGCACATAGACCGAACTTTGCGGCACCGTGTTTGATCTAATGACCGCGCCAGCACGTCCCATTAAAGGCGCTGATTGGCAGGCCGAAGGAGCACGCCTTATCGGCGACTAGGATGAAGTCCCGCTCAAGTTCCACTCTCTGAATTGTTTGTCCGCTTGGCGATCCAATTATATATTGGTTTTGGCAATACCAGGGGTGGTGGACATTACGCGCTGCCTGTCATTATTTTCGCAGTCGATAGGAACGACCGAGAATTGTAGGCAACCCTAAGAGCCAGAGTCGGTAGCATTTGTTGGTCATTTGCCATCCACTAGAAGTTATTACCGCTACTCATCAGAGAACGCAATAAATTGAAGCCCAGAATAATTTCAATTGGGTCTGAAAAAGTATCCGACAAAGAAATCCTATCGTTCCCCACGCAGCGCACATACAGAGCGGCATCGCGCATGCGCAAACGCGAGCTGTCTTCTATGTATTTTTCTTCTTGGCCTCAGTGGCTGTCCCCACTTTCACCAACTTCGACAACCTAAACGCCATGTCCACTGCGATCAAGAGAGGTATCACCAAGAAAGGTATATAGCTTGACAGCAGTAAAATCCGTTGGAAAGACGTGACAGAGTGGATGCCTGCGGCGACAGTTGCCGGGCTTGTGGTTGGAGTTGACAGCAGAAGTGCTAGGCAGGGCAGGACCGTGGTAGCTGTGGAAGCGCCGTACATGATCAATAAGGGGTATATGCTGGGCGAGTCTAGCCAAATGGAAGAACAAATCAGTAAGAGGAGGCAACACGAGGGCGCCACACACCTTGCCATAGTTTGAAGGCGCCAAGGACAAAGACGGGTAACTGAAAGAAACTATTGGAAGGAAAATGAAGTAGAATTCGCCCGACCATGGTTATCATCAGGGACATGGACGGCGACCATGTACTCACGCCTCGAGGTAAAGGAACAGCTTGAACCACGCAAAGTCACCCGGGGAATAACCAAACACACCCGCAATGAGTGGGTCAGACGAAAAACTGAGGTAGATGATAGGAAGGGCTTTGATTGGAGACGGCACGGCCCATTCGGGGTATAGAGCTTGACAGTCCAGCAGGAGTGTCGCAGGGATATGGATCTGCGTTGATGGCCGTAAACAACAAAAGAATACGAACCAAATAGTAGGAAGATTCACCAGAAAGAATGAAAAGTAAAGCAAATCCAATGGACGTGATCTCAGAGGTCTTCGTTGCGCCATTCTGACGACTGGGGTTCCAAGGCAACTTGAACGTATTTGGACCAACCACCTGTATAAACAACCTCGCAATGTTTCTGTTTGGTTCCTTCAGAACTTGGACAGTATCCCACTGCACATTCGTCAGGGCTGCTGGAGGTATCGATCCACCAGGGGACCAATCTTATGTATGTATGTCAAGGAATTGGCCCCTCAGGAACTTGTATGTAATTGGGATAACTGTATGCCTCTGCAGGGTTGCGATGCACGAGTTCCTTCAGCATCCTGGCATGGTAAGAAAGCCTATCTTCTCCACCTTTCTCTCATCTATGTCCCATTTCTAGCTTTCCGAACCCCCTTTTCTGTCTTTTCACTGATTCCGCTGTCATTCCATTTGAACTTCAATCTCTAGGTTTTCTTCTTGCATGCCCATGTAGAGAAACATAACACCGGATGGCCACGTATTCTTCACTGCAGCATTGGCTGAAAGCATAGCAGATAATGGGTATGCATGTGGATGGTAGGGGTCAATCACTGTACTTGGGATGATAATAACAGAAAGCAACCTGAACATCTGGTATCTAAAGTGGGGTGCAATGGTAAGTCAGCTTTGGTGGGGGGGGATGGGAACAATTTCTTGTCCTCGAATTGTTGACATGCCAACCCTTGTGGTACATGACTTCAATGTTGACACACTAACAGGTTTGATACTCCCTGAAAAGCAGTGTGTGAGGGGTTGTAGTTAGCTATCAAGTAGGATGGCCCAATCAAGGAATGATCATTTGGTGGTTGGAAGTGATGGAGGTAAGTTTTTCTTTCTTTAATCTTGTGAAATACCAATGCTCCAAGATCTCTGACCTCATGACCTTTGAGGTCCCTCTCTGCAGAGTGTACTACATTAACATGTACAGTTCTAGCTTGCCACAAACTAGCAAACTGTGCTCTTTTAAGAGCACATTTGAAAGATTGCAATAGAGGATGCTAAGGAGGTCAGTCTACTTTAGGCTCACACTCCCTGTGCATCTTTGCTCACATATACCTCAAGTTCCTCCAGGTTCAGCCATTGTCTATCTGTTATGTTATGATTGCAACTGCTCTACTTAGCTAGGGCAATTGACAGGGTGTGCTATGCACAATTGACCTTGCATTTCATGATTATGAGCTGCATGACATCAAGTTTCTCTTATTATTGAAGGTGTGCAAAATGATCTAGACCATTCTCACAATTAATTTACATTCCACTCAGTTGATCCTTGTGTTCAAATCTGGAAATCAAGAAGAGCTGATAGTGCATGCAGATACCAAGCAATGACAATGGTGATGATGATGATTACCCACCTTTATACCCAGGCATGTACCTTGTGCAATGTGGACATATAAGTATGTGTCCTGGGTGACCAGAGCCTTTGCATGCCTGATCAATGGTATCACACATATGTAATTTCCTTTCTTCATGTACATGACTCCTTGTACATGAGGAAAGGAAATAACAGATGTGTGATTGTTGGAACAAAACAAGCCCTGTCTTTGGTGGACTTGGGGCATGTGACTGCTTTGCTTACATAAGCCATGAACACACCTAATAGTAGTAAATTTTACCTTAGTTCCTCAGTCTAACCCTCTGTGACCAAAGATAAGTCATCATTGGTAGGGGGGATGGGAACACCTTCTGACCTCCTGGCCTTGTCATCAATGTCCCCAACTTAGAATGGATCATCAACATGACAACCAGGGTTGTGTCAGGGTAGAAGGCTACTAGCAGGAGCCAGCAGAGAGATGAAAAGGCTAGGAAACATAGCAGGTGAGGCACCAGAAGAACCCAGAACAATATTGAAAGCTAGGCAGTGCAGCTAATGCATCTGGGGACAAACCATTTCAGTCTGTTGAAGAGGTCATTGTGTGAGAATGCTGATGGCTGGGGGAACTCAGGTACAGCAGAAGGTTTTGTATCAGGTCCTTCAAGCATCTGGGTGGGACATAGAGTTAGCAGAAACCAGCAACTGGGTAGAGTCATGAAAAGGGAGTTCATGGGAAAGATTTGCCACAGTGGCTTGACAATAAGTAATGACAGACAGTTTTAGATTAAAGATTAGTGATGCTCAAGGTGGCTTTGGAAGTGCTCTAGAATTGCACACTGCTGCTGCTATAAAGTTTGACTCTGATGTGCCAGGCCCTGTAGCACTGCTTGACTAGCAATACATGGTAGTTACTTATCCTGGAAGATACATGTCAAATAACATATCAAACTCATATTAATGCATTGTACATGATTCAATAAACATCTACCCATCATCCAAGAGCTACCAGATGCCCTGGAAATCTGTCTTCCAAGATCTGCTCAAACAGCTAGATGAGACTAGCCTTCATGTTGCAATAGCAAGGCTTGAAAATGCATGATGTGGAGTTGACAGTAGCAGCTCAGAATCTATGTCAACATCACTGAGTTCAGGCTCCAGCTCCCCCACAACTCTCTTCTTCATCACTCTGCCATCACCAGTCACTCCAATCCTGTCAGATTTTGAATCCAGCACCTCTGATGACACAGACTCCACAGCTGAGTGCAATGGGTGTTATGCTTGGCTGCTAAATGCAATCACAGCTCTCAGAGATGAAGTAGAGCATGTGTGTATCCTTGAGAGACCTGAGATGCCAATGATGTGGGCATCTCAGCTGTGCCTCCTCAAACATTTTGCAGATCATTGACCCCACCTGTTTCAAAAGCACCTTTGTGTAGACCCACCAATTTTTGATTGCATTCTGGATCAGATTAGTGGACATGTGATATTCCAAAGCAATTCCAAAAACCATCAGCTGGCAGTTGCAGTCCAGTTGGTGATCTTCCTTTTCTGTGCAGGGCATTATGGAAATGCAGCATTTCCTGAGGATGTAGCACAGTGGGCTGGTGTTAGCATTGGTGCAGTTGTCAATTGTACAAACTGTGTGATGGTAGCTATACTGGATGAGCACAATAGATTCATCAATATTCCATCTGAAGACTTGCAGGAGATGGAAAGAGCACAGGTTTTCACTGAGTCATGCACCTGTTCAGCCTGGAGGAATGGCATGTTCACTGCTGATGGTTCAAGTATTCCCCTCTTTGAGAAACCACATATCTTTGGGGAAATGTTCTATGATAGAAAATCTAGGTACTCATTGAACTGTCAGGTGTGTACTCAAACACTGAGTGCAAACAGCAGAAGAAACTTACTGAGATAGCTTATTGTTTTTCCACACAATCTTCTTGTTGTGGACTACAGACTTGGACATCTGGGAAGTGTCCATGATGTGTGGGCCTTCCAGGGAACTTGCATCATGCTTCAAATCCTATGCAGTTGATTCCATGCAATCATTGGACATAGGTGCAGACAGTGCATACCCATCAGAGATGTGGTGTGTTGTCTCCTTCAAAAAACTTAAAGGATGGGAGATTATCTCAAGATCAGAATGTGTATAACAAGTACCTTTCAAAGGTATGCACCTAGTTTGCTAGCAGTACATGGACTGACAGCTTTGGAAGATCTGCATATGAGTTGAACATGCATTTGCCACCTTGAAAGGGTGCACTTTCAAAGCCTCTGTGAAGTGTGCACCTGAAAATCCAGGACAGAGAAAGATATGAAAGTCATGATTTACTGGGTGCTTTGTTGCATCATCCTACACAACATGATCATCCAGTTTGAGGAGGAAATGGATGAATATGATTGAGTGTTCAACTGACTGGGCAGTCAATGCAAGGAAGTGGCCTTGATGATGGGGATGGAATTGCTGTAGTGGAGGCTGTGGAGACTATTGGTCAGGCAATTTCGAGTGAAGCTATTGCATCAGTTGTTTCAACATCTTAGGATGGGAAAAAACCCATTAATGGTGGTTGTGGGAGACAGGTAGTATTAGCAAGATGAAAAAAATACATTCACCATATGTACATCTTGTGAGAGAATAGCAGAAACATGAATATGATGCAAGCACATAGTGGGAATGTGCTGGAGATGGATACAGTGGGGAAGTGTGGGTAAAAACTTGGCCACAACAAGATAAACCTATGCAGCAGGAGGGGTTGCATCCAAATTGGCCTTCATGAGTTTTGCAAGCTCAATTTTGAGGCAAAGCATCTCTGCCTTGCTGTTGAAGGTGATCTCCTGGGCCTTCATCAGCTGGATGTCAAGTTTCTTTGCCTCCAACTCCAACTCCATCTTAGTCACCATTTCCACCTGCTCTTTCATCAATTCCTCCTTCCTACAAAGATATTCCATCTTGACCATATAGTATTTAGTCTTCCCAGAAGAAGAAGCCACTAGCAACTCAGCTTTGTGACTCAAGTCAATGACCTGGTCTTGAAGCTGAGACTTGCCATGTTTAGTTAGTGTTGAACTTGGCTTCATCGAACTTGTCTTTGATGATGAGTCCCAGAGGGAGTGGCTAGGTTTTTGGGAAGAGCTACTGGAGGAGTCAGATGTTGTTGTAGAGGCAATACTTGCAGATGAAGGAGGAGGGCAAAGATACAGCAAAGACTGAGAGAAGGCAATTCAGCTATCTGATGAGGGCATATGACCCCTTTGCAGGAGGGAGAACCTAGAGGGGAAATGAGTGTCACTTGGTGTTGAAGGCCATTGTAACTAGCAATAACTTATCAGTAAAATTTCATTAATGTTGCTCTGAATGAACATGAACATACCTTGTCACCCTGCACAGATGCAGAGTCCATGTTGACATCAGGGGACTCATCACCACCAGTTTGCTCATCCCCAAACCCCAGCATTGCCTCATCAAACCCAGCTCCACCATCATCTTCACCCTCATTAGTGACTTCACCACCAGCTTGAGATGGCATGTCCTCCTTGGCTTCCTCAAGTTCCCCCACTGTCCCCCCCACACCCATACAATCACCTGCAATCTCAACCCCAGAACCCAAAACATTCTTCATACCAAGTGTCTTGTTTTAGATAACCACTAAGAAGCCCTCTGCATGGTTTTTGTTCAGCTCAGAGCTGAAGGGCTTGGGATTGAACAATGGGTTCCCCTTCCAAATGAAATGTAAGTCATCATACCAAGGAAAACTGTTGAGAATGACATCTGTATGTACACATAAGCCCCTGCATTCTTGTACATTGATCATGTAACATACCATGAAGGTTGGCAAATTTTGGATGGCCAGGTATGATGCCTTCCCCAGACTGTTTGAATCATGCATGGCACTTTTGATAGCTCACTTCCAGCCTAGATGATCATTAGTGAATCCTGGGTTTATCAGATGATTGGAGACTCACATATTGAGATGGTTTCCCACACTGACTTGAAACTTGGCAGCACTCACTGTGTACACATCCTTGTAGACACTGTCATCCTCAAAAATGGCTTGGGCAATCATCACTTGGACCTCCTTCTTGTTGTTGCCCACTGGTCTCTCAGTCAAAGTAGATGATAATGATGGGGGTAAGTTGCCTGAGTTTTTGTCACTGAAAAGAATCCTGCAGTTAGCAGGATGGCTAAGAAGCTGCTGGACAAGTATTTTGGTATAAGGAGTATCCCAATTGATGTTTTTCAGCTGGGTACTTTCCATCAAGGAGTCAGCTGCTGGCTGCTTGTTGGATGCTGGGCCCTTCCCTTTACTCCCACTCCCAGGTACTTGTGAGGACAATCCACCACCAGTAGTCACAGTTACAGAAGGCCTTCCTCAACAAGCTTGTCCACTTGATGAAGCCATGGGTTTTGATAAGAGTGCCTGCAGGTGAGCAGACTGTAGAGGGTGTCATCAATAGGGAGGCATAATTTTCAAACTCCATCATGGCATTGCTCTCAAATTTGCCACTTCCAGAGCACTTCCAAAGCCACCCTGAGTGCCACTATTGACTAATTTAGTCAGAAAAAGAAAAAGAAAAATGAGCAAGTGACTTGTTGCTACCAGTGTTGTGCCTGCAAAATCATAGCACAAGAAGGAAATAATAATACTACCCCCTGAACCACAACTACCATGCTCTCAGCCAAGCTTATCCTCATTATTTACACATGTAGTACTGTCCTCTGTGCTTTCAGGTCACCTTCGACAAGTTCTCATAACTCTCGCATGTGTCCCGGTAATAGCTATCTTCCTCATTATCATTTGACGTGTTCCTCCAGCTACGTAGCTCCAACAGAAATCATTTGTTGCCATGGGGAGTGTCCTCTATCATGTAGCAAATTTGTACCACATCTCAAGAGACTGCTCAGTGACTCGCCGGAAGTTAGACAACTGCTAGTACTAAACCGGGCTCACCTACATATGAATTTGAAACGAACAGTTGCAGATAAGTGTACAGAGCAATACAATTCGTTCATTCGCCGAGTCCCAACTGATGGTACAATTCAAATAAACAACGACTTCACAGCTGCTGCTCTTCGCCCTCCCTTCCGCCGCGCATCCCAACAGAAGGGGAGTTTTTTTTAGAAAAAGAACGAACAGTGAGGAACTAATCTCCACCCATGTCGATTTTCCCAAGAGACAGCAAGAGAGCATGCGTGCATGCCTTCCGGTGATCGCACCTAACTCATCCTCGAAAAGTGTAGTTGGCGCTCGAGTACGGTTAGACACCGCGATCAGCTGCACAAGCTCAACTGTGGGTCGTCGTTTACTCTGCAAGATCAATCAGATCAGGAGGGGACGAGATCGCGTGGGGGATATGCAGAATACGCACTGGAACGAGCTCTCATCTTTCTGCGCTTACGTCTGAGCCTCCGGGAGCGCTTTTTCTTCCACTTCTCTCTCATTTCTGATAAAACCAAAATATTGCACGATTAACGATGGATATGAGAATACCCAACAACAAGCATACCTGGCTAGTGGAGTGAAGCAACGGTGAAGAAGTGGAGATCCTTGGCAAGCCATATTTGCGGCGTCGTGGTGCTGTATAGTGGATGATGTAAGAATTTCTCACACCTCTTCTGGATAACCCCTGTGTTTATGAAGACGGTTGCGGGTGACTGATGGAGCTCAAGATCCCGAAAGACGTCAAGAATCACTGGCCCATACCTGTGGTTTTCACTAACGACCTGGACACTTTCGTCTACCTGGGAACATTATCCTGGCGACTTGTTCACCAAGGGCTAGTTCATCGATGTGCGGCTCGGCTATAACTTCTATCGAATACGTGGACTTCCTCATGCATCCTCTCTGCGGATGTACGCATGAACCAACAGCATTTGTCAACCCGGTGTGCTTGCCAATCGGGAACTCACATCCACTAAGAATGCACAAATTTTACTCATGTATTCCAATAGGCTTCAACAGTTAACGGGCCACGGCGCATCAAGGCACGTTAAGTACGGAAAATGAGTGTGTATTTAAGTTGAGGACTGGAGGAGGACGTTTAAGCTAAACTGAGTGCGTGCCATATAGCGAACATTATTTAACCCCGCACCCTGAAAAAAAAGGAGGGCGACCAACAAAACTCACCAATCTAAACTATTCATTCAACCAGCAGCCTGAGCTCTTTCCAACATCTTATTTATCACGACGGGTCTCCCACCAGTAGAATGGCGGGCCAAATCCGACACCCTATTCTCCCGCATGCGCGTCAAGGTTTGCACCAGCGTAGCGGACGTCACAACGCTCATCCCGTCTGCCTTCCGCATATCATCAGGACCTTCAACGACGGGCGTGCCGACGCGACTGTGGGTGGCGCTCAGACTCTCCGAGAGTCCATTCCCTGTTCCCTGAGTCGTCGCAGAATACGGCGAATTGCTTTGCGTGTGAAACGCGGATCGTGGGGTATCGGAGGTATCGACCTCTTCCTTGTATCGTTCCCACATCGAGTATAAGGATATCATTTCTTGAGCGATCGTGGCGATGAGTGGCATGGACACGTTTAGTCCTGCAAAGAAACCGATGAAATCTGGAGGTTTCTTTGAACCGAATAAGGAGGACGAAACTTGGCGAGAAGATCGCCGGGGTGATATGTGGCTATCATCGGAGGGACTGAACTGGGACTTCTGCATGATCAGTTCCTTCGTTGGTGTGTGTAGCGCTAGGGTGAGATACAGTGCGGTTATTGCGAGTAAGTGAGGCGGGTAAAGAAGACAGAGATCTGAGCGGTACATGTCGTTGATGATAGACCTGGTGATGGGTAAGTTGGGAAACATCCTGGGAAGGGGTGGGAGTGTACCATGCGAGTTGCAGTGCTTCGTCCGGTAGTTCAAGGTGTCCTTCTCCTGTTCCCCAGTACCGAGGGCCGTCGTCTATGCCTACGCCTACCTCACCAGCCTCAGTCTGAGACTCGCTGGACCCTTCTTTTTGACATAGGGACATGAGTGTCCGGTAGGGGTGAAATACAGTAAGATCACACTCCAGGTCAGCGACAAGGTAAAATTCCATCTCGGCCAATTTCGAATTGTCCACGGGGAAATTTTTGACCCAGTATGGTTGCTCTAGAAATTATATACATGCGTCGGAAAGTGCCATTCCAGGAAAACGGAGCGCTGAGGGGAAGGGGGGGCGGTGAAGTACGCACGACTGAAGAGAAAGCGGGCTTCCGTAGCGATGTTCTTGATGTGAGAAGGCGATTCCTCCGCTTTTCCAGCAACATAACAGCATGCAGCAATGACGATGAACGGATCTGTCTCGCAGTATGAATTCTTGAGGTAAAATCTGCGAAAGAAAACGATGGCGGTCGCGATGACGCGCTGTCTGAAGCCAAGCTTCTTTCCGAGCCTGGTGATTGCTGCCTGAATGTCAAGTCCTCGAAATTAAATGCATAAGAGAATCCGGAAAACGAACAATTGGCAAAGAATAAGGAGAAATAGACAAAGATTTCTGGGTCGTCGACGTATCGCATGTCGTCTGCACGGGCCTGCCTTAGCGTTGCTCTATCGACGATCCATCGTTTGCTGTGGACGTGACATGAGTTTTTTCTGTGTACAACGAACTGAAAGTGATCCAGCGCACTAGTGTGTACTGGACCAGAAATCAGTAGCCATTACGGGTCCCTCAGCTGGTCATTTGTTGGAAGCTAGATGATATCCTAGACTTCGTGGCGGTGCAGCTAACCTTCGCAGTGACTACATAACATAGTGGACACGCCCTCAAATACTGCCACGCTCCGTGACTGGTGTGTTGCACTGAGAATATCGTCCAACTTGCATGTGCGTGAACTACGGTGAGTCGTGCGTCCTCATTTCAGTTCCGCGAGTTTAGACGGTTCTGTGCTCAGTGGCACGGCTACTAGCCGAGACACCATCCGCCGTGCCCCATCATCTGGGAACAGCTACGCGACGCGGCTGTTAACAGCTCTTCCGCACTTGAGCGAGCCCTCTCATTGGCCAACAAGTGTCTTAGCGAGTCTTACGACAAGTCACTTCCAAACGGAGGCAGGTATAACCTGCTCATTCCCTCGGGTAGTTTTGCAGATGATTCACCACAGAGAATAGTAAGGTACTATTGAAGGACATTGGCGACCCCATCGACGGTGTACAAAAGTTTGTTTTTCGGGGCGACGTGAGGTCGCGGCTGCCCCGCATCCAAGAGGCAACGCTCTTCCAAAACAATCAGGCGTCAGGAGTGGAACAACATACCACTAGCGAAGCTGGCCTCCAGGCACCGGAGAACAGTGCATGAAACCACTCCGGAGTTAATTCTATTCTGACATCCTTCAGGGACCGCAGGCAATGGAGCCCGTAATGGAGACTCAGGCCTCACTCTGTACGTTGAGCATTTGCTACTGCTTACGCCAGATACCTGTGGAGTGATATTAGAATGTTGTCTTGGTGTCATTGTCGATGTCCCCGATCCTTAAACTGGTCCGCGTCTGACACCTAATATGAAAGCTTCGACGAACGTCAATTCTGTTCTTTGTTCGGGCAGGAGGGTATGACGATCTTTTGATTTGAGGAGTTCTATAGAACTCCTTGGTTCTTGACACCTTACAACCCCTGGATTCCAAAGAGAACTCGAAAAATATCCGCGTGTTGCTTTATGGATGATCTGATAGGATGCTGGAACCACGCAGACCAATTCGACTCGGACGAAGAGACGGTACTACGGTACACACTGACAGCGAGTTGCATGGAAATGAAGGCTGCTCCAACCAATCAGCCTCCACGATAAAGACTAAAAATAATATGCTGTACCGGTCAATCTTCGGACCGGCCGTCATTCCCCTCAGACCCAAGGACGAGGTCAATAAATGTTACGTCGAAGATGGCATCTATGGTCTCGCTGCGGTAGTGTTTGCGAAATTTTCGAATTATATGATGACTATGCATGGGCTCAAGGCTGGAATAACGAGTTCATTTTTACGGTCGCTGGGTTCCAGTACGTCGTTTCGATGGGTAAAATTAGAGTGGAAACATAATGCATTGGCTGAATGGGTCCCGTTTAGTCTTTGCCTAGTTTGCTGCAGAATGCTGACCGCTCTCGTGTAGCTATGGCAAAGACAAGTATGCCCGTGTTGATGAGGAATTTAGGGAGGTAAGTCCCCAGCACAGGTGGGCAACATAACAGAGAAGTATTCCTCGCCGTCTTTGGGATTGGGTTGTTTGCGTGTTGGCGGTGAAAAGTGTCAGGCTGGAAGAGCTCAAAGGATTCTTTCATGGCATCCTACAAGCATCACTGCATTTCCAGGTACGTGGGACGGAAACGACTAGAAAACAACTCCGAGGACTCAGCCCTCCAAGTCCGTCACTAAATGTTCATGCTTAGGTGTTAGTTCACAGGTATGTGCGATCCTCTCGGTGCAATTTCCGACTACAACAGTTGTCTGTCATCGATTTGAACAGTTATTGTGTGATATCGGTGGATACGTGATCCATCGGGAAGCCGTCAGAGCGTCTTGCACAGGGATGCTAAACGAGCATAGCAGCCTGTGTGGGCTACGACTGCCTGCGACGCTCAACTCTTCCGCCTATTGTTATCCCAGCCTAGCATGATGGATCTAGGAGGTGCTATAGCATTCGGTGATAGCATTGAATCCGAAACTCGCCAAGTCCCCGGCGTAAGTTTGAGATGATTGTACACAGTGTAGTCGACATCTACACCGTCGAACGCGTCATCTGAAAAGACAAAGAATCCGGCCTCGACGGGGTCGTCGTAGCTAGGTGGCTTTTCCGTGCAGTTCTTTGGGTCCTGGATTTGCAGCCGTAGGGATATGGCTTGACGTGCGTGCAAGTGGCAGGCCAAACCAGAACCACAGATCACGGCGGTGCACTGGTATCCTCCTATATTTAACGAGCCCGAATGGCCCCAGGGCAGAATCGACGGTAGTACTGCATCAACTCTGTCTCCGTTGCTACATATATTGTGATTCAAATGCGCAAGGTGACATTGCGCTAAATCTCTTTCTGCCTGATAGGTGCTCCTCTCAAGTCGTGAATGGCGGTTTGCACGGTGAAGCCGTTCTGCGGATACTGCCGTTTACTGTTGCAAGAGCATCGACAGGGGCTAATTATCCAGCAAAGAAACGACAACGTGCTCACTGCTAATCGACTTGGGCGACCGCCAACATGCGCGCATCGACACGACTCGCATCGACAGTTTGTCATGGATTATCAGCCGCACGTTTACTGGGAGTATGGTCTGGCCGCCGACTGGCAGGGAGGACACCGAGCAGTCTGTCACGACGACCACCTTGCATACGCTTCAGTCCAGTGGGCCAGTGCGCACGTCGTGCAGTCTCTTCGCAGGCACCCATTACGGATCCTGATAGGCCAGACTTGTTCTACCACCTCGTTTCGATTCCGCACCCTGCAGACTCGTCTTCGTCCACCCCTGCGTACGCGCTGTCCTTCCTTCCAACTCCACCCTCTTCCAGCAGATCAGCAACTATAATCGGTTGGCTTCCGGCTATCGCAGAGGGGATATCTGGAGACATCGAAGCAGGTCTCAGTGACTTTGTAGAAAACCGTGCGTAAACGACTTCATGTTCCTCAGAGGGTGACATACTAACTACCAATTTTCAGCCAACTTTAGGTCTCTCGTGCAAGAAACCGTCCAGCAGGGCCTACGGGAAGGCGTAGACGAGGTGTGGACGAACGGTGCTCTTCAACTTCAGCATGGATGGATACACATACATGGTGAGTTTCTCACCCAGGACTTACCCTCACCGTCTTCCATTCTTACTGGTCCTTCGCACATGCACGAAACAGACAGTCGCAATGTCCCTCCTCTCGGTCGTATAGGTGATCCAGACGATATCATTGGCTCAGTGCTTGTCGAGGATAGCAAGGTGGACATCTTCCGTAGATTCTGCACCCCACATTACTCACTGAAGCCTCGTCGTTTTCTCAGATCTTGCCAGATACTTATCAAGCCATGCCTGCATACCGGCTCTGCACTTCAGACGGGCCTATTCAGCTGACTGAAGGTCTTGCTAGGAAACTAAGGACTGTGCTCGAGGACGTCGCTTCGCGCGAAACGCCATGATATTCGTCGTTCATTATAGCCTAGCATGCCTTGGTCAAAAAGCATTTCCCGGTCATCACATACCTCTATGCTTGCATATTCCAGTTGGACCGGTCCACACACTGTGTAGGTCTCAACGCTATTTTCCTAGACCAACGCAGGAAGTCAACCAAGGGAGACGTAGATTCAAGCAAGTGATACGACCGAGCATGCGCATACGGTAACAGGACGTAAGTGCTAAATGTAAACGCCCCCGCCAGCATCGCGTGTTTGTTATCGTTGTGATGAAGGAATCGTTCGTGTGTGAGACCAGTTTGTGTGGAGGAGGAAAAAAATAAGAGCAAAAAGATAATGATAGAAGCATATAAAACTGACAACGAAGTCGTGAAAAATGTCGTGAGTGGTCGTGGCAAGTCATCAGCAGGAGATATATGATATTGTGAATGCCGTCGAATGTATGACATTTACGTTCAACGGAATGAGCGCGGCGATCGAGGTCCGAATAGTCCAGGACTTTGAGGACCAGGTACTACCAGCGTGGGCTCAACAGACGGTGGTGAGGGCGCCATATCAGGATTGGCTATCAAAAATATCTCAGTCACAATTTGTCAGTTAGACAAGGTTGGGACTCACGAAGCCATGTCGCCCACGACTGCGCATGTCTCTGCGGGGGAATGTCTGGCTCTGCTTGAGGTGGTGGGGCTTGCCTCGGTTTCCGAATCCTTCTGGTTGGCCGTTGATCAACGGGGCGCCAACCCGGACGGATGGGATGAGGAGCGTCTTCTGGCGCTGGTGGGACGTCAGGGGGCGGTCGCGGGACATCGGGTGGCGGACCCCCACCCATCGACGGTGGCTGCCTATTATTTTTTCGAAAATTATTAGTAGCATTCAAACCGAGTTGTCGAGTGACGAACCAATCTCCGTGGAATTCTCCACCTGGAGAGTACTTGGCTTTCATCATCATCAGTAACCCGAGCTCACTAAAAGGAGTGTTCATTTACGGAGACATATATAGAGTCATCAGATCGAACGTACTGTTGAATGGCTCTTCGCTCCTCACGCAGTTTACCAACTTCACCAAGTAGCATGCGGACTTCGATGGCAAGGGCTTTACTGAATTCGTCCAAGTACTAACAGCCATCATTAGAACGGGATGCGAAGACAGAATATATATTCATACCCCTTGTACGTTGTACGGCACTTGTTCATTGGCTGTGGCACGAACGGCACTGATCAATTCTGCATGCTGCCTCTGGTTATCAGCGTGCCAAGCTAAAATGTTGCGATCAGCATCAGATCACAATGTGTAAGTCAGGTACCCACTCTCGGAAAGCGCATTGAGCAATTCTCGTTGTTCGGTATTTTGCCTTGCGAGATCCTCGAGGACCTGTTCAATACCTGAATACTTATTAAGCCCACCGAATCCGAAGATGTCGGTACAGAAGACTTACCAGGTTTGCCCTCATTCGCTTGTCTCGCGTCCTCCTCCCTCTGCTTAGCAGCGTTTTGTTCCTCCACGATCCTTGCCACGACACCAAGCAGCTCCTGGATCTGATTATCTCTCTCATTCTTCCAGCGTTGTTTTTCTGTCCAGCGGTTCTCATTCGCGGTCTTGTTGTCCTCACAGCACGCCTGATTCTGTTGCACCAGGTTCGCGATCTCGGCTAATTGATTGCGCAACGCGTCGTCACGCTCTGCAGCCGCTGAGCGGGCTTCGTCTGCTTCTGTCATACGTAGCTGCCGCTCGTTATCAAGTTCTGTACGAACACGATTAAGTTCCTCTTCTAGTTCGTGAATTCTTGCTTCGCGCGCTTCATCCAAACGTCGTCGTTCAGCCTCCAGTTCAGCACGTGCGCGTTCACGTTCAGCAGCATTCTCTTCACGTTCCTTTTCGAGTAACTCTCTTTCCATGCGTACTATCTCCTGGACGTCCGCTGCATGGCGAGACGCCGCGTCCTGGGTGGCGGTCCTGATAGATTCAATCATGGAGGCTTCGTCGGCCTCGCGAGGTGGAGGGACCGGTATCGGTGGAACGTTGGCCACTTTCTCTTCGAGTTCGTGGAACAGAGCATCACTTCGCTGTCTGGCTTCGGCATCCCTCCGAGCCTCATTATCCATGAAAATATGCTGCCTAGCCTCCTCGTTCGAACGGAATTCATCCTCGCGTCTTCCCTCAGCGTCATGGGCATCGTGCACGATTTGAGCAAGATCGCGTTCGGCGTCGTTGAGACGTTCGTGCTGCTCGCGCAGGGCGTCGATGAGTTGAGCATCATGCGGCCCTGGCATTCCATCCTCGGGCATCGGTGGCGCCGGAACGTGGCGGGCGATTTCACTGGGGGGGCGTCCTTCGTCTCCCTCTACAATGCTAGGTGGAGGAGGACCACCTCGTGACGGCGTGCGTGACGGCGTGCGCCGATGGTCATGCACATCGTGAGGCTCTACAACCGAGCCCGCAACAGATGCAGGATGAGGAGGGTGTCTCTCCCTAGTATCCGTAGGCAAACGAGGTATAACGGTGTCTCCATGGGGCACACGCCTCAGATCCCTTTCGTACTGAGTGCGGGGAGACACTGGTCGCTCTGCAATACATCAGTACTAAAATCAACAGGCCCCCGTGTGAGCATACCTGGATAATGATAAGGCCTCGGTGACTGTGGTGACGGATCTATAACAACAGCATGATGGGGACCATCCTCGTGTTCGCCACCTAGCCTAATAATGGTAGGTTGGGCAGGGGAATGTGGACGGTAGCTGCGCGGGGTCCCAGCGTCTCCCTCCCTATACTCTGGCCGGCGGTGGATAGATGGCGAAGGGCGCCTTCTATCGTAATCGCGGTCGCGGTCACCTAGCTCGGAGGAATACACTGTATGGTCACTTGGACGTCGCCTGTGACTATCCTCACGCTCAGGTCGTCGTCTCTCGTGCTCATGGGGTTCCGCCTCTCGCTCGTCACGGGGTGGGACGCGATGTGGTTCCTCCTCTGCTGCTGCGGGCCGTCTGGGAGGCTGAATACCTTCATCGTGATCCTCGAAACGAGCAGGAACACGAGGTCCCTCTCGTGTAGCTGGATAGGTACCCGCATCCGGTTCGCCTGTTGGCACTGTGTCCAGCGGGACTGCTGGTTGCGTGGGTTGCGTAGGTTGCGTAGGTTGCGTGGGTTGCGTGGGTAGCGAAGATTCCGCTTCTTCAGGCGCGGGCTGACGTCTGCGTAAGCGGCGAGGATCACGGTCCTCGTCCTCATCAGATTCAGAATCGGGATGGCGACGCCGACGACGGGGATAATCGTAGTCATCATCGTAGTAGGGCGAGCGTCGTCTTCTGCGTCGTCGTGGGTAATAATAATCGTCATCATCATAATAATAACGGTGGCGACGCGGATAGTAATAGTCATCGGAGTCATAGTCATACGTCCGCGGGGGCAGGGTCACTACCGTGGGTTGAGGATGAGCGTAGATAGACGGCGAACCTTGGGTGATCACGGGCGGCGGTGGCTGAGCGTATTGTTCGGGGTGTGGAGATCGGAGAGTACGACGAGGACTTGGTGGCATTTCCATCATCTCACCTTCATGAGGGGTCCTTAAATCGGCCCGGGAAGGAGGGTGGGAGGGTATCACCGGTTGTACAGGTGCCATTGGAGGAGCTGGTTGAACGATAATTTGACCGGTGCCCGGTACACCTGGCATGGGCATAAAATGAGGCGATCCTGGCACAGGGATTGTTGGCGGAACTACCGGCATTCCCATGGGAGGCGCTACAGAATGTCCCATAGGGGGAGGCTCATGTGCCACTATAGGCGTTGGAGGAGACGGGTGTATCTGTCCAGGAGGCGGGATTGGGGGAGCCGTTCCTACATTGATAATATTCTGGGGAGCTTGCGGAGTGGGTGGGCGTGATTCCCCTAGCTGTATGGGAGGGTGTTGATCGCCGAACGGCACCGGCAGAGGGGCTGGGCTGCGGGGTGCTGGGTGGTATGTCTCCTGAGTGTCAGTGCGTGAACTGCGTGAACCTGGTGAGGGCGGAATATAGACTGTAGGACCTGTTGGTTGAACAATCACTGGATGAGTTGCTGATCTGGGGCTAGGAGTTTGAGGTATAAATGGCTCGTCGTGCTCCACTGGACGATGCCTATAAGGTGAAGGGGTCCGAACCTCAGGGAATGGGGCACCGAGAGGCACGTAGCCTCCCCCTCCTGGTCCACCTGGAATCCAGCCAGGAGGTGGTGATGGAACGACCCGGGTGACAGGGGGCGAACGGAGTGGACTCGCGGGGACCGGGAATGGAATCACAGGTTCCTCGGGCCCCAAACCGGGTGGCACAACAGGGTAGTTTACTGTCACCATTGGTTGTCCGGCAGGGCCAGGAGGCTGGGGTATGACTGGGGGAATGACGAACCCAGGTGGGGGAGGTGGTCCTCCTGGAACAACCTGGGGTTGGGGTTGGGGCATAGCTAGCCATGAAATTTTAGCACAAACGTAAAGTCAAGACAAGTGAACTTACGAGGAACGACACCAGCGCCAATACCGACGCGTGCCATATCAGCCCGGAGCTGATCAATCCTTTCCGCTACTCCCCGCAGCTCCGCGTGGCGGTCATTCACATCCCGAGCCAACCACTCGTTCAGGCCTCGCATATATCTCATAAGCTCACGTTGCTGGTCTACGGTCGCTACTTGAGCACGGCGGTGTTCCTACAAGCGTTTGAACAGGCAGTAAATCCATAGCACGGTGTAACCTTACCCTAAGTATTTCGATCAGAGTGTCGAACAGAGGCAATTGTACGATAGTCTATTGGGAGCGTCAGAAAGCCGCAGTTGTACCGAAGTTAGCTCCTTACAGGTCCTGGGGGCATTGGAACGTAAGTTGGTCCGGGAGCCGCAGGTTGAGCGGGTTGAGCAGGCCCGAAAACACCTGGAGGAGGGACGGCACCGGTCTGTTGCATGGAGTGAGAAGTTGTAATTGTTGCACAGAAAAACTGGACTCACGCCATCGACGCGGGGCCGTCGGTACCAGCTGCGCGACGCCTGGGGGTCCTCGGCAAGACCTAACGACGCAGGGGCTGTCGGAGGCCGATCATGCAGTGGCGGCTGTAACAGGTGTCAGGGAAAACGAATACAATAGAAAAAAAAAACACCGACTATGACTGGGTACGCCGGTTCAACATGGGGACGACGCTCGCGTTCTACTGGCCGATCACCCATAGCATGTTCTGGTAGTGGTGGGTGGCTTGGAATTGGTAGAACCTCGGACGGCGGGGGTCGTTCTACGCGTGGTGCGAGTGGCCGGCGCCTGACTGGATGCCGCAAAGGCGGGTGGAGCGTCTCGGGTGAGAATATCCCCATGTCTGGGAATGGCGGGGCCGAAGTAGCCCTTCCTGTCATGACCGGGCTGGTACTCCTGGACCTTGGTGGTCTTTGTGAAGGCTGATATGTAAAAGGAATCAGCTGAGGAGGCGCCTGAACCCCATATGCGCCAGGAGGGGGAGGAGCACCCAACAACTCCAACAGTTGCTCGTCCAAGGAGGGCCCAACGTGTCGTGGCGCCGGTGCATGGATACGGACACCGCGCGCCAGATCTGACCAGCGACGGTGTAGGCTTTCTAAATCAGTCGATGACTCAGAGACGGATTCGACTTCTACTCCTGGTCTCGTCCGTTCCCGGAATTCTTCACGTCTCCTGTCGGTTATAGACTCCCGCTCGACTTGTCTCTGCCTATCGAGTAACCGCTCAAGGAGCGTTTCGATGGTCTCCAAACGCTCGCGTATTTCCGTGTTGTCCTGAGGAACCGGCCTTGTTTGTCGAATTTCATCAATCATCTGATTTGTGGCATTTTGGCCGTCCCAAAGCGCATTCATTTGTTCCCGTAGCTGTAAGAGCAATTCTCTCAAGTTGGCCAAAGACGGCCCTTCCGCAACTACCGGGAGCACGGTCGCACCGGACTCAGTAGATGGCGTAGGAGACGTAGGAGGCGGGGATGGCTCTGAAGACGAAGTCAGAGAAAGCGTTGGTCCAGGTGAAGGCTCCGAAGACGAAACAAGGGAAGGTGTGATCTGCGAAGACGGTGAAGACGGCGATGACGACGACGACCAAGATGGCGATCCTGGAATGTCGTATTCTTCTCCTAGTTCTTCCTCCTCAACCATAAGGCTCAGATCGTCGGAGTGATGAGAGGACAGGTACGATATCCCTGAGTCGGAAGAAACGATCGAAGGTGCTCGTCTTAGAGGCGGGGTTACATCAATAGGAATTAACCCGAGACGCTCTCTGGGACCAGCAGGAGCTACGCGAGGTTCAGATATAATACTACTTCCTCCCACCGATCGGTCTCGATGAACCACTGGCGGTGGTTGTGGGGGCCTTTCGGAAACTATAATTCGTTCAGTGGATGATTGTCTGGTCCGCAAGAACTCTGAGAGGGCGCGCAACTCGTCTCGGATTGTGCGAACGTTTTCCGCAATGTCGTGGGTTTCTTCACTTCTGAAATGATCTAGCTCCCGAATCTGCTCGAGTATGCGCTCGATGTCATGAGTGACAGTCTCAGTCTCAATGACATCGGGAACCGTTTCGAGTGTCGAATGGATGGAAGGGACCCTAGTACTTGGGGTAGGGAATGAGACACTGATACTGGGGGCTGGCGATACTGGCAGAGGGAGCATTGCGGGTTCAACATACTAGATATGAACTTCAGTATCGTAGCCTGGAAGCCAAGACTGAACTTACCACAGGGAGAGTGCTCGCGCGACTGGACAGCAGTGTTGGCACCGTGGATATTTCAGATGGAGGCGGGACATCTGGCAGAGAAACAATGTCCTCTTCTAATTCTCGTGTCCGCAAACTCGACACAGAGGAAACAGTGGAAGGAGTACGAGATAGCGATGACGAAATCACACTACTCGGGATCGGCGTTGGCTCGCTTTCGGGAGGTGCGACCGGCGTGGGAGGTGGTGGTACATGTGGCGGTTGAGGTGGTTGAGGTGGCACATGTCGTGGCGGCGGCGGCAGAGTTGGCAGAGGTAGAGACGGCGTGGACGTCGAAATAGTTTCGGATATATCTTCAGAAATAAGTGTCAATCTTTCAAGGCTTGTTAAAGGAGAAGGGCTGGGTCGCATGGCCGACGTCTCGAACGACTCATCACGGCCCTCTCGGAGACTGACAGACTGAGTGAATGGCGTCGGCTGTAAATGTGAGGAGTCGTAGGAAACATCAGTTTCCTGTGCCCAGTGAGAAGGGTGAATCGACGGGGAGGCTTCAGGCTCAGGAGATAACGGAGATTCGTCAGTCTCGCTAGGAGAGATATCGCTGAGCGCTATCTCCGAAGATTCAGTGGTTAAGCTGGACACCGGCTCTGTTCCGGACGACGGTTCAGGGGAAGTTGGAGAGACCGTAGACGGGAGCGAGAGCGACACATCGCCGGTGGAGACAAGTCCGGATGAGAGCATTTCAGGCTCTTCTTCGGGTGCTTCAGGTTCGACACCAATACTAACGCTAGAGGGGGTAGGGCTAAATTCGGAGGGAGGAAGGGGAACCCTCTCAGGGGATATTTCCAGTTGGACGTCAGATTCCGAGGCAATGGAAGGCACGACTGAGGGTGTCTTGGGTGGAGGCGTTGGGGCCCTCTCGACTGGAAGGTCAACAGCCAGAGAGGGTGGGGTGCTTACTTCCGATGGAATGGTTTTACAAACGGAAGCAGTCTCGAACTGCGTAGAGCGTTCGCTTTTGCAGACCTCCGCAGTGACGAACTCAGTCTCGGCCTCTGACTTGCATACCTCTGCAGTCACGAACTCCGTCGAGACCTCAGAACGGCAAACCTCCGCGGTGTAAAACTCAGTAGACGCTTCGGTCTTGCATACATCAGCAGTATAAAAGTCTGTCGATGCTTCAGTCTTGCAGACATCCGCAGTGTAGAAATCGGTCTCAGACGGGATAGTGGGAAGTGACTTGAATGACGCCGTCGACGGAGTATGTGCGGTCTCATAACCCTCACTCCCTGAGGTGTCAGGAAGCTCAAGAGCAGACAACGCAGCAGTCGAAGGAGCCGGCGTTGGGGTGACAGAGCGACTCCTGGTCCAGGTGCTCATCGTGGATCGACTTGCCGAATACGTGTACCCGGTCGTGGCGTTTTCCTTGTCAGACGTGCTCTCCGAACATGTGTTGCACCTTTGACGTCTCCTACGGATTTCGGCACTCCTGGATAGTGATGAACGAGACGGCGATGTGGATGCGCAAGTGCTGCATGAGAAGGAACCATCATGAGAGTCACCGAGGTACGAGTTGGATTCTGTCCGCCTGTACGATAGAGTAGATGGAACTATCTGTGTGTTTGAGCCGCCCGAGGTCAACTCAAAGGCAGTCTCATCAGTAATGAGGCCGGTGGTAGTACGGTCGCGATCAGACGTCGACGTGCTGGACATCGAGAAGAATGAAGAGCGAGGATTGCTCGACGTCTTCGATGCTGCAGAGAAGAAAGCATCATCCGAGACATCCGAGAGGGGCCGTGCCTTCGTTTTTGCACTGGGAGGTGGGGTCACCCTAACATCCCTTCCAAGCCGAGGTCCACTAGAAACCGTCACCGGGGAACCATCTCCAAGGATCCCACCAACGAGACTCATGGCGAACCCAAGACCAGGCTTCGCGTTCCTTGCCCGGCTGACAGCTGATGCAAACTCTGCATCCAAATCGGTCAACGAACTGGTACGGCGCAACGAGCTGCTTCGACTGGGAGCAATAACCCGAGGGTCCCCTGGGTACACGTATGACTGATTGGATACGGCACCATCATCCGTAGTACGAGTATGGGTAGGATAGGAAGGTGCGCGAGAAAATGAACCAGTGCTCAAACTATCCGACAAGTCGGAGACGCTAGGGATGGTGTGAAGTGGAGGGACAAATACGGTAGAAGCCGAGCCGGAGGTTGATCCAGATGCACTGGTGCTGGTGATCGAACGGATCGTCCTAATGGACCCGGTGGGCGATCCCGGTTCCGAGCGGTTCGGCAGAGTGACAGAGCGATCTAACGCTTCCCTGACGGGAATTTAACAAGCATACCATTTGAGGTTGAAGTTAACACTTACCAAATTGCGCTGACCCATCGAACTCTCTCGCGCGCGCTCTCAGCTGCCAACCTCTCAACGCCGTCAGTGTACAGTAGTTGGAAAGGACAGAGCAACTCCATGAGATCGGGGCCCTGACCCTCCGCTACCTGCGCCCGCGCGGCAATGGTACCGACGTCCTCTGTAGCACTCGAGTGCGTTGGGGAAGGAACCGAACGAACTTCCGTGCAGTTTAACAAATCCAAGGTCACAACTCCCCTACCTCCACCCGGAGCAATCCAGGAGAGCAAGAGCATGTGAGGGTAGAGAAGGGCTTCGCAACGCTGCCATCTGTATGGTGGCCCAGAGTGCACATTCAAGTACCACAAGACACCAATACGAAGGGGCTTGAAGCAAGAAGGATCAATCTCAAGCGACCGCTACTCAAAAAATCAAACTCACCTCGCGACTGTCCCGGGCATAGGCACCCAGTTCGGTCATGTCAAATGGCGGAGGGATAATGGTACTAGCCATGCTTTTCGGAGTGGTTGGGCGATGCCCGTTGGAATTCTCAGCACCGTCTGGAACACGCTCGCGTTGGCTGGCACGTCTTCTTAGACTGAATAGCCCATGGCCACTCGTGCCTGGACCCGTGTTGCTTGGCGGAGAAGTAGTTGTGTCCGAAGGTGACTTGGGTGTTTTATCAAGCGACGGGGTGCGGTCTTTCCATGCTGCAATAATATTGCGAACTGACGTCAAGGGAGAACGAGGGGACGTCTGCGGGCGGTGAAGAGATGAGACGGTTGGAGTGACGTTCGTCGTGTTTGATGCGGTCCTCGACGCTGTGAAGGTGTTCGAAAACGTGCTGGCAAAGTCACTGGGGCTCAACTGGGTGCTGCTGCGGGTAGCGGTGGTAGCTCCTCTGGTGGGCGGCGCAAGCAACGACGACATAGACAACGATTCGGAAACGGCTGACGATGCTGACGATATGGTAGAACCAGCCTTACTCTTTGCAGGCGAGGAGGGACGAGAACTATAGCCCGTGGAAGTACCGTAGCCAGTCGTGCTGCCCAAATGAGGAGTGGACTGGCCCATAGGGAAGAAAGGGCTACGAGAACGATAACCAGGCACAGACGAGGTGCGAGTGTGGCCAAAGGAGGTGTCGGACGGCGAAGAAGCTCTGTCCTCGAAGAACGCAATAAGATCACCAGTCCTTCGACCAGGAACGCGGTCAGCCATGAAGTCGGTACCAGAGCGAGTGTGCAAGTGTCCGGGCGAAGCGGTAGTGCTACGATGGGCGGAAAGCCTATGTCCTTCTGGAGCCCCACGCGCCCCATAAGACGTGGGACGCGAAGGAATATTTTCTGTACGCTCTGAAATAGTGCTCAGCCGAATTCCCTCACGATTGTAGATCGAGTAGGTATCCAAGCTGGTTGAATACGACGGTGTCGTTCCCGTGTAGGTTGGTCCGCTACTAGAGGTGCCACGCGACCACTCCGTCAGCAAGTCCTCTGTGTTCTCGAATTCGCGGTCAATGACATTGAGGGAAGCCTCCACTTCGGCGGCATCTTCTATAGAGTTTTCTTCGATAAACGTATCGCTAGATCCTCTGGGCGACAGGTTGACACGTCTCATGTAACGATCAGAAGTGGCACCTTCGCTATCAGAGGACGCAAGGGGGGTATCTACAGAGTGCAGTTTGAGTATGGAGTCGTGTTAGATGTGCCCAAGACGCGTATTACCAGAGCTTGACTGAGAGTAACGAGATGGAGACATGGGTGTTTGAGAATTCGAAAAGGTAGAAAAAGTGGCGGTCCCATAAGTTGGGGAACGCGGGTCAGTGCTTGAGCCGTAACTTGTCATGTTTGTTTTCTAGATAATGAAAGACACGGTTAGTACATCTCAGAGAGCCAGCCTGGCTGCGAGGCACACAAAGCAACTGCAATCGAGAAACTCAACCAAATTTAAGTTTAGGGTAGACTCGAGACGCGTGCCCGCGTCTGGTCACGTGCGACGTAGTCACTTGGATTATGTAAGTAGCCTTCCCTCCTCTGCAGGACTACCATGGCTGATATGGACGTCGATCAGCCCACAACAGCAGGGAGGAAGGAAAGAGACGACGGAAAAGACAAGAAGAGATTTGAAGTGAAGAAGGTACGACAGATCGGTCGACAGACTCGGCAAACACTCATCCTTCACCAAGTGGAACGCCGTGGCGCTCTGGGCATGGGGTAAGATCTCCTTACCATTCACCGGCGCACTCCACGACTGATTTGTTTAGACATCGTCGTCGACAACTGCGCCATTTGTCGTAATCATATCATGGACCTTTGTGCGCTAATCTTCATCTGTTCTATAGACCCCCTACTTGACATATCGAGTTTCAGGCATCGATTGCCAGGCTAATCAAGTATCGGCATCGACAGATGAATGCAACGCTGCTTGGGGAATTTGCAACGTACGCTTTTGTATTTATCCCGCCAGGATACGAATTTAATGGCACGACCAATAGCATGCCTTCCACTTTCACTGTATCTCTCGGTGGTTAAAGACGCGCAACGTGTGCCCGTTGGACAATCGTGAATGGGAATTGCAACGGTGTGCTACGTACCGACCTCCTTTCAAAATCAGTGATTTATCTTTTACCCCTACAGATATGGCCGTTGACCTGTCGCACACCCCAAGGTGTATCATTGTACTATAAATCCCTGTGTAATGTAGCTTTCTTGCATATGGGCCGCTCTTTGCGCACACGTCCGATTTGCAAACGAACGGTACTAAACGGTATCGGTCATAGCGTCACCCTCCTAAGCAATGTCCTGTAGGTATTTTAAACTTGGCATGGTTGGTATTAAGCTACCAAAGCTGTCAATTCTGTGATATATCCCCTCCAGGTAAGATTCTTTTCAGCTCGTCTAAAAGCATCTGCCCTTCAAGAGGTGTGACTGGCCAACACTGTTGTCTGTGATCCTTGGGTAACACACTCCAGTTTGGTGAAGGCGTCGATCGTATGTGCGAGAAGTCCTGCACAGTCCATGCTGTGTTATCCTGTTGATATGATAATGCTGATGATGATCTACTGATTCCTGTCAAAGCAGAGCCACAAACCTGCGGCTCCGGGTTTTGCATCAGGGTATCAGGGAATTCTGCAAATCGGATGTTCGAACAATGTTCGATGATCGGATTTGACACAGCAGACAGGTAAACGTCTGCATTCGTCGAGGAATGCATGCGAAACTAAGCCATCCGTCGCCATTGAGTTTATCGCCAGAGTAAGAGTAGCCTCTCTACCTGATGACAACCGGCAACGAGCACACAATTTGACAGATTGTGAAGAAGGATGCTACCGCTTATGCGTGGCAAAAGAAGGACGCAATCAGTGAGACGTTGTATGTGGATTGCAGATATATCCATGCTGTGGCCGTCCTTGGGTAACAAGTTCACGATACAAGTGGCAAGATCAGATAGGGTCAGCTCCCCTGACGTGGCCCGATGCTCGAAATCTGCTGCAGTCAAATAACGGCAAGAAAGCGAAGACAGTGCCTTCACAGAACCAGTAGCAGGCGACACGTTCTGGGGTATGGGTACAGCGTGTATGGCTGGGACGTCCATTTTCGCCTTCGCAGCCTTCTTTTTGAAAGAGAACTTTGGTACAGCGCAAGAAGCTCCCCGCAGAACTTCCACAGCCATTTCGAGTGATTTGATATGCTGAAGTTATTTGAGTGGCTCGGATCTAGGGAGCACCACGAAGGCGTACCATCTCGCATTGCCTCTGATCATAACTGGGTAGACCGCCAGTCGCCTCAACTAGACTCTTTGCTAACCGTGATACGTCAACTGCAACAGCCTGAACCGCATCGGGGGTGGGGCTGCCACGCTTAAGGTCATCAAGACGCAAAGTGATATCTGTACACCAGCATTAGAATAGGAGGCTACAGCATATCTCTGTGAAGCGAACCCGCTGCCTTGGCGTGAAATTCGGCGTAAAAATCTTGTGAAAATGTCCACTTGGATTCGGACATGCCCCTTCTCCTTCAAGTGGTTGGGTATCAGGGATCTTGCTAGTTCTAGAGTGGCGATGCTATAATCAGTATCTGACTTTGTACGTAAGTTCTCCGCCGAATGACTTACCCCACAAAGGGCGAGGCTTGTTTTCAGTGCACAGCTTGCTTGCCATTATGTACACACAAGCCTGGTTTGCTTTATACTACGCCCTCCATACAAGGATACTCTCTTAACGCAGCACAATGGACTCCTCAGCGGCGGCGGCTGACGGCGGTATCTGTGCATCCTGCTGTGAGTCATCTGGTCCCTGCTATTCAGATAGATACCAGTGTCAATCTCATCGCAGGTCTAATATGCGTGTCTGCTCTTCAAACGTGGTGTAATCTTCGTATGTATACAGCAATCCTTCCTTCTATGGAAGGTTCAAAGGATTGAAATGGGACCGTAGATGCATTCGGTGCCGATTGCTGTGGTGGGCAGAGGGGATGCTGTAGCAACCTTTGTGCCTCGTGTTTCGATCACGATGACTTCGACGAACGCCTAAAACGAGATCAAGAACGTAGACAAGGCGATCAGCCTGTTAGCGCTCAGCCATCTCCTGCACAAGAAATGTCTGTTCCGACCAAATCAGAAGCTACTGGCAAGCCGTCATGAACGGAAGAACGTGTAGGCGCTATTTCTCAATAGACAAATGGCTGGTCTTATGTGTTGTGGCAGAGAGAAGGTTTGCATTCACTGAAGTGGATGGCTACTCCAAGGCGCTTGGCCCCTCCCTCCTCTCATGTGTTTCACTTGAGCTTCCATCGCCATTCTGGGTTTCTCTGTACGATAGGTTTATCCCACTGTGCTGCTTCTACTTGCTGTAATTACTGTACTGAAATTGGTGCAAACGAGTGCCCTCAAACACTGATGACGTGCTTGCGCTTGCGTGACTCGCCGACCACGTGGCTAGATTCGTTTACGAGAGTTCTAGCGCCACAAAGCTAGCATGCAAGCTTTCCGGATCAACAGGACTTGTGTGCAGGACGAACGTGTCCACGGCTTCTGGAATTCGATCACCACAGCAGTCCTCAGTGGTACGTGTTCGATCAGTAACCACCTCAAAACATGTCGGAAGCCGGACACTGTTTTGCCATGCTCTGTGGAGGTTGTTGTAAGGCTTCAATTTTATCATAGTTGGTCCCCTGTGCTAACCGTCTCTCAAACACTAGGCATGGTAATTGGCTCTGCTGCCACATCACTTCTTAGCCCTCGTTCGTTTTTACTGTTTTTTTTTTGGATGCTATACATTGACGCTAGGCATTGGTTCGCCATTGTGACCATCAGGTGAGTTTGGTGTAACAGAAAGCTGTTGCAGTAGCCATGGATGGTGTGGTTGCTGTTGCAAGGATGCGTTTGATGAGGAGGGACATTTTGAGGCACAGATACAGAGGGAAATGGAGCGGACGAGGGACAAGTCGAAGTATAAACTGGTCATGCCAGTGGAGACTGAACCGGAGGCAACTGAAGGGATGATTCAAGGTCCTTCCACAGCCCGCCGTTCATATGAAGTGCCGTTAACTGCTGCAGATTCGGCTTGTTCGTGAGCGTCGTTATGCTTCGATTTGTCAAGATGCCATGCATTCCACTTGGGTTCCCCATGTCATGTACCCAGGCAGTCTGCTATGCCGTATGTCTTTGTGTTCAGTTGATGGTTAAAAGCACCTTGAAGCTTAAAATATCAGACGTGCGGAAGTGCTCGGGCCCACGGGTATAAGCCATGCGTCACTGATAAGACCTGAGCTTCGTTTGACTCGATTCCTTTGCGGCGCAATAGACTCCACGAGCCATTAAATCGTGAAACGGTGAATGTATAATAGCATCGGACCTGGCAAGGCTTTTTCCCTCAACCAGGGTGATTATTAGAACCCAGAGAAGCCCATGTCGCTCAGCTCGACACCCATCCCTCTGGACTAGCCAGAAATTGCCACTAAGCTGACCTTCTAGCGAGAAACTAGTGTTAGTTGCTGGTTAATAGTGCGGCGTTACTGTGAAATCTCTAACTACCTACCATCCCAAATGTTGATTTTTCAGAAACCAAATAGCATTATGTGAACAGTTGGGCGTAACTTGGTTGGCACTTGTGTGAGGTGCGAATATTTGCTGTGTTCGGCATGAGTTGACTATCATACACGCGACCAACGGGACGTCAGGAGGCCGAAGGTCACTTAGACATCCTGAGTAAATGAAGGTCTAACCCGTGTGAGAGGCGAACCATTCTTTCCAGGAACTAGCATAACCTTCCCAGGTCCAAAACATCACGAAAGTCTGGAAAAACCAGAGGCACTACCTTGCGCAGCGGCGCGGAATTAGCCAGAGCTTCCGCATGCGTACCATGCTCTCGCAAGTTAGGTAAAGTCCACTCAAAGCCGGAACATATTCCGACTACCAACACCAGGGGCACTGGCTTTTCATCGGGGCCATCGTTTGTCCGACCGGAAGGGAACGGCCCACGTATATGTTCCTTTCATCTGTGTTACTCGTCAACGTGTAATAAGGCCACGCAACCTTCTGGCAGTACTTAGTCCCTATGCAATGCCCCTGAGAACGCGGATGCAGTACTCGGGTACTGTAGATAATGCCTGTTCCGCAGTCGTTAATCTCGTGTCAAGTTTCAATCCGGGTCTGCTGTACTGGTAAATCATAAAAATGTGTCGCAATGTAGAGAGTTCGCACTAAAGCCGCACATGCCAAGCGCTTAGCTCTAGTTCCTGCGGCGCAGCGCTGACCGGTATATTCCTTGCAGCCCTGCCGAGCCGATTGGGCCGGAGACGGAGCTTGCTAAGTCAGATGTAGAGCAGTACCGTGGCAAGTACTCGGAGCTGCCTGCAGAGGTCAGCAGCATTTCAACCACAGTGACTAAGAAACAGAGTGGGACTGCGTCAGCATCACAATACACAGGCGCCTGTTAGGTCTGACTGATTATTCTTCACGGACAGTGCCGTCGTCAATTATGTAATAGTCACCCACAGCCACAATAATGCACAGCCAAGCCCACAGGGCTCGTTACGTAAGGGGTTAGGTTCCCATAGGTGAATCCAGTTGGGCTAGTAGGGGCTACTCTGCACACATGCGAACTCTTCGCCTCTTCCTTTCCTGGCACCACAAAAATCTGAAAATGACTCTTGGGGACTTTTCGGGATGAAATCAACGAATTCCGAGGTCCTAGACAAGGAAAACACAATAGTCAATATTTAGCCACGCGTGTTTCAAGGAACCAGAAACTCGTGCACCTGACAGGAGCTGTAAGATGAATATCAGTGCAATCATCACCCAACCGTTTTCAGTAAACTGAAGAAAACACAGTTCGATCACAATCTAGGGGTTGCATGTTGACAGGGGTGTTTACTGTAAGAATTAAGGTGAGTCATTTCAGTGTGCCGTCAGTGGTCAACTGGTCACTGCTCATCTTACGCTCTGCTACGAGATATGTTAATTACTCAGATTCTTTTCTAGACCAACCTTCCCGATTCATTGACACTGGAACTTACTACAGGCTGCCACCGTTTAACGTTTAAATTCGCACTATGCTCACTTGGTGAAGTTTTCTTGTCAGGAACTGGTAGGCGTATTGAGTCATGCTCTGTTCATGCTGCCTACAGCTATGTCCCCTGTCAACCCATAATTTGACCGAACCAACAGGTCGCAGTTTTTTTCGCGTAAGTAAGAACAGTGCCATACGGCCAACTCATATTCTGGGGGATCTTTAGTGCTCGAAGGCACACGACCTGCCATCGCCCATTTCCACTTTCAGGTGCATTCGTCGGGGGCGTTCTGCAATTAATTATACCTGTTTAATAGGCCGCCACAGAGGACAACAGATACAAGTCTTTGCCCGATCCACCCTCCAAACTTACGTGGTTAATCTGATTATTAACCGATGTATTGGAACTCTGTTAAGTTACCGGGCTAATAGGGCCTGTGGCTCCCAAAAGAGGAGGATCGGCAAAATCTCTTCGCACCGACTCGGGCCATTGGCAAACCACTATACCATTTCCAGTGGGCGTTTGTGCCAATCCGCCGTCTGCTACACCACATGTAAGTGCTGGCATGCTGCTGACGCGTCAGAAGTCCCCTTAGTGGGCATCAAGCAATGACTCGACTTCGCATCCGCGGTGGCGTCATCGGTGTTCCTATGACTAGGTTTGCATTATGAATCACACGCGCCCCTATTGGCATGGTCACCGACGAGAGTTCCGGCAGGACTTCAGTGACTCGTACCAGGCTGACGGCTGCAATTGATGCCAAATTTATACCTGTCCATTGTTGCACAATTCTGGGTTGCCAAGGCGTCCCTCGCGGTATGGTGTACATTTGGAATTCAAACCGCTCATCTTTGATGAGTTGGCCTTCCTGTACTATCGATGCGCCGGGTAAATTAGAAGCGAGACATGATCCCGATCCGGCCGGCGATATAACACGTTTACTGGGAGGGGCGCATCCTGACGATTCACATCACAGATCGGTATAGCTGCCGGAGTACGCGTCACGATTCCCGAGGTGGGGGGATGGGAAACCGACGGAGGGCATCTAGTGATTTCGCCAACGCACATGAAACATCCGAACAGTCCTGAATGCGCGCGCCACAGGTTTTGAATACGTGTTGGCCGCCGTTTCATTCTGAGGCACGCTATCATATTTCGACTTCTCAGTACACCACGTTAACCTCAAGTACGGAGTTGTCCTTGCCAATGTTATAAGCCCTAGGTGTTCTGATGGCTGGCAAAAACAGCTCTGACGAAGCTTCGTGACGAGAACCAGATGTGAATTGCACGTTCTCGCCACACAAAACACACAACTGATTACAAGACTCCTATAGTGCGTAGTTTTCATTTTGTAACAAAAGTGCTGGCGCTAAATACTAATAGCGAAGCAAAATACATGAGGGTGAGGACGGTTGAGGTGCATACGAAAATACAGTGCAAAAAATAAGTAGAGGGTAATGTCCTGTGAAGCCAAAAAGGAGTCCGTTGCGGAATTAAACTTCTATTAGTGTAAACGTCTACCCCTGCAATTGATAAAGGATACACAAGGTCCACCATCTCAAATGAAACGTATTAAGAAGATTCCACGGCCTCAGCTACGGTACTGGTAGACCCACTGGCGTTCGGTGGAATTCGGGGCCACGACAAAACGAGCAACCCACTGTCCACAGCAGCAGATATGGTACTCAACTGCAGATTTGTGATCAAAAGCTCTGCAAGAAGCATGAGTCAAAGCCACTCACCATCGTTCCCTGCGGAAGCTGAAGGACGCGTTCATATTTGCCATATTTGATTTCCTGAAGAGGATATTTGGCGTCTGGCCCCGGTGTATGGGATATTCTCCTCTTCCGTTCTCCTGATATACGAAGTGTACTGTTTGTGCCAACCTGAAGACTGATTTCCTCCGCATTTACTCCAGGCAGCTCTACCGTCGCCGTTATGCGGGACGAGGACGGATCGTCACATACTTCTACCCTAAGATCTGGGGTGAGCAGCAAGTCCAATAACAGAAAAGTGGATACATACCTCGGTCTGTAGAGCAGCTCGCCATCGCCCAATCGCCTGGCTTCAGACATTCTGGCCTGACGAAGGAGGAGCGCTACATATCTTCTAGCCAGGTTCCGGTCGAGAGCGCGAAAGCGTTCCTCCTGCGAATGTGATGTTGGTACGCGAGACAGCTTGTTAGCGATGAGCGCAGTGGTTGAAACGGTCATAAAGAAGAGGAGTTGTTAGTGGAGTAATCTGCTTGTTTATTCTTCCTACAATTCACTACTCGCCTTTTATACGTATCTGAGTGTGGGGTGGATGACTAATGTGTGGCTAGTCCGCTGTGGTCACTCCAACTCACCGAACCAGGCTGATCGAGATCTGAGCGGCTGTGCAGCACAGCAAATGACTTGCGATCTGAAGTCGTAGGACCCTAGGCACTGTGAGCAGGTACACAGGAAGTACACCCCCCACTCTCCACGGCACCATACCCACAGCTTGTACGAGGGACTGTTCGCGAACTTGCTGGAAACTTCATGGACGTTACTTTCATTTGGATGCCATGGCGGCCGCCGTGGTCAAAATGCTGGTAGTCAAGTTTGTCGACGTTGTTTAGTAGTAGCTGCCAGACACTTGTACAGGCTTGAAAGCTTGATCAGTGAACTGAGTCACTGAAGTCGGCGACCACCGGGCATGTTACCAACGCTTTTGCTCACGTGAACGACGCGTGGCTGACAAATCCCGCTCGTTTGGTAATCAACGCATCCAGACTGCAGCCTGGAAGCTTTGCGTCGGTCGACGTTGTCCGTAGCAACGTTGACGCTGCAGTGCCATCCTAGCCAGCCCCGCCTGGACTCGAGTTGATCGTCGTATTCACGCCTGTGCCACCGAGATTAAGCCGAGACCAAGACACAGCGTGCTGCAGACCTGGGCACGGTCACAATGAGCAAGGTCGTCTTTGGTGTGTCTACTCACTCATCACCGCCAAGTCTTTGGTTCATAGGTCTGGGCAGTCGGAAATGTTCCGTACCACATGGGGGAGGTACGCACCTCCTTGGTTTCTTGTCTCATTGGTGCCCACGTTCAACCAGGAGCAACTCATCGAGGTCTTCAAAACAGTGGGCCAGGTCGTTGGCTTCCGGTACAAACTCAATCCATCCAGGTGCTGACCGTTTTAGCTGACTGACATTCAGACTTGTATTCGACAGGGAAACAGGAAAGCCAAGGGGATACGGCTTTTGTGAATTTGCTGGTACTTTTAATTCACCCCGCTCGGCGCAACTCAGGTATTCTGACCATGATTTGCGTCACTATAATTTTCGAAAACCTCGGCCGTTATGTTACATGTATCACTCCTTGAAACTTCATTGTGTGTGCGTATCCGATATCTTCAAGATCACGAGACTGCCGCCTCTGCTGTGCGAAACCTCAATAACGTAGACGTCGGTGGCCGACCATTACGCATTGACCTGGCAGACTCCGATCCATTCCTAGAAGGAAAAACGACAGTGCGTGGGGAGTTGATTGACGACCCCAGAGGACATTGGCGTGATCGCCGCGACCGAGACCGACCGGATCGTGAACGGGATAGGGAAAGAGATAGAGATCGTGAACGAGACCGAGATTACCCTAGGGACAGTCTGAAAGCTCAAGACCCCTCTGCTTTCTTGTCCACCCTCCCTCCAGGTGTTCCCATCACTCCTGGAATGAATGCTCTGGATTCAATCAGTCAAACCCTTGCTACGATGAATCCTACCCAATTAGTAGAAGTCCTAGCACAGATGAAGGTTGGCTGTCCCCTTGGGAATGTGGTACACTGCTTAACACGTTCTGCTTGCCACCGCTTTGTTCAGGCCTTTGTGATAACCCATCCGGAGCAAGCGCGATCCCTCTTGGTGGCGCATCCACAAGTTGCATATGCACTATTCCAGGCATTGTTGTTACACAAGATCGTGGACCAGTCCGTTCTCCAGGTGAGCCCAGTTCGGTTTTCTTCTCCTTTTGTCCCTCTCCATTTATGCTGTCAATATTCGTCACCAGCGCATGCTGCAAGCAACTACATCAAGTAGTGGACCTACGGCGCAGACACAGCCTTCCCAGTTGTCCTACCAACCCCCCCCAATGCATGCACCTCAGCCTGTCATGCCTCCTGCAATGAGTGTTCCGCCGCCCACGGTGCCAAACATGTATCAGCAACCCCCCTCGCACCTTACTTCACAACACCCCTACTATCGGACACCCGCACCCCCCCAGCCTGCTACCCAATCTCAGGCTCCATCTTCGCTGCCAGATCTGAATATCGATCCTGCTCAAAGGGTCCGTTTCTATTTAGTTTTCTTTGAATAACACTGATATAGCAGCGAACAGCAAATGCTGTTGCAAGTGCTGAGTTTAACCCAAGAACAAATCAATGGTTTGCCCCCATCAGAACGGGATGCGATACAGGCATTAGTACGACAATCCCTTTCTTTCCCCGCTTTTCTGACTGACGTTGGTTACCACTCCGCAGCGCAATCAGTTTATCGGAGGTATCACTTCCTGAGCACCCAATTCACAGTACTCGACAGTGAGCAAATACTCAAAAATGGTCACAATGGCACATCCGTTGTCAAGGTCCACCGAAACATCTTGTCAAATTCCAACTATTCTACTTGCTGTACTTACATAAGTTTGTTTTGGAGACTCTTCGAATTCTTGAGTGCCACCAATTTGTTAGAAACATCTTCCAATGGAATCATCTCCCCCTTGGACTTCGTGCCGACATCATCGCGATTACGAACGTTGACTGAACGACTGTCAAACTCTTCTTGGCCAACCACTTTCGAGGAAAGCATAAGGAACCGGCCCGAGGGAATAAGTGCCAAGAGTAAAGGTCTCACCAAGAATGAAGTTGTACTGAGCGATTTCACCATTGCGGATCTTCTTAGGAAGGGTATCCGGCCCGTTGTCGACGTCTGCAAAAAGACCGAGGGCCTGAAGTTTATCGGCTATCTCCTGGGCATATTCCCTCTGATCACAAGAACGTTAAGAACGTTGCACCTGAATGTTCCAAAATTCTACAAGTCGTTCGTTGACTCACATACGGCACAGCCACGGGTATAACAAGTACTTGGCGTGGTGAAATCCAAAATGGCCTGCCAACGAAGGAGCTAAGTTCATATCGGAACATATCCGCACAGCACTGCGCGTACCATTTTCCTGCGAAATGCTCGGTGATGATTGCGATAAATCTCTCAAGACTACCGAGGATCGCTCGATGAATCATCACGGGTCTTGACGGGGGCTTATCCGGGTTGGCCATCTCATCGGCTGACCGGTATTTGAGGTTGAATCGTTCCGGAAGCTGGAAATCTAGCTGGATGGTCGCGCACTGGAACGATCGACGCAATGCATCGCGTATGTAGATGTCTATCTTTGGTCCGTAAAAGGCACCATCTCCGGGGTTTAATTGCCATTGCCCCGGATGATGCTTCTCGAGAGCCTCCTGCAGTTGCTACGTCACAGGGGTCTCATCAGCTTGGTCGACTGATCGGAGATACAAACTCACCGACTCTGCCACGTTCCACGTCTCGATGTTGCCCAAGTAATTTTCGGGTCGGGTAGACAACTCGAACCGGTACTCGAAACCGAATAAACCGTAGATGCTTTCCATGAAATCGAACAGTAAGCCAATTTCATCAGTGATCTGATGACGAAAGGTCAACGCTACCCAACACGCGATGGAAGCTGTCACACAGACCTGCGATGGCATGCAGAATACGTGGGTATCGTCTTGCATGAAACGTCTCACACGAGTCAGGCCAGTCAAAGCGCCGGATGCCTCGTTACGGTGGACGATGCCGAACTCGGCCATCCGGATCGGCAACTCTCTGTAACTCCGGTCCCGGGAGTCAAATATCAGACAGTGTCCAGGGCAGTTCATTGGCTTCAGTGCCCACTTCTCCTTCTCAATATCAAGGGTGAACATGTCATCCTTGTAGTTCTGCCAGTGCCCGGACGTCTCCCATAGCTTTGCATTATACATGTTCGGAGAGATGACTGTTAAGGCAGTGATGTCATCGGTGGATTGAGGGGCCGGCCGCAGGGAAATACTCACCCTCTTGGTAGCCACGTTTCCTGTACTCGGACTATAGGGAGTGTAATCACCGATACAGCTTCACGAGAAGCAAGGTACGCACTCTCATTAACTCGACCAAAGTATTGTAAATTCGGGTCCCATGCGGAAGGAAAAAACAGCTTCCGGGGCTTAGATCATTAAAGAAGAACAGCTCTTGTTCCTGGAACGCGACGTTAAACGCCACACAACGAAAGTAGCTGCGGTGCCTTACCCTGCCTATCTTGCGATGATCTCTCTTGGCCGCCTCAGCCAAGAATACCTTGTACTCGGTCATTTTCTTTTTATCCGGGAACGAGATCCCATATATTCGCTGCAAGGAGTCGTTCTTGGCATCCCCGAGGAAGTACGAGGCGGAGTTCTTCAGAAGTCATAAGAGAACTGCTGCTGTCCACCATAAAGATTGTACACATACCTTGGTGACCATGAAGGCCTTGATCTTGCCCGTGTGCGGGATATGGGGACCAACACAGAGATCGATCATCGGACCACAACGATACACAGTGGTAGACGACCCATCCGGAATCTTGGTCTCGATAAGATACTTTTTGTACAGGTTGTACTTTCGACCAGTTAGTGCATCGCGAGTAGAAAGTAGGGAACATCTCCTCACATCGAACATCTCTAGGAGTTTCTCTTTGGAGACGACAAGGCGCTCAAACCTTTGCTTGTCCTTGACCGCCATCTCGGAAACCTTTTCCAGGGCAGGGTAATCCGTCATAGTGACAACTCTGCCCATCCCGTTTCAAAAAAAGGGTGATATCAAGCACTGGATAAAACTTGCCTATCAGGAATTGCCATCTCATAAAAGAAACCCTCATCCGTGGGAGGTCCGATACAAAGGTGACATCCATAGTGTCGCTCTGCGGCTTCACCAAGAACATGTGCCGAAGAGTGCCAGAAAACGCGCTTGCCTGGTAGCGTGATAGCGGTCAACATGAGCAAGCAGTACGGCAAGGCCATTGACTCTACCTTCTGGGTGGTCGAAATCTAAAAGCTCGAGCTTACATGAACTTTCTAGTGGTCGTTCGAGATCCCAAAGTTCGCCATCGACCTACGCCGTTCCCCTTCATGCGGTGACTCACGCAATATACGAAGAGGCACACCTTTGCGATGACGATTCGCTCCGACAAGCTCTTCGACACTTCCTTAGCAACGTCCATCGGACTCGTCTCCCAGCTCGTTCCCTTCCGCTCGGAGCCATCTGGCATCGTGATCGTGATTTCCCCCCGCGGTTGAGCTAGTGTCCAGTTAGAGGATAGTTAAAATCGCGTTCAATTGACTGAGGGAGACGCACCTTTAACAAACTCGATGTAATCCTGTTGCAATTGCTCGAACATTTTGATACGGTGATCGATGTAGTCTGGTGGTGGTTGCAACTTCCATCGCAACACGCGTCAGAACGGCGCTAGCCAGCAGAATCAATGGTACTCACCTCTAAGGGATATTGGGATGCAGCAGGCGTTGCCTTATCCTTCTTTTCCTTGGGTTTCTTCGTATCATTGGCATGGGTAGCCTCAAGAGCTGGTATCTGGACTGGCTGAGAGCTGGACGCAACTGGGGTAGCCATCGCTGTCGACTGATGTCGGTAGATCTGTGCAAGTAGAGGTGGTCTGTGGCGATAGATGATACAGCGATATGGCTGTCGAGTCAGCGATCTCAGCATGCAAAAAAGGTCCTTGTCGGAAACTTTGACTCGATCTCGGATTGTCTACTTTTGGACGTCACAGCCAAAGCTGAACCAAGAACAACAAACTTGAAAAACAACCTCAACAACATATAATCACCGTATACTAAACGTAAATGACATGGATAAATCTCTGTAGACCCGCGCTCTAGTCACTAGGACCCACTCTCCATACTTTGATGACACCGGTTCTGTCACCGCTCACAATACCCCCTCTAAATGGCGAATCTATACAAGCCAACGCAGTAATAATGTCATGGTGGGCTCTCAAGAGGTTCTGCTGGTTGTGTGCGATCGTCGACATGCGCTGAGCTGCCCGGTTATTCTGACTCGATGAAGTCGGAGAGTGCACCCATGTCTCGACATTGGCTGTCACCGTCTCGTCCGACGACCGAACGGTACTGTTGGGAGGACATTCAACGTGGTAGATCGCTCGTGGCAAAAGCTACTACACACCTATAAGTCGGCTTTTCTTGCTCGCCTTCGGGGCTAACAAGCACGGTCGTACGCTCCAACTTGCTCAAATCCCATAGACGAATTCGGCGGTCCTCCGAACCGCTTACCATGAATCCCCTACTGCGGTTCGAAACCGGAACATCGGCGGACAGGTCAATGATATCTGACCTATGGACCCCCGAATGGCCTCCAAAGTCCAGTCCGACAGCCATCGTGCGGATGTCAGGTGATGGCGCTGGAAGCGAGTCTTCGCGTTGCCCGCTTTGCGACGACCCTCGACTCCGATTGGGCATGTTCACGTACGCTGTCCCTCCAGGATACCTTGAATTGACTAGTGCAGCTATAGCAGCGGCTGCGGTGGGCTCGGCTTCAACACCTGCCTCGGGCTCAGGCTCCGGGAATGGCTCTGATACAGATGTCGTCGTCCGAGTGACATAGCTTTCCACAAGCGTTGTCTTCTCGATGTCCCAGACTTCGATTAGGGTTGCCGGGCCAGGTTCTGAGGGTCCTTTCCATGATTCTACCGCAACCATGACCCAGCGCCCATTTCCCCTCGTGGGATGCACAACACACTGATGCACTCTAGACATTCTTCCAGGAACAGATTTACCAACCCGCCAACTCTTGAGAAGTAACCCGAAGCGCTTGTCCCACAATGAAAGTACTCCCGAGAACGTGCCCACAAGAAGCCATGTTCGCTTCCGATCCAGACACATGCACGTGATAGAGCCAAAATGTCGTGGATTCTCGAGCTGCTGCAGAACCTGCATCGTCCGCAAGTCCAATGTGGTAATAGTTGAATGCGTGGTAGCGTACACAAGACTAGATGCCGACTCTAGAGGAACGATTTTTTCAATACTTCAACTACTAGCAAGCATTCATGCTTACCTGTGTTGTAATGCTGCATGCAGGTAATGTATTCGCCGGTAATGTTCATGCGATGTTCGCGAATAGCTTGGACCTTGCCATACTTGGGGAGCGACCCTGATTGGTTAACGTGCACCCGTACAACATGTAGGCTCCCGTCTTCTGCAGCGCTGGCGAAGCAGTGTACGCCTTCCAGCATGCACACACTCTTAACTTTGGCATGATGCTGTGTGTACGTATGTCGCGGTTTACTTGTCACGTTCCGTTCGAGCCTGGCCGTGTCCCAAATCTTCACTGTCGTATCATCCGAGCACGAGACGAAGAACGCATGATCGGGAGAGACTGCCAAACCCGTCACACAGTCAGAATGAGACTGCAGATGCGCGATCAAGGCAGCCTCGATTCGTCGACCACTGCTGTCGCGCGAAATAAAGCTCTGCCGAGTAGCACCGCGACGACGGACAGGACCCTCGTGGACCTTTGGACCGAAATCGTTCTGGAGTTCGCGGTTATTGTCCGAGTAGAGGTCCTCGAGCAGGTTGTTGATGCCAGGTTCGCGTCCCTCTGTTAAACGATTAGTTAGCTTAAATGAGCTACATATGGGCGGAAAGACACCACACCATATGTAGATATGGGATTTAATGATGAGACTCGTCGCCTATGGCCTTGCCTCGTAATCCCGGCCGCAGAGACAGGGGTTGTCCTCCCGGATACTTCGGGAGAAACGTCGGAACGCATGCGAGGCGCTTCAAAAACGCCAATGGCATTTGTATTTGACGATCCAACGGCGGGGGCGGCTTTCTGCCCGTCCGTACTTCCTATTTGTAAACGTACCGGTGAGCGCAACGTCAACGAGTTCGTAGTCGAGACGACAGAGTCAGTCGGACTACTAGGTCGGTCGTGGCCAGCTGAGGGGTTAGGTGGGGCGAGAGAAGTAGGTTGAGGATTCGCTGAAGGGGTGGTGGTAGAAGGGGAAACGACGTTCTTGTCAGCGCATTCCAGCAACTAGATTGAGGGAAACTGCAGATTGGTTGATGCCAGCCAACTTCCTACGTAGCTCTTCGTACGCGGCCGGACCAGAGTCGTTCCCGCCACCTAGACTTGTGCGTGGCGTAGACAGCCGAGCGAGCAGATCCGTCGACCGACGAGATGTGAATTGTGAACGTACATTCTCTGAACCTGTCGTACGTGATTTCAGGAAAATTGTCTTTGGCACAACCGACAACTTTTGGAATTCAACAATGCTTGTCGAGTGCATGATCTTCTCGTGTTCAGGCTCTGTCCGCGGTCGAGACGCAAAACTATGCCACAGGTCAGAAACAATATGACATATTCGATCATGGAAACGGATTACCTCGAAGCATTGGTGGCCACTTTCAAAATACAGTCTCGCATGGCCTGTAGTTTCGCCTCGTCGGCTGGCGTCATCCCCAAATTCCGGAGTTTCTGCAACTGTGTCTCGTCCCTGTTAGGTAAGCATTAGTTTGGAAGAACGTCAACACACGAGAAGAATGCGCCTACTCACTCTTCCGTCCATTTCCGTGGCGCGATGATTGTGCTACCCCCTTTCCGCATAGACATGATGCTGTCCTTCGCAGACTCCACTTTCGCAGCAGCAGGTTTTCTGTTACCCCTCCAAAATGTGGTTCGCTCCACAGTCATAGCCCACTGCACGGCACCATCGAAAACAGCGCGTGGAAGCTATATACCATGAAAAGTGCAGGTCAACGAGTGCTACGTAATTGAAAACGATGGTTAACACCGACAGGAGGTTTCATCGTCGCTAAGAGACTCTGTTCATCGATATCGCGAACGTCTGACCGGAGCAGGTGACGAAGCGATGGATACAATATGCACCAAACGTCACTTGGTTGAAGGTGCTTCGCAGCCGACGCTACGAATGCAGCCGCGCCTATAAAATTGGATGAGCAAGAGTTCGTTCTTTAACAGAGAACTACGTATGTATAGGTACCTTGGCGCACCCAAACGTTGGGATGATAAAAGAACGAAAGCGTTGCACTCAATAGTTCCCATATCCGCATTTTCTGAAACAACCCAAGCTCGCACAGGCTTGTGAGAGCGGACAACACGCGAGCAACGAACGCTTTCCTCAACATCTTCGACGGAGATAAACGCAACCTTCCATTTCGCAAAGAAAAAGCAGACCTACCAGACAAAGCTTGCACCATCAATGGCAGGATGTATTCTTCCAAACTCTTCCCACCGGCACACGCAGCGACATCTACGATACTCTCGAAAAAGGCGTGTCTGAGGGACCAGTCTCGGTCGTTCAAGTATGTGATCATGTGGCTGAGCACAACGTCGTTTGTCTTCTGCCGCCCGAGAAAGATACAAAGCGAGCTTATATTATGCAATACTGCACGCTTGACGACGGGAGAGGGGTCCATGAGTAGAGCGGATAAGTGTTCTTGGATAGCGAGATGTAAGGTCGTATAGCGACGTGTCGTAGGATACCTGATGGGTCTGATCAGATGTCGCGCCCCGACGAATTTGATAGAGAGAAATACCTCGAAGTGCATTTCATCGTATTCCCGACGCTCATTATCAAAACCCGGTGTGACGCCATGAGCTTTGAGCGCCTGACCCATTTCCAGGTATCGTAACGCAGTCTCCGCAAGGGGAGATATGCACTGGGCATATGTAGCGCGGACGAATACTTCTGGATCTTGCACAAGGTAGCGAATATTTGGAATGATGTATTCCGGGAAAATGGAGGCGTTTGAGGGTGTGATGACAGATACCTTCATTAACTACAGAGCCATAAAAGAGACTGCAATCATGGTGTGTGGTAAGAAGCTTACTATCTGCATGAGCGTCCGCATTGCGGCGGCTCTCACAATAGCTCCTTCATCCCGTAGCAGCTCGACAATGTACGGGACAGCCCGATCCAGCTTGGATTCATCTGTCAGGTGCGACGAGAGCGCTAAAAGCACGTCAAGGGCACGCAGACGCGAAGAAGGTAAGGAACAGTTCCGAATATTTGCCAGCAGCAATGACAAAAGGATCAATGCCGGCCCGTCTTCCGCCGGAGTTCGACTGGAAGCGGGACTGTGGGAGGGTATATATAAAGTAACGGGGAATATTTCCTGTGAATGTATCAGCGACAATGTACTTTTCATATTACCGACATGTATTCCACCTGATGGGTATTAGATGTCGCAGGAGTTGTCGCTTGAAAATCTACTCGAACGTCCATGACAGTCCGCTCGGCGTCGCTCTCGGCAAGGAAGGGTTCGATGTTTGCATAGTCTTCCCATATTCGTGCGATTCTATAGTCGCTGTCACTCGGTAAGGCTTCGGCAACACTAATAGCACCGGCCACTGGCTCCTTTCCAGGTTTCATAGCATTGGTTGTAGGGAGTATTTGGGCTGGGTTTCCAGCGAAGCTGTGGGGTGGAGGAGGAGAAGAAGAGTGAGGAAGTACAAGTGGTCGTTCCCCGATCGATGAGATGTAATCGTGCAAGAACGAATAAAAGCACTCAGGTAAGATGTTACCTCGCGAACTAGTCAATATTGACTCGAAGGTTTGTCGTGTTGCAGGATCAAGAGAGATCATCTGCTTGATCATAGACTTCACAAGGGCTATTAATCTGGTCATCTCTGGATTGGCGATCTACTCACTCGAATGCCCTCGTCTTCTATTGCGGCAAGTTGCCCATCCACGTTATACTCTCCTTCGCGGTACTTGAATAGTTGGCTCAGATTAAACAAAGGTGCGCCTTCGAGGAACATTTCTGCTATGACACATCCCGCGCTGAATATATCCATGGCCTCTGTGACGGCTTCCTTATCCGCCTCCACATTCGCATTCGTCTTATAGAATCGCTCCGGTGCGATGTAGCACGTCCGTCGCCCTGTCGTATCGAAGAAGAACGAAAAGTCGGATGGATCATTCCAAAGGTAATCGAGTGGGTTTGTAAGATGCAAAGTCGGTGAGGTAGACCCAGTTCGACGATGTGACAAGGACATTGGTGGACTTGATGTCCCCGTGCGGCGTCTTCTGGAGATGCGAGAGTGAGAGAGCACTCAGTAACTGGAACACGATCCATTTCTTCTCGACTATGGACAGGAACGGACGTGTGCTGGCAGACGGGGGCTTTAGTTGGGTACATGGACTGTATGATCATCTCAGCGCGTACCTTATACGGTCGTATAGGTTGCTAGTAATCCACTGTCGAATAAGATAGCCAGCTTTTTCGGTTTCGACGAAAGCCTGATAGCTGTATACGTTTGGGATGTCCAGCAGAGCCTCCCTGTCGACTGATGTTGCATTGTACATCAACTACGCGGTCAGAACGCGACAGAATAGTGCCCAGTACCTTTCTGCTTTCGAACGTAAGTGCGAAGGCTTATTCCAGGATCATGTTTGATGAATATCTTGATGACAAGATATCCGTTTCGGTGTCGGCATTTGACCGTCTTGAGGAAGCGACAATGACCTATGCTAGTATGCCCAAAGTCCAGTATCTCGGACATGCATCTATCGTAGGGGAACAACGACACACCTCTTCTCATATACGATATCTCCTCCCAGCTCTGACACGAACGAGTCAAGCGCACCACCAGTGCGCGTGAGTGTCGAGCCGGACTGTACGTTGCCCATGAGTTTGTGTTGGCCGTGGCAACGGGTTGGGTCCTGTCGCCACAAAGGACACTACGCGGCGCTCAGGCACGTTGCAAATGGTGAAAACTGAGATTCTTGGCAATAGTCTGATACAGTATGACGACTGAAGATGCACAGTGGTACGGTGGCAGAGCTATGATACAACCAAGTATAAAAGGGGAAGTCCTCTGTCGTGAAGCACCCGCGAAGCTTCCAAGTTTGTCACCGACTGGGCCCAGCCTACTCTCAGCCAAGGCAGCACCACAACTCGTAGCATAGCAGCAGTGCCCAGCCAACGCGTAGAGATGAATCTCTCAGGAGGTAAGTTACGTCTCATTAACACCCCGGTGGGTTTTGATGTATACCAGCTCAAGGACGGCGCATGAATATAAATACTTGCCGTTATTATTGAAATCGAGTCCTTCGTCGGATCCCTTCCCGTCATTTGCCTAGCATGAAATCATCGTTCGAAAGCGAGGAAACGGACTTTTCTCATAAAAATGAGGTATTGTTTTCCAGACAACCAAGCAGAAAGCAGTTTCCACGTCATGAGGAACGGGTCACTTGTGTAAGGCTGTCCCACAGGGATAAACGTGGATCGGCCCTATCGTCAAGGGAGCCTTTGTTCCGAATACTGATTCCGCTCTGGGAACGATATATTTTTTCAGATCTGAGAAGGCCATCCAGCATGACGTTTGTTGGGTTGTCATTGCGCCGTTGTTTTAACCAATGAAGGAAGCGTGACCTTCATATCATGCATTGACGCTCACATGCGACAGCGGCTATGGAAACTCCATCAGGGACGGGATGTCCGCCAGCAGATGGGAACAAACCTCGTGTAGGCATCCAAGGCAAAAGAGTCTCTTCTTCGGTGGTTTTATCTTGGAAGAAGTTCGGTCCTGTGGCCGAAACAGGGTAACCTCAGCATGCCACCACGGCAGGCATCGCAACGAAACCTGGGCGCAACACGAGACCTACATTTTTGATGCCCGCGACTTGCACGACCTCGACGCTACCAGGAGAACCGGCCCACGTCGTGAGGGCCTGTTGTTCATCCCAATGACATCGCGATGGTGAAAGATGGGTCCAGCTAGTGTGCAGAGTGGAATTGCGTCGATCGAAGGAATACAAGTCCTGTCGAGGACCCCCACTAGCGGCAGCGTATCTAGATCAACGCAAGCGGGGGTGTCTGAAACATCGGATGGACCCGGTTGATATCCACGCATCGATCGAGGACTGAGAACGATTCTGTGGAGGATAATTTGGGGATTATTGGCAGGAGATGATAATAAATGATTCCGTTAAGTCCGTTATATGTCAGGTCCCTCGATGACATCTTTTTTCGGCACACGGGATTATCCTGATCCCCTCTCCATCCATCCAGCCTCCCCCGCGTCTACCGGGTGACAGCCAGAGCTGCGATTGAGATGCGCTCCGTTGTCAGCCTGCGTCGACGTCGTCCCCGGCGGTGATGAGCATAGTATGAGTGTGTGACGCGTGACAGTCACGGGGTTGGTTGAGTGTGAGACTGTGTTTTCTCAGCGACGAGGTCAAGCCAGCAGCGATACTTACTGTCCCGTCGCCGTCGCCGTCGTCGGCAACGACAAGCCCACTTCAAGTCCCAGGTCTCTTCTACTGGAACGTCTTCCTTGTTCCGTCTTGATTTTTTTTCCCTTTTTTTTCTACGTAAAAACAAAGATTCTTTTGCCGAGTTTCGTCGCCTGGGAACAGCCTCGAGTGTAGGGTGTGTGTGGCCGCAACGAGTCGTTCCTTGCTTGGGCGGTAAGGTTGGTTTGGCAGACAGTCCAGTGCCACTAAGACGTCTGATTGTAAGTACGCCCATCAAATGGTCCCGCCGGGAATCCAAAATCTCAATGTTATCCTTTTTGCTTTTAGGCTCTCGTCCGTTTCTTATCGCTGATCCTTGCCCCGAATCGCTCCAGAAACGTAAGCACCCATTTCCTCCCTCCCCTGCCTCCTCCCCCCGCCCCGTTCCCCGCTGACCCCGTCCATGCAGCCCCCCTGCGCCCTCCCAGCAACCGGGTGGGCGCTAATAACGACCCCCCATCGGTGCGTGTCCGTGCTCACATCCTCTCTCTCCCTCCCCTCCGACAGGACCTCTACTAGACATCTCCATGAACACCTATCAAACACATCCTGGCACCCCACAGCAACCTTCCAGTCAATACCCGCTCTCCCCACTATCCCAACAAACTATGTCCTACTCGGGTGCCGGCATGGCCATGCACATGGCATCTCACAACATGGCCATGAACCCATCCTCCCCTCTCGACATGAACATCAACCCTTCAGCTAGTATGGGCATGAACCTGAACATGGGCCCTTCTAACATGCCCATGAACCTTGCCAACACAGCCTCCAACATGGTCAACCCCGCCTACTTGGCCATGCTTCACGCCCAGCAGAATTCAAACTCCATGAACGGCATGATGAACAAATATCCCTATCCATCCTATTTCAACCAGCCCCAGCAGCATGGTCAACAGTCTATGGGTCTACCGCACTCTCAAATGTCCAATATGGGTTCCCAGATGCACGCTTCTCACAATTCGAATAACGCTGCTTCCATGCAAAATGCCGGCCAGTCCATATCCCCGACGCAGCTCATGTCTGCCTCGCCATCGCAGTTCATGTCCGGTCCGTCCTCGCAACAACAGCCGCAATCGCACGCCCATTCTCTTAATTTAACCCCCGCTCAGCTACTCCAGCAGCAACAATCGGGCGCGATCAATCCCGCCTCTCTTGCAGGCGGTGCTGGCAACATGAGCATGGGTGGATTGAATTCCAACCTCGGTAACATGGGCGGTGGTATGAGTTTGGGCGTGAACATGGGTGGACTAGGAAACGTGCAGAATATGGGCAACAACGGAAACATGAACATGCAGGGAATGTCCAACATGGGCAGTGGTGGAATCGTTCCCAACCCGCGTATGAATATCCCTCCTAATGTCAACCCCATGCGCTTCGCGCAGATGACCCCTCATGAACGTCAGGCCTTCCAACGACACCAACATGCTGCAACTTTAGGCCATGGTCTCCCTTCCGATCGAGGGTTGAGTGCGACACCCAGTCAGTCCGGCCACGAACGTGGTCCTAGCTTGACACACGAGCGACCTCCAGGTCAACACGAGCGAGCCCAAAGCCTGACGTATGAGCGACAACCGAGTCAACAACCTCACGAGCGGGCTCCCAGCCAATCTCACGATCCTACTGCTTTGCCCGGCGAGCGTCCGTCATCATCGGCATCTGTCCGTTCGCATCATTCACATCATAACTTGGATGCTGTTGCGCCACATGCCATGATGGGCCCTCCTGGTTCACGGCCTGGCACAGCAAGCGGGACAATGCCCCAGCTTACGCGCATGAACTCCATGAACTTCAATTCTGCCATGGGCCCGATGCACATGTCGAGCGGTAGCGCGACCAACTTGAACCCAAATATGAACGCTATGAATGCACATTTGAACTCCCCCGCGACCATGATGTCGCAGATGAACCAACCGCCACATATGAACGCGGGGGTGACCATGAATCCCCAAATGACACAGATGGGCGTCGCAGGTGGGATGGGTATGCCAATGAACCGTCCACCAACAAGAACAGGTTCTGCCATGGGGTCACCAAAGCAATCCCAATCCCCGCGCATGAGCTTGAGCGCCGGTAGCCCGACACACATGGGCATGGCAAGTGGCGTCGGTGTGGCACCTGGAATGGGAGGTGTCACTGGTGGTTCAGGGATGAGTGCTATGAATGCTGGCGTCCAAGGTAACATGTCCTCTGGCATCGGCGGTGGCATGGGTAATAGTATGGGTGGCACAATGACCAGCGGAATGAGTGGAGTCGTGGGTGGTCCCATGAACACGGGCTTGGGTATGGGCATGAATGCTCAAGCGATGTCGGGTGTGCCCAACATGGCCGGTATGAGCGGAATGGGCAATATGGGTCCGATGAACATGAATGCCGTTGGCCCAGGTGGACTTGGGGGAGGGGGAATGATGGGAGGTGCTGCTGGAGGAATGATGGGGCCTCCTGTTATACCTCCGGCCATGCAACGACCAGAACGTGAACAGATGATGCAAGCACAGGTCCGTGAACAATCCGCGCCCCTGCAACGTGAAGCGGTAAGCGCGTTCATTTTTTTTGGTGCTTGCCTTGTTTGTTTCTGATCGTGATGGTGTTATGGGTCCGTTTTCGGCGTTAGAGCCGTCCGCCGAGCTCATCGGGCTCCTTCATTGGCCAGAATCTGGAGGGTACAAATGTTCCCAACATTCCTACCATGGGTTCAGGCATTCCGACAAACCTCGCTATACCCCGGCAGCCGTCCCAACCCCCGGTGCACTCTCACCAACAGTCTCCCCTCCGAAAGTTGCTACCTGGTCAAACGTCAATCGCTCCGGCTCGGAAACCTAACGAAATGGCTGTATCCACTGGCGCAAACTCAGTTGTTGCAGGGCCATCTGTGCAAGGCGCACCTGAAGGACACAAACTTCCTCCCCACCTCGCCGCTCTGAATCCCGCAGTCACCAAAATCACCTACATTCCCTACAAAGCCTCCAAAACTGACGACTCTGCAGACGGTGCTGAGGATGAGAAGAAGTCAGATGACGGGCCTTCCCAGCCGGAAGGAGATGAGTCTAAGGAAGCGAAGAAAGCACCTGTCAGGTTTGAAGACCCAGTCTTTACACTCACGCCCTTCGAGATTTCAACATTGAAGGAAGTCATGGCTCAGGACACCATTTATGAGGCTATATACCGCGCGAAACAGAACCGCATGTTGCATGAGATGCGCACAGCAGGTCCTGCTTCTCGTCCAGCGTGGTGGGACCGTGACTTTGCTCCGCATATAGGAGTCAACAGGCGGCCGGACAGATTCGATGTACGATACCCCAGACTGCACAAGAATGATGGTAGTACACTGAGGCGGAAAGGTGCAAGGAGAGAAGGCATTCGGATGTGAGTCTTTTTATACTCCATCCATCACACGTTATGCGCCCCGTGTTCATTTCCTGATCGGTGCTGATGTGTTCGATGGAAACGATAGACCCAGACGACTTCCACCCGAGTTGGCGGATCGTCCGGAACAACTGGTTCCGATCAGACTCGAATTTGATGTGGAACATCACAAGATGCGAGATACGTTCCTGTGGAATCTCAACGGTATGTGCCCTCTATTTCCTTCATTACACCTTGGAAACTAATCCGGGGTCCGTGTTCGTCTCAAGATCCGGTCATTACTCCGGAGATGTTTGCGCAGACCCTTGTCGAAGACTACTCGCTCTTGTCTAGTTATCACAGCGTAATCGTGAAGTCGATACAGGAACAATTGAGCGACTTCAAGGCCCACATGGTCGACATGGATTGGAAGGTACCACCTTCTGCCGTCGAGACGACCCAATCGGAAGATCCCAAGATAGAAGAGCTCGATGAGTCGGGGTTAGAAGATAAAGTTAACTGCGGAACTGTTGATAGGGTTGAGTGCTCTCTGGATAGTAATGGTGATAGCCCTATAATTGGTAAGGGGATTTTGGACGAAGAAGAGGTTCGGTGGTGGGAATCCTGGCGGAAACGCTGCAGGAAAGAGGCGTTTTCACGAAGTGCTACCTTGACTAACCGTCGAAAAAAACGCAAGGTCGCTACTGGTGCGGCTTCCAATTCGGAAATTTCCACTACCAAGGACGACAACGCGTCGCGTATGGTGGACGAATTTGAGCTCGATGAGAAGAAGATGCATGAAGATTTACGTATTTTGATCAAGGTGCGGTTCTCTCGGAAAGCTAGTCTGTCTCCTGACCTCATACATCATTTCATGCTAGCTCGACATCATCGTCGGCTCCGTGAAGTTGGATGACCAGTTCGAATGGGACCTTGAGAATGAGAATGCTTCTCCCGAACAATTTGCGGAAGTCTATGCGAAAGAACTAGGCCTGGGAGGCGAATTCCAGTGAGTCATCTGATATAATAATGGACGAAGGTACTCACCATGTTCCAGAACCGCTATTTCTCATTCCATACGAGAGCAGGTCCACGTATACCAGAAATCCCTCTTTCTCGTGGGTCATCCTGGGGGCGGGTCTCAGGTTCAAGATGAAGATCTTCGCATGGCTTTCTTGCCAAGCCTCACCTCTGGCACGAGATCCATGGATCAAGTGCAGTCCTATACACCCACACTCAACTATATGAGCGACGGCGAGATTGAACGCAGCGAGAGGGAGCGCGAGAAGGAACTGACCAAGAGACGGAAACGGAACACTCGTGGCCGGCGCGGCATTGCATTGCCCGATCGAGAGCCTAACAGAACGTACCGAACGCCAGCGATTGGCTTCCCAGAACTGGATGCTGCCACTTTGGCTCTGGCTGCCGCTGTGAATGCACCCACGTCGAGGCGTGCTGCGGCCGCTGCTGCATCACTGACAATTGCGAATATGGTGGCCTCGGAAAATGGAACACCTATTTTGCCTTTGCAATTGCCCCAACAGCAACCAACTCCTATGGTTACGGTGACCCCTGGCAAAGAGAAGAAGCCGAAGGGGCTTTTCAAGCCTCCATCATACCCGTCTTCTGTCCTCCGACCGCGTGCGCAAGTCAGTGCGCCGACGCCCTCCACTGCAGTCGAGTCCACTTCGATGTTGCCATCTTCTCTTCTAGACAAAGAACCCCCGCCTCCCGTTGTAAACCCTCCACCGCCAGACTCCAAAACCGCAGCTAAGAAGGCACGAGAGGCTGAAAGGGAAGCGAAGGAGAAGGAGCTTGCTGATGGTCAACACGCGAACGTCATCAATGGCGTATGGCACTGTTCGAACTGCGGCTGTCCTGAAAACATAGCCATAGGGAGGCGGAAAGGCCCTCTTGGCGATAAATCACAATGCGGTCCCTGCGGTACGTCTTGCAATTCTGTTCGTGCGGTGTTATTCTCACCTGCTACACAGGCAAGTTCTGGCATCGACATAGACGGTTACGCCCTGTCCAGTACAATCCTGACCCTGAGTATCATCTCAATCTCAGTAATGAGACCGATCAAACGAAGACCAATACCAAGAAACGAGGTCGTGCGCCAAATTCTGCTGCCGTGGCAGAAGGCAACGAAACGCCGAGTCGTCAAAAATCCGAAGCAGAAGCGCCACCACCCGTAACTTCGACTGTACTACCCTCAGAGGACGACAGACCAGTTTCTCCAGTGACCTCGGCTTCCAGCGGTGACGAGGCCCCTCTTGCGCAACAGTCGTTGAAGATTAACGGTACATCGCAACAACCAGCAACGTCATCACGTCCTGGCACACCAGACTCCCCGCGACCGCCGACCGATACCCAGCTAACGTCTCCTGGGGAGCCCAGGTCTGGTTCAGCAGCACCTCAACCCAATGGGTCGACCGTAAGTATCCTACCACATAGCACAAGCTTCAATTCAAAAGACGTGTGCACAGACCTTACCTCTGTGGCTTACTGTTGCGATGCATGATTTGCAAGCCAAGTATCCAGATGACAAATTTGAAGCGATCCTGCGCAAGCCTGCACCCAAGGCGCTTCCAGAGTGGAGAATCAAGTGTCTTGATTGTCCTGGAAAGGTGGATTGCGTTGTTTTGTATCCGGTTCCTCGTTTTATTGATCGATCATTTCGCATGCAGCTCTACAACCCTGGTCCCGGTGACACACTTTCCAATTATGAAGTGCATCTTAGGAATCGACAGCATCGTTCTCGGGTCAACAGTCGTGTCACTAGCTCTTTCGCATAGCTTTGTGTTGGTTTTGCAATGCTTTCTCTCTTCGTTCCAACTCTAGTTATTTACTCTGCATTGGTCTTGTGTCAACGTCATTTTTGTGCCTCTACTTTGTATATGCCTTATTATCCTGTTTATATGTGACACTAGCTTGTTCGGCTGTCAATCACTGTGTCCGAGCACTTCCGTCTGACGACCCCTTGAGTTGATTCGACTTCTCATCGTCTTGAGCCTGAGCTATTACTGCAATCCAATCATGACTGATATCGTTTGGAGACCCGGGGACCGGAAACCAAGACCGTCTCTGCTGAAAGGTGACGTGTATAGACCAGATATACTACAAATCATCGAAAAGACTATCAACGAGCTCAGTCCAGCGCTCCGGGAGCTCAGTCAAGACATCCTTGGTATATCGCTTTCGATCGCCACGAGCTACTGATTTGAATTTTTTATACGTCCCTCCTTTTCGCCAGATCACCCCGAACTGAAGTTCGAAGAAAGGTAATGGATTTCGTGCATTGATCATGAGTGATCTGACACCGCTCTGAGGGCAGGCACGCTCATGATGTGTACACTGCGTTTGTGGAGAAACAAGGTTTCGTGGTTCAAAGACATTACTTGCTAGAAACGGCTTGGGTCGCGACGTATTCACATGGCCAAGGCGGCCCCGTCCTCGGTGTAAACTCTGAAATGGACGCTCTCCCTGGGATCGGACATGCATGTGGACACAATCTCATTGGCATCGCAGGAGTGGCCATCGCTTGCGCTGCGAAAGCCGCGATGGAGAAACTGGGCATTGACGGGAAAGTCATTTTGTTGGGGACGCCTGGTGAGCCTGTGAGTTTCGCGGCCATTGATCGGACCGCCGATGCTATGCAGGAGAGGAGGGAGGATATGGCAAAGTCAAGTTATGGGAGAAGGGGGCATATAAAGAAATGGATGTCTGTCTCATGTAAGTCAAGTGTTCCGCGATTCTCGTGAGGTTGTAGGTATCATCCATGACTGCGTACGTCAGGTGTCATCCCGCTCCAGGTCCTCCACACTCCGTCAGCTTGAGTAGCTGCTTAGCGGTAGTCCGTCTGCAGGTCGATTTCGTTGGCCATACGTAAGATTTCCCGTTAAACCGCCCTGTACTGCCTGTCGTTCATGCCATTGATTGGGACAGTGCACACGCAGGCTTGAGCCCCTGGGAAGGTCAAAACGCACTGGATGCTGCCGTCCTTGCCTATACCAGCATCGGCCTTCTCCGCCAGCAGACGAAGCCAACACATCGGATTCATGGCATTTTCCAAGGGAAAGATTGGGCACCGAATAGTCAGCGTTTCGTCTCATATCTGCCAACGGCTTTTCGTAACGCGCGCGGTTTCTAGTCATCCCTGATAACTCTACGATGTAGTACGTGCTTCGCAAGTCCAGCAACGGTTCATCCTGATCTATGTACGTCGGCCAAAAGTTGGTATGTACGCGCGCCAACGACAAAGGAAGCTCTCGAGACTGCAGAGCGAGTCAAAGCTTGCTTTCAGTGTGTACAAGTTACTCCTCGCCAGTCGATTGTCGCCCATAACACCAAGTTTCCAGAGCCGCAGCCGTGGCTACCGGATGTAAAGTGACAATTGCTAAAGGATCTGTTGGAAACGAGCTGGTCCAAAATCCGGTCCTCGGCATGTTGAATTATCTCATATACTGTGCAGTGGACTCAATGCGAGCATTATTCTAGGTGCGGAACTCGCAGATGTCGTTTGCAAAAACTACGGGACGGTCGATTATGAGTGGGGTATTTCGAGCGCGTCAACAGATTTTGTCAGTGACTCTCATCCCTATCAACCTGCCCTGACTGATGCCATGCTCGGTAGGGAAATATCTCCTACCGCACGTAGCATTTGTTCAATTTTTATGATGTTGCATTGACACTTGTCCCAGTAATGCCTGGACTTCACCCGGGGTTCTGTTCGTCTACTTTTTTTTGCCTCCAAACGACACTTATTTACTATACCGTGTATATGATCACAGCTATACCAACCGTACCAAATGGAGGGAATCATACACCCGCATTCACGGAAGCTGCGGGGACGATCGAAGCTCATGAGGCATGTCTTGACATATCCAAGGCGCTAGCCGCCGTTGGTATGCGCGTGTTAACAGACAATACGTTCCTGTCGAATGTAAGTCTGACTCGCTAACTGGACGTGCTTATGAAGTGCTCACACTACGTAGGTCAAATCGGCCTTTGGGACAGCCAAAATGGCTAGAGGTGATTAAACAGGGAGAACGATTGTGGAAGAATGGAAGAAATGTCACGCAGCGGCATATGTGTATTACTGACCCGATTTGGGGTTGTACCTGAACGGAAAATTTGGATACATCGCACATACCAGACGACTCCAAGTCCACGGCGAAAATGACGTTCCTTCTCGCCGGTTTGTGAGCACGCGTGAGTGAGCATGCTAGCACCGCCTATGCCAACTACACAGCATCATACAATACATGTCAACTTTTTTGCGTTCCGAAGCCTTCGACCGTGAATATTGACCACATCTCGCGTAAGGAGGTCGATTGACTTGCACCACCTTCGCCTCTTGCCAGGAGTGGGCTTAAACACCACTGAATTGCAGGGATCCCGAAGGCTCCTTGTGGAAGGATAGTAGAACAAATGACTGCGGGTCATTTATGGGCAACCTGAGTAGAGATCGGTCACCCAATTGCCTCCCACATCATGGAGCGACACTGCATTAACGGGTGAACAACGAGCTTGCTGGAGCCAGCCATAAGGCTTGCACCACAAGCAGGACAAGTCATGGTTTGCAGTTGCTGAAACCACAAGGAAGGGGAAACGAAAGTATTACAAACTGATTGGATTGAGAGATCTCTCACAAGCACCATTTTCCATGAAGTATGATGACTCACTCTGTAACACTGATAAGTGTAGCACTTTTAACAGCATGACAACAAGAAAGATTCTTTGCTCTACTCAGGTTTCCAGACAATAGTGTCTTATGTTGAGGTAGGAAAGAAGTCCCTGTACAGTATGATACATGGCCTATTTTATAGGGTAGAGACCCAGGCATGAAATATGTCAGAGTAGCTAGGCTAAGTAGGATCAGAGAACAAATGAGAAAAGTCATAGATCTGTCACAAAGAAACCAACATCTTGTCACTCAGTCAACAGTGTCAGACCAAATCCTTACATTCCCCCCTCCAGGGTACAAAGTGAAGCTGCGACCGCGAAAACAGACGGTGCGGTCACGGCTGAGGCCTGTTCTCGGAGAGAAGGGTAGTTTCGGATCCGTCACGCTGTGACGGGGTCCTGACTCAGCCGTGACCGCACCGTCTGTTTTCGCGGTCGCAGCTTCACTTCTTACCATGCTCTTGTGGGCCGTATCATTGAGTTTAATTGCACCATGAGTGACGTCATTTGGAGGCCTGGGGATCAGAAACCACGACCACCCCTGCTAGGAGGTGACGTGTACAGACCAGATATACTACAAATCATCGAGAAGACTATCGACGAGCTCAGTCCGGCGCTCCGGGAACTCAGTCAAGACATCCTTGGTATATCACTTTCGATCGCCACGAGCTACTGATTTGAATCTTTTACACGTCCCTCCTTTTCATCAGATCACCCCGAACTGAAGTTCGAAGAAAGGTAATGGATTTCGTGTATTGATCATGAGTAATCTGACACCGCTCTGAGGTCAGACACGCCCATGATGTGTGCACCGCGTTTGTGGAGAAACAAGGCTTCGTGGTTCAAAGACATTACTTGCTAGAAACGGCTTGGGTCGCGACGTATTCACATGGTCAAGGCGGCCCCGTCCTCGGTGCAAACTCTGAAATGGACGCTCTCCCTGGGATCGGACATGCATGTGGACACAATCTCATTGGCATCGCAGGAGTGGCCATCGCTTGCGCTGCGAAAGCCGCGATGGAGAAACTGGGCATTGACAGGAAAGTCATTTTGTTGGGAACGCCTGGTGAGCCTGTGAGTTCCGCGGCCATTGATCGGACCACCGATGCTATGCAGGGGGGGAGGGAGGACATGGCAAAGTCAAGTTATGGGAGAAGGGGGCATATAAAGAAATGGATGTCTGTCTCATGTAAGTTAAGTGTCCCGCGACTCTCGTGAGGTTGTAAGTATCATCCATGACTGTGTACGTCAGGTGCCATCCAGCTCCGGGTCCACCGCACTCTGTCAGCTTGAGTAGTTGCTTAGCGGTAGTCCCTTTGCAGGTTGACTTCATTGGCCATACGTAAGATTTCCCGTTAAATCACCTTGTACTGTCTGTCGTTCATGCCATTGATTGGGACAGTGCACACGCAGGCTTGAGCCCCTGGGAAGGTCAAAACGCGCTGGATGCTGCTGTCCTTGCCTATACCAGCATCGGCCTTCTCCGCCAGCAGACGAAGCCAACGCATCGGATTCATGGCATTTTCCAAGGGAAGGATTGGGCACCGAATAGTCAGTGTTTCGTCTCATATCTGCCAGCGGCTTTTCGTAACATGCGCGGTTTCTAGTCATCCCTGATAACTCTACGATGTAGTACGTGCTCCGCGAGTCCAGCAAGCGTTCATCCTGATCTACGTCGGCCAAAAGTTGGCTATGTACGCGCACCAACGACAAAGGAAGCTCTCGAGACTGCAGAGCGAGTCAAAGCTTGCTTTCAGTATGTACAAATTACTCCTCGCTAATCGATTGTCGTCCATAACACCAAGTTTCCAGAGCCGCAGCCGTGGCTACCGGATGCAAAGTGACAATTGCCAAAGGATCTGTTGGCAACGAGCTGGTCCAAAATTCGGTGCTCGGCATGTTGCATTATCCCATAAGCTGTGCAACGGGCTCAATGCGAGCATTATTCTAGGCGCGGAACTCACAGATGTCATTTGCAAAAACTACGGGACGGTCGATTATGAGTGGGGTATTTCGAGCGCATCAACAGATTTTGTCAGTGATTCTCACCTCTGCCGACCTGCCCTAACTGATGCCATGCTCGGTAGGGAAATATCTCCTATCGCACGTAGCGTTAGCTCAACTTTTATGATGTTGCGTTGACACTTGTCCCAGTAATGCCTGGACTTCACCCGGGGTTCTGTTCGTCTACTTTTCTTGTCCTTCAAACAACACTTATTTACTATACCGTGTGTATGATCACAGCTATACCAACCGTGCCAAATGGAGGGAATCATACACCCGCATTCACGGAAGCTGCGGGGACGATCGAAGCTCACGAGGCATGTCTTGACGTATCCAAGGCACTGGCCGCCGTTGGTATGCGCGTGTTAACAGACGATACGTTCCTGTCGAATGCAAGTCTGACGTGCTCATGAAGTGCTCACGCTACGTAGGTCCAATCGGCGTTTGAGACAGCCAAAATGGCTAGAGGTGATAAAACAGAGAGAACGATTGTGCAAGAATGGAAGAAACGTCGCGCAGCGGCATATGTGTATTACTGACCCGATTTTGGGTTGTGCCTGAATGGAAAATTTGGATACATCGTACATACCAGACGACTCCAAGTCCACGGCGAAAATGACGTTCCTTCTCGCCGGTTTGTGAGCACCCGTGAGTGAGCCTGCTAGCACCCCCTATGCCAACTACACAGCATCATACAATACATGTCAACTTTTTTGCGTTCCGAAGCCTTCGACCGTGAATATTGACCACATCTCGCGTAAGGAGGTCGATTGACTTGCACCACCTTCGCATCTTACCGTTGAGCTCGCCAGGAGTGGGCTTAAACACCACTGAATTGCAGGGATCCCGAAGGTTCCTTGTGGAAGGATAGTAGAACAAATGGCTGCGGGTCATTTACGGGGAACCCAATTGTCTCACACATTACGGAGCGACACTGCATTAACGGGTGAACAACGAGCGTGCTGGAGCTAGACATATTGCACCACAAGCAGGACAAGTCATGGTTCGCAGTTGCCTTGAAACCACAACGAAGGGGAAAGGAAAGCGTCCGCCTCGTACGCAAGAAACTGGCTCACTCGTCGAGCTGATTAGCTGGGAAGCCGTCAGAGAAGTCAGTATTACAAGCCGATTGGATCGAGAGATCTCTCGCGAGCGCCATTTTCCATGAAGTATGACGACTCGCGCTTTCTCACGAGTTGTCCGTGTTGCGGAAGTCTTCTTTCAAAGCGGTCGATACCATCGTAGCTTGAAGGAACACCTTCACAGATGATAGGGAGGAAGATGACTGTTACTGGGACGCACGTGAAGGTTACGAGTACTCGTCGGAAATTTAAGTGAAAGCCCGGAGGATGGTACTACATGTGTGATGGGGTATGATAAGGACAATGATGACCGAGATGATAGTATGAGGTATCCAGACAGAAGAGCTTCCTGAAGAGCGCTCCGAAACCCTCCCGAAAGCCATTCCATTCCATGATGCCGCGCAAATATTAACAGGTTTGAAGCTTTTATGGATAGCAAAACCTGCAAAGCCCCGGTTGTTAGACTACTTCGGGATGTATGTGGAGTGCAAGTGGAAATAGAAGGAGAAGTTATGGAAACTGTCATCCACATGAGTATGAACACTTCTTCGACTCAGCCTCAGGTATTCGATTAGGTAGCACTCTTGACGCTCTGCCTCCGTCTCGATGTAACAAGCAAACCAACGAGGACAACATGAGCGCCCCCCAAAAAAACGACCGATAAAGCACGAGAGACACACATCAAAGGACTTCCAACACTTTCGCCCGAATGTGCTTGGAGGCGATGTTGGTTCCGAGTCCTGAGACGACGATCTCGTTCTCTGCAGCGACCCTCTTGTACGTTCCATTCGACTGCTGTACGAGAAGCAATGTGCTGAACGGCTGTCCGAGGCGAACAATCACCTCCAGTGCCCGAGTATAGTTGTCAACCTGAGGCACGGAGACAGTGTGCGATGATGCAACTTCATCCGAGTCAGAGTCGGTATCAGACTCCGAGTCATCTCCCCAGGTAACCCCACTACTTGGACCTCGGATATAATCAATCCACGGATGTGCGAAAACAAATTTCTGAAGACTGTTCAACGAGAGATCGTCCGCAGTTGTGAACTCCACTTGGCCGAGCCCCGATGCCTTAGCACAGTACAACTTTTCATCGTCACTGCACGACTTCTCCAGACTTCTCACAGAGAAGACGATGCAAGGAAGGTGTAGACGCCGGGTTGCAAAACGGGCGAGGGAAAGACGGTTGATCTTATTATATATACTCCGCGCTTCTTGCCGGGGTAACTTGTCACGCAATTGCTTGATGCACCTTTCCATTTCCTCTCCTTCGAGTGATGGAGGGCTGTAAGGAGTTTGGCTGTAAACTGAAAGGGAAGCCGGGAGACAGCTGTTGTATGACGATGGCTTTCCTGACCACGCCAGGACGGTGACCTCGCCGGAGCGCGCCACAATTTCCTCTAGGAGATGTCCGAGAGCGTCGGCTCGTTCTCCGTAGTGAGGCCTGATGTCGGACTTGAATATACCGATGAGAGAGTATGCGACGTCTTCCTCGACCGTCGCATTGCGCAACGAGGCGAGACGAAGCTTCTCGCGCACACCGAGATCGTCTGGAGAGAATGTGACAATAGTTCCGTGGGGAATCTTGATAGCATCTGCAAGCTCTTGCATGATCTCCGGGGATTCCTTGTGGTTTGCGCCAGTATCGCCGATGTATGGTTTCCACTCGGAGTCATAGAAAAAGATGACTTTCGGTGAGAGCAGTTCTTGCAAAGTCCATGCTCGCGTCATCCATAAACTATGTGTAAGGTCCCCGGGCTTGGATGGGTGTGCTACACCAGCAAGGAATACGAGCGTGGCTGCTGAGTCCGCATACCATTTATACATGGACGTAAGAGATTGATTGAGGATGGAACTCGTGGACTTGTCGATACAACATGTGTCTGACCACGCCCAATTGTAGCCGAGCCTTTGCGTCTCCTTGCAGAAATTGCGTAGCTTCTCATTTTGGGGCGTGTCCGGGAGGTTCCACACAGATTTGACTGCGTTGACGTCCTGGAATGATGGTTCTGTCCCCTCCCAAACATGTGAGAACACGACGTATCCAAAAAAACCTGCAACCGCTCGTAGAATTTTCTCTTTATCTATTTCTGTCGTCGTGGATGAAAGAAGCTGTTTGAACGATGGACCAGCCTTGAAGATACGCATCCGCTCAGAGCCATCGCAAAGGCAACCGGAGGTGACATTGATGACGACGAGAGGACAGTTGTTGAGAATCTCGCGAACGATAGGATCGATGACCGCAGTCGTCTCAGATGGAGAAATGTAGTTCTTGCGCAGTTCTATGAAAGCGTTATTCGTGGGTACCAGATTCGTGCAGGAGGTACATACGCCTGATTGCAGGGTCATGAGACTGTTCAATCACGCGCAGCATAGACTTGAAAGCCTCAACCGCTTCATCATACCGTTTTGTTCCATGCAGTACCTTGTACTTAGCCTCGTAGCCCCATGGGATGGAGGGGTCCACTTTCACCGCCTATACTGCAACTGTAAAAAACCGACTCGTAAATGAAGGATGCCGTGCATACGTCGTTCGCATCCTGGAGCGCATACTCCCACGATCCACTTGCCGCTCGACCTCTGCTTCGCTTAATAAACAGACTTGCGGGACTGAGAGGGAATGCAGCAGAGCACTGTACTATTGTGCCGTCATATTTTGCAGATCCGAAGGTTCCATCATCAACGTGCTCAAGTGCAACAGTGCATTTTTTGGTGAAATCTGATAATGGAAATGAATGCGCACACCAACCAGACTAGCAGCTACAAGACATACCTGTGACCCAGTCTGCAATTGCTTTGCTCGCCTGGATTTCCTGGTCTGATGTACTGATGATGTTGAGGAAGGTATCCACAGCTTCAGCTGTACGTCCTTCAGCATAGAGGCTCTCACATAGACGTTGCTGGGGAACGATGTCCAATCCAATGAAACTCCACCCAAATATCTTTATAGAGAGTTAAATTAATAACAGTAACGGCAGAAGACCTACGAGAGAGATCGTCACTAGTGGGGGACACTGCCTGTCCTTGGGGGCTAGGTTCTTCGCATGCTCGATCAATCGTGTTGCACATCCATAATTTCCCTTCTTCATATGCATAACTGCAAGGACCTTAGGAATGTATCAGACATGACACTTACAAGTCAGCATCATAAGAAGCCCGTGCCTGGGTGTAAAGATAGGCGGCCTCGTCATCGTTGTCATTTTTTGCTCTCATAGCAAGGTGCTCCACACGCATTATCGCCTTTTCTTGATTTCCAGATTCAAACACAAGGATTGACTGAATGTAGATTAATTGTGAGAATGATCTAGATTGCCTCACGGACCTTCAGTAGTAAAAGAAATTTGATGCCGTGCAGCTCACAATCATGGAAGGCGAGGTCAAATGTCCATAACGCGCCCTCTCGATCTCCCTGGCCAAGTAGAGCCACCGCCATCGAAATATGGCCGATAGGCGATGGCTGGACCTGGAGGGACTTGAGATGCATGTGTGAGCAAAGATGCACACGAAGTAGTAAGAAAGCAGACTGACCTCTTTGGCGTCCTCTATTGCAGGTGCCAAATGCTTCAAACGTGCCCTTATGAGAGCACGGTTTGCTAGCACGTAGTGTCTAGGAATCGAAGCACTTGTGATCTCCTCTGAGAGCAACCTTTCGGTGTTCGTCGCGTCGTCCTGTGTCCATGATTTGAACGTCTCATCACTCACCCGTATGAGCGGGAGCTGAGAAGCGTGAAGTTAACGGATTAGAGCATTACGCAGCATAATGATTGTTAGCGATACAAGATTCATGAGTGGATGTGCACTTACACCATGGTCAAAATACTCAGGGGGAAGGACATCTCTGAGATTGTGAATTGTGAGATTCCTGCCATTTCCACATGCGAGATACCCCCCACATGGTGAGAGAGCAATGCATCTGGTCTGTGCAGTGTGCGTGATATTGGGACTAATCTGCTTATAGGTCACACAATCCCACAGAGAAACCGATGAACCCGCGGCACATGCAATGAATCTGCTGTTGGATGCTATAGATACCCCATGTTGGTTGTCATGGGTTGACCATTCTGAAGACGACGAGTTCGCAAGTTCGAAACACGTGATTTTGCCTATCCCCGCGATGAACAGTTGCTGGCCATCAGACGACCAGGCCAACGGAGTGCGCGCCCATGCACCAGTCGAACCGTATTGACCTGAATCGAACAAGATATTGCCATCGTGGGTGCTGTAGATGTGGAAACCATGATCGTCTGAGGCGGTGGCAAATCGACTGCCGTCTGGTGAGAACTTGACACCAGTAACAACAGGGTGTGGGAGGGGAGGAAGGAGTCTGATACCGGAAGTGAGGCTGAACATCCGAGCGTAGTTGCAGTCCACAGACACAAATTTAGTACAGTCGCTCGAGATATCGACCCCGTATACATTGTCGTTGTAATCTGTGATCTCGTGCACTTTTTCATGGCTGGCCACATTCCAGACAATCGCCCTGCGTGAGTTGTCTCCGGTCACCATCCACCGACCATCCTGGGAAATGGCAACGGAATCGATAAAGCCACTCCCTTGTAGGGTTGGGCCCTGTTGCCGTCCGTCTTCGATCCTCCATCGATGAATATAACCATATTCATATCCTCCTATGAACTGACTTTCATCCGCAAAGGTGACTGCGCCTACATATGCATTAATCTGAGTCTGAGATACGATTTCGAGCCGTTTTGCATCTTAACCAACCCCAGCAAACTGTCAGTAGGGCTGCTTCAGCCTTTCTGACGGCTGGTACGCACCCATCGTCGTCGCTAGCAAGTCCACCAACACAGCTTGTCCTGGAGTTTAGAGAGAAAAAGAACAATGGCACGGTAGACTTACTCGTAGTACCGATATCGATGAAGATTTGGCAGTGCAAGTTGAAGCCAGGAACCCGGATAACTCCGGTAGTGCACGTTGTCTGAGGCCAGCTTTCATCCGGACAAGTCCGTGTTGAAGAGCATCTGTCAGCGAGACTGACAAGATCTGGTGTTTTCGTCTGCACAAACGCATGGATACTAGACAAGCGACGTATTGGCGTATCTACAATCGCAATCCCAGAAAATTACCCAACGCATGCACCATTAATATTATGAAATGTCAGCATTATTATTTGACAAGATTACCACGCCACCAGAAGATAGGGCCGTCGGTGGCAGCATCCACCATTTACGACCGCGCCATAGGTACCTGAATGCAGCTAATAAGAGCCACGAGGATGTGCGGCCATGCAACTATGTTCAGTTCTGTCCATACACACACTGATTATTAGCGATACGTACCGGATCTCCCCAGCTGATGTCGAATCGGAGGTTGTGAACAAGGTGATGGTCTTCGTTACTCCAGTCGTTCCCAGCTTGCGCTCCACCTGTAGAGTATTCGGTTCGTGGGTCCACCTGCAATATTCATAAGTACACACTTACAATTTAGAATTCACATGCCCTGTAGTTGTGCCATCAGTTTCAGGCTGGCTTGCCAATCGCGGACGACTTAAGGTCTCGTTGTGTCTGCGTTGCAAGTACCAAACTTCGCATCGAAGTCACAGAGAAGTTATATATGAAGAGGGTATCCTATGTACTACCAGCTTGCATAGTTTCTCGTTTTCTTGGCCTACGTCGTCCATGTCTCATGACTATGAACAAATCTCCAACTCAGCCTAAGGTCTCTTAGGCTGGGCCTCCGTCTGGATGTAACAAGCAAGACAGCAAGAACAGGACGAAAATATGAAAAGTGAAACGACCAGTGAAGGATGAAAGACAGTTCCAACTTAACAACCAGCAGCTGAGCCCAAACCCCACACGGACGTCAAAGGATTTCCAACACTTTCACCCGAATGCTATTGGAGGTGATGTTGGTTCCGAGTCCTGAGACGACAATCTCGTCCTCTGTAGCGACCCTCTTGTACGTTCCATTCGACTGCTGTGCGAGAAGCAATGCGTTGAACGGCTGTCCGAGGCGGGCAATAATCTCTAGTACCCGCGTATAGCTGTCAACCTGAGGTGCGGAGACAGCGTGCAACGGTGCAACTTCATCCGAGTCACGGTCAGTATCAGACTCCGAGTCATCTCCCCAGGTAAACCCACTATCTGAGCGTCGGATATGATCGAGCCACGGATGCACGAAGACGAATTTTTGTGGCCCGTTCAGCGAGGGATGGTCCGCAGTTGTGAACTCCACGTGGCCAAGTCCTGATACCCTAGCACGATACAACTTTTCATCGTCTCTGCATGGCTTCTCGAGACTTCTCACAGAGAAGGTGATGCATGGAAGGTGTAGACGTCGGGTTGCAAAGCGGGCGGGGGGGAGACGGTTGATCCTATCACGTATACTCCGCGCTTCCTCCAGAGACAACTTGTCACGTAATTTCTTGATGCACCTTTCCATTTCCTCTCCTTCGAGTGATGGAGGGCTGTAAGGAGTTTGACTGTAAACGGAAAGGGAATCCGGGAGACAACTGTTGTACGACGACGACTTTCCTGACCACGCGAGGACGGCGACCTCGCCGGAACGTGCCACAATTTCCTCTAGGAGATGTCCGAGAGCGTCGGATCCTTCGCCATAGTATGGCCTGATATCGGACTTGAATATGCCGATGAAAGAGTATGCGACGTCTTCCTCGACCGTCGCATTGCGCGACGAAGCGATACGAAGTTTCTCGCGTACGCCAAGGTCGTCCGGAGAGAACGTGACAATGGTTCCGCGGGGAATCTTGGTAGCGTCTGCAAGCTCTTGCATAATCACTGGGGATTCCTTGTGGTTTGCGCTAGTATCGCCGAGGTATGGTTTCCACTCGGAGTCATAGAAAAAGATGACTTTCGGTGAGAGCAACTCCTGCAAAGTCCATGCTCGTGTCATCCATAAACTACGCGTAAGGTCCCCGGGCTTGGATGGGTGTGCTGCACCGGCAAGGAATACAAGCATGGCTGCTGAATTCGCATACCATTTGTACATGGATGTGAGAGATCGATTAAGGATGGAGCTCGTGGACTTGTCGATACAACATGTATCCGACCAAGCCCAATAGTGACCCAGCTTGCGTGCCTCCTTGCAAAAACTTCGCAACTTCTCATTCAGGGGCGTGTCTGGAAGGTCCCACACAGTTTTGACTGCGTTGACATCCTGGAATGACGGCTCGTTCCCCTGCCATGCGTGTGAGAACATGATGTATCCGAAAAAACCTGCAACCACTCGTAGGATGTGCTCGTCGTCCACTTCTTTCATCATGGATGAAATGAGCTCTTTGAAAATCGGTCCAGCCTTGAAGATACGGATCCGCTCGAGACCGTCACAAAGGCGACCAGTGGTGACATCGATGACAACAAGGGGACAGTCTTCCAGGATTCCATCGACAACAGAATCAATAGTTGCAATTGTCTCGGATGGAGAAACGTAGATCTTGCCCAATTCTGTGCCACCGTCAATTGTGAGTGTTAGATTCACAAAGGAGGTACATACGTCTGATTGCAGGGTCATAGGATCGTTCGATCACTTGCAGCATAGTCATGAAGGCATCAATCGCCTCGTCATACCGTTTCGCTCCATGAAGCACCACGTGCTTGGCTTCATAGCCCCAAGGGCTGGAGGGGACCGCTTTCACCGCCTATACAACAATTGTAGGGAACTGATTCATAAAAGGAAGATGTCATGCATACCTCGCTCGCATCCTGCAGTGCATCTTCCCACAATCCTTTTCCCGCTAGAGCTGTGCTCCGCTTGATGAGCTGACTACAACTGAATGACTTGAAGCATTGTGAAAGTGAATGAGGTGAAGCTCTTCCTTTGAAAGCTGAGCTGGCATTGGTTAGTTGAGGAGCAGCACTCTTCAACTGACCAATGCCAGTGGAATGACCATTGTAGGATGAATCTGAGCTGGTGAAGCCAGTGGAATGACCATGTAGGATAAATCTGAGCTGGTGAAGCCAGTGGAATGACTATGTAGGATGAATCCAAGCTGGCAAAGCCAGCGGAATGACCATGTAGGATGAATCTGAGCTGGCAAAGCCAGTGGAATGACCATGTAGGGGACCCTGGGGCCGACAGGGCCCAGGGCTAGCGATAGCTAGTAAATACTGATGGTAGGGATCGATTAGTACCTTATGGATATATCAGCTCGTGGATACATATACCATGTACAAGTGATAACTGCAACAGCGAAGTCAGACTTGAGCAGGAGATCGGGGCGGGATACACGCACCTGCTCCGATCGCTCCACTAACGTAGCCTACACAAAGTCAGCACACCTTGGAGGATAAGTGGATAGATAAACGAGCATTACCATTCGACAATAGCATTGTACCACGGCTGACAGAGCAGGTGAAACTTCCTGTTAGTTCCTGTGCTGGCATTGGCATCAAAATGACGCAAAACCTTACACGACTCGAAAAATGGACAGTATGGTGAACAATAGCTCAGCTGTTGTAGCCATTTCGTAGGAAAATCAATGACGGAGTGTAGTCACACTTGGTCACAGCATATTGCATGCTGTCCTTGTTTGCACTCGCGTCGTCCAGCGGTGCCCGGAGGGCTTTTCATATATAAATGTCGGTCGTATCACGAGAAGCGTCGTTGAATTTTACCAAACCTTCATAACTCTCACAACTGCATTCCAGTCATTGTCGCTTTGTGCTACAGCACGTATCTTCGCAGTAGGCGTGCACGTCTCACCCGCTCTCCAATGCATATGCGGTACATGATTTGCTACCTGAGATTAAACAATTATAGATCCCTTGCTAGATCCAAACGCATGTAACTGTTGTTGCGAGGACAATCCTCCACTGAAGGTGCCAGACCAGAGTTTCCCGAAGGTGGATTTGTGCAAGGGCCGCCTAGCGCGACGAATGGCATGGTATTTGGAATGCCAAAGAGAGTACGGGCCATACATAACGCGAATCAACGAATTACGTTTGTAGTGTTAACCACAGACAAGGTGGGAAAAAAGGTGGTCTAAAACGCAATGGGCCGAGTGGTCGACCCAGAGGCTTTGTACGCATGGCCATCGTTAACGAGGTCACTTGTGGATAAGAGTGTTGCTCACGTACAAGTCGACAATGGAACCCAAAAATGCTGGTTACATGTCCAATTAATTCTTTCCCGCTTGTCCATTCGCTGAAATATACCGTGCGTTGACCGCCACGAAGTGATATGCAACCACGGTGATCATGGCGAGAGCACCGAGGGAGTTGGCAAGGTTGTACAGCGTCTGGTGACTGATCATCGCTGGAATTGAGGGAAGGGAGTGGTGAGAACGCGTAAAACCATTGGTGACGTGCTTACCTCTGTGCTGTATGGTAGTGGAGAAGGTCTGATGTGTTTGTACATTGTTTGGCAACGGAAGACATCGGACAAGAAGACAGCGTTCGACTGGAAGCCTTTGCATTGAACGTCCGTATCGTAGACCTTTCTGTAGCCCAACATGCGGCCCACTCCAATTCGCTCTGATGGAATGCCAGGACGTGGGTTCTTTTCCCCTGTTCTCGAGGGTCACGAATTGACCATGTTTTTCTCATTCCAGCTAAAACATACGTGAGTGCTCAGCGACCGGACATTTGGCTTGGATATTCACGGCCGCATGTGTGCATAGAACCCGTGGTGGGGTGACACCAGAAACTTGAAGCAGAGGGGAATCATCTCGTACAGTAAGTCCTCCACTGAACATCGCGAATTTAACGACGAATCCTATCTTGTCTCGCAGCCATTTCTCCCTTCCGTACCCGTGCCACAAAGAACATCTTCCAGGATTGGTTGTTCAACGGTTACAGACGTCTTGCTGGACAAGTTCCATACTGGATCGTGCCTTTTGCCATTGGTACGTACTCACACTATTACGACAGGTCGCAGTCATTAAGGTGAACTGCAGGCTATGGCACATATGCTTGGGCAAAACGTCGTGATGCTTGGCAGAACAGCAAAGCCGGCCACCTTGCGCTACATGGTCACGAGCACTAAATTGTAGTGGTCTGGTTGTTGTACCTTCTTCGTTCAATCACATACGGCACTCTACTAGAAAAGGCCGATCGAATCGGAGCTCTGAAATTTGTGGGTTGTAAATTCGGGAACGGTACGATCGTCGTGTGATATGACAGTGAGGGAACCCGCAAGAACTCGTTTAACTGCTGACAAAGACGTCGACTTGCTGAGTGAGACGCTCCTCGGCCCCACATATAAAGGTTGCTGAGATTGACAGCACTCCAATTTCACCACTCAGAAGCATAGCAAACTGTTAGCTGACCATGTCATCTCTTAGGCCGCTATTCGTCGTCGCCGGTATCGGTAATGGCACGGGTAAGCAAAGCAGTACGCATTGATGTCGTCCACGCTGACGGCATCGACACAGGTACTGGTGCCGCTGCGGCGTAAGCCTCATCGTACACTTTGTGAGATGACGTCGCATGTTTCCTGACGTGGAGTGCAGTCGTCTCTTTGCTCGAAAAGGCTATAAAGTCGCGTTGATATCTCGTGGACCGGAGTCGTTGAACAAGCTTGCGGCGGAACTCAGCCAACATGGCGAGGTCAGTTTTGTTCTATCATCTATCCTTTTCTTCTTACACCTGTGACCTCGTCAGGCTGCTGGCTTCCCTATTCAAGACTATTCCCCTGATTCAATCCGCTCAGCCTTCGCAGCCATACGAACACATTTCCCTTCCTCTTCCTCGCCGCTTCGGGCTGCTCTCTTTAATGTGGGCTATGGAATTTGGAAGCCTTTCTTGGAGATCACCGACGAGGAACTTCATAAATCCCTCGATATTAATGTTGCCGCAGCATTTGCATTTTCTCGCGAGGTCATCACCGAGTTCTTGAAACTCGGATTTGAGGACCCAAGCGAAGGAGGGCAAGGCGGTTCAAGAAAACGGGGAACCCTGCTTTTCACGGGTGCAACTGCGGGCGTTCGCGGAAACGTCACTACCAGCGCGTTCGCCGCAGGAAAACATGGCCTCAGAGGCCTTGTGCAGAGCTTGGCCAAAGAGTTTGGAAAGCAAAATATTCATGTTCGTGTGTCCGATTCTTGATTATGCCTTGAGCTTACCGGGCATTAATATGCTTCAGGTCGCGCATGTGGGTCATGAATTTGCTCCATCCTCTTTGAGTACTGACCTTGCATACCCGCCTGCAGACCGTCATCGATGGAGGTAAGACCACAGAAGCTACTCGATACAAAGCACCGACTCTTGTCTAGTTATCTTGACCGATCGCACCAAGACCGCATTTAGCGATCCTGACCGGGAGGCGAATCTGGACGGTCGTCTTGACCCCGATGCCATCGCGAAGGTAAATTGATGTTTTACTGGGCGACTACTGTCTCTGACGGTTGGCGTTGACAGACCTACCTCGGTTTAGTCCAGCAAGACAGCTCTGCGTTGACGTGGGAGATAGACCGTGAGTTTTGTTTCTAAGCTCAAGTCACGGTCGTGTGCTGACCACAAGTACACAAGTACGTCCGGCGCACGAAAAGTGGTGAATATGATGCAGATCCCGGTATTGGTTAGGGGTTGCTCACTATACTATATTATTGTTGGACTTGCTCTTGGCGATGTCTCTGAAGTAGTTTGTTATCGCTTGCTTGAAATCCTGCATTGTTTCTGAAAATGCATTGAGTGTGGGTTGAACTGTGACGAGGCACAAAGTGGGATCCCTATCTCTGTTAGCGTGGCAAAGAGTCAGCACCAAGGTCACTCACACATTCGTACAAGCTGGCACCACCACTACACTCCCTCTCGAGCGGCACCTGTCCTCGCCAAGTCCACAAATTGGGTAAAGACGGGAGGTCGCTTTTGCCGGGGAGCCGGAATCACTAGGTAGCTTTCAGCATCACTAAGTTACAGGCATTCGGTCTGCGGGTCCTGGTCAGAGTCGAAGACGTTTGTCTTGCAGTTCCCATTCAACGCCTTCCAAGAACGTTAGGCGACAAGCCTTAGAAGAATGTAATTAGAAAGTCGCCATGGCGTGTCGGGAAGATGAGCGGGACTAATGCGTTGATGTATCCAAACTTCCATTCCCGCCCAATCCAAAGTCGTGTCAAGTAATCATACAAATTTGTCGGTAAGCAACGTTTCTTCCATTCTCCTTGTACAATCATTCTATTTGTTTAATCACCTCTTGCCCTTTTGGCTTCCTCGAATGCCGATTTGACCTACAGGGTGTGAGCACCTCATAAACACATCCAGTTACCTAGGCAGACTTACATTCGATAGGAACGTTTCGTCTGTTAATACGCGCATACCAACGGCAGCTAGCGCTTTCGACACGTCGAGACACGCCTCGTGGGCCTGGATGGTGCTGGCGGCTTCCGTGAATGCCGACGTATGATTCCCTCCATTTGGTACGGTCGGTATAGCTGTAATTAGGGCATGAATCAGTATCGCTTCAAGGCAAAGAAAAGCAGACGCACAGAACCCGGGGTGAAGGCCAGGCATCACTGGGTCAAGAGTCAACGCAACATGGAAAAAACCCGAAGAACGCTACGTGCGATAAGAGACATTTCCCTGTCGAGCACGGCATCAATTAGGAAACGAGGGAAAGTCGGTAGCGGCAAGAATCACTGACGAAATCTGTTGAAGCGCTCGCAATACCCCACTCATAGTCGATCATCCCGTATTTTTTGGAAACAACATCTTTGAGTTCTGCGCCTGAAATAATGCTCTCATTGAGACCACCGCATAATAAATGCGTGATGTAACGTGCCGAGGACTGGATTTTGGACCAGCTCATTTCCGAAAGACAGCTCAGTAACTGTCACCTTGCATCTGGTAGCAACAGCTGCAGCTCTGGAAACTCTGTGTTATGGACAGCAATCGACCGAGGAGGGATAATTGTACACACTCAAAGCATGCTTTGACTCGCTCCGTAGTCTGGAAAGCCTCTTTTGTGGTCGGTGCGCGTACAAACCAACTGTTTGTTAACAGTATGTATGTCAGGCATGATGAGTGGCCCTCGACATACGGAGCACGTACTACATCCTAGAGTTGTCGGGGATGACTAGAAACCACCCATGTCACGAAAAGACGTCAGCAGATATCAGGCGAAATACTGACTATTAGGTGCCCAGTCCTTCCCTTCAAAAATGCCATGAATCCGATGTGTTGGTTTCGTCTGCTGGCGGAGAAGCCCGATGCTAGTATAGGAAAGGACAGCGGCATCCAGTGCGTTCTGACCCTCCCAGGGGCTCAAACCTGCGTGTGCACTGTCCAAGTCAATCGTACAAGCAACAGACAATTCAAAATTAAAATCTCACGTGTGTCCAACGAAGTCAACCTGCAGCTGGACCATGGCCAAGCAGCCACTCAAACTGACAGAGTATGGTGGACCTGGAGCTGGATGGCACCTGGCGTACGCAGCAATGGACGATACTCAGAACCTCACGAGAGTTGGGGCCACTTGACTTACATGAGACAGACATCCATTTCTTCATATGCCCCCTTCTCCCAGAGCTTGACTTTACCGAATCCTCCCTCCTCCCCTGGATGACATCAGTTGGTCCGATCAACCATCACAAGATTTGCATGCTTACCAGGTGTCCCCAGCAAAATGACTTTCCCATCGATCCCCAGTTTCTCCATCGCGGCTTTCGCAGCACAAGCAATGGCCACACCAGCGATGCCAATGAGGTTGTGCCCACATGCGTGTCCGATCCCAGGAAGAGCGTCCACTTCAGAGTTTACACCAAGAACAGGACCACCTTGCCCGTGTGAAAACGTTGCAACCCAAGCCGTTTCTAGCAGGTAATGTCTTTGAACCACAAAGCCTTGCTTCTCTACGAACGCAGTGTAGACATCGTGAGCGTGCCTGCCAAGCCTCAAGAGTGTCAGACCGCTCATGATCAATACATAAGATGCACTACCTTTCTTCGAACTTCAGTTCTGGGTGCGCTATAAAAAAGAAAACATAAAGTAGTGGATCGTGGCGAATAAAAGTGACATACCAAGAATATCCAGACTGAGTCCCCTGAGCGCTGGACTGAGCTCGTCGATGGTCTTCTCGATGATTTGTAGTATATCTGGTCTGTACACGTCACCTCCTAGCAGGGGTGGTCGTGGTTTCTGATCCCCAGGCCTCCAAACGACGTCGCTCATGGTGCAATTAACTCGATGATACGGCCCACAAGAGGATGATAAGAAGTGTAATATCAGGGATCCGAAGTCGGCTGCAAACGAGCGATTACGTCATAAATATCTGTATGGCAGGCAGGGGCACAAAACAGCACAACGCTGAGGCAAGACTAACGCAAAACCACCAAGGTTAGTTGTTGACTCGGTAGGGCCGGGCACATGCAGTTGTAAAGGGGTTGGCAGAGGTACCTGGTGGGCTTTGATCAGACCAGCTGAATAGGCTCTGAAGTTCATAGACTGCCCGATCAATTTGTTTACCAGAGCGATGACCTTCGACGCGGTACTTCCGACAAGAGCCAGCGACTGCCGCACCGATCCAGTAGTCTGATGAGCCTTGGCAATAACAGATTGTTAGATTTGGCAAGTCGCTCGTAGCCTTCGTTCACTAATTGATGCTACTTTTCCTTACCATGGGAAACACTTCCCGTTTACGGGTCTACAAGACCACTGTACTTAGTTGTTTCGAGCGCTGACAATACAGCACGGTAATTTTTGGTTTATTGTCTCCAAATGTTTCATATGTATAATTAACAGTACAAGCACTTGCGCTATGACCATGCTTGTAGTTTCAATACCGGGTTCAACACCCGTGTCTCACCCTTTTGTTTCGTATAGTGTATTTAACTCGTTACTGTAGTAACACCACCTCAGACATTTGCCGCTCGCGCACTCGACTGAGATCTTGCTATAGATTTCTGTGACAGATTCTGTACTGGTGAAGGATCATGCACTGATGGGGATGACTTTCCAATAAACCGTTTCTTTGGCTTGATAGTTTGGGTGTGACAGAGACTGCCATTAATGGATTTGCGCAGTGCCGTTCGGATGTTGAGATGAGGAACGTACAGGTAGTCATCACTTGGTGGCGTGTCCTTGTCTGTATACTCCAGTCAGTCTCCGTACTTCCTTGCCTTCCTGCCCCCAGCTCACCCGGTTCTCTCATCTTTGTTCCCATCCTGACTTGCCAGCCTCCCCTTTCCACCTCTTCACCAGCCACGTCTCATTCCAGCTTCAAGCATACCTGTGTAACGCTGGATGGCCACTTACTCTTTAGCACATGGATTGGGACAGGGCATTGGCGAAGCCAGGAAGATAATGCATGGCATGCAGGGTCCTGATAATTTGGATGGTAAAAGTCAATCAACGTATACGAAAAAAACAACAGGATTCCATGGAAGTAACTGATGTAGACATCTGGTATCTAAAGCGGAGCTTAAAGGTAAGTCAATGTCGATGAAGGAGAATGAAAACACTTCCTCGACTTCTGTGGTCCCGTCATCAATGGCCCCAACTGAGAAGCAACCACTGATCCTGTTGCAGCACGTGCAGTTTTCGATGTTGACACACAAACTGGCTTGGTGCCCCTCGACCCATCTATCTGCAAACTTTGCCTGAACAATGAGAGCAGTGGGTAGCTGTATTGAAAAAAGCGGTGCCTGAGAGGTAGCAATCAGCCACTGAGCAGGATGGTGGAGATGAGGAAAGGAAGGTGCTGGACATTTGGCGGTTGGAAATGAGGGTGGTGAGTTGTTTCATTTCTGTGGCACGTCACATGGTGTTAATCTTGTAAAATAATGAAGCTACCAACGCTCCAAGATCTCTGGGACCTCGTGAACTCCGAGGTCCCTCTCTGCAGAGCATACCGTGTCCCCACTTGGATTTCTATATCCACAGCCATCCTCTAAATGCACCCCTCTTCATCCCATTGTTGAGGTGCTGCACAAGTGGGAATGGAAGGTGCCTTCGACAGTGGAGACAGAGTCAGAATGGGCATACTTACACCCTGAATTTGGATAACCTGAGAAGCCAAGACTTATACATGACGAAGAGGAATTTTACCTCGCATAGCCCTGATCCACCCGTGTCGAACTCCGAGGCATTGAAACTCTCAAACTGATGCATGCTTCGATGGACGAGACATTTGCCAGTGCCAATATTGCTGCATAATACATATTTCATTCCCTATCTCGCTGAGGTGGTGCACACATTGATGATCCCTGCTGACGGACACTTAAAGGGTGTGACCCGGGTGTGTTTTATCATCGCAGGATGAGGGTATTGGTGGGTGTGAGGATACTGGTGGGGGCCAAAGATTTGTCAGGACCAAGTGGAGTGCAGGGCAGAGGGCATTGGTGCATGCTCTGGATAATTTTTCTGGGATTGGATGATTGTACCGGACATCACCACCCATGGACTTCGTTCGACATGTTTCGCCAACCCTTGCCTATGTGTGACTCATTTCGTGCAGACAAAAACACTAGATCTTGTGGAGCTCAAGACCATTACCAAACTCGTAATGCTGCACTGCCAAATCTTTGTCACTTTCCAAGATTGTCCCAGACCAGAACTAGGGAATATACATACTTGGCTTGGGGGACATGTACAGTGTCTCAATTAAGTAATGCACAGCATTAATAATCCAACAAGTGCTTGTCTTGCTTGACAACAACTGAAGCAAAGACATTGATTAATAGCTCATTAGATAGTGATAATTGCAGGGATAATGACAGTATGCAAAAGATAGTAGGAAAAAAGGAGTGTCAATGTGCATGAGATGATTATGAAAAAAGGTGCTGTGCAATTCATATTTGGATGTGGTATGTGCTTGAAAGAAGTTAATGTCACCAGTCCAATATGCATGGTATGAACAAGAAAATTCTAATACCTAGTGTGGCCACCTTTAGCTGCAAGAAGAGCCTGAACATGCTCTGGCATGCTGTCATAGAGTGAAGTAAGGTAGCTTTCTTTGATGCCCTCCCACTCCTCAACAATGGCATTCCATAAGTCTGTGACATTTGATGGCAGAGTGGTCCAAGTGTGCACACAATGTTCCAAATAGTGCCAAACATGTTCGATAATATTCATATCAGGGCTCTGCAGAGGCCAGTCAAATGTGTCAAGCTTCTTGGTGCTGAACCCATCAGTAAATCACTTTTGCTGTCCAGCACTGGACAGATTCCCTAGGACTACCAGCTCACAAAGTGGTCTACTGATGCCACTGGGTGGCAAGCTTCAAAGTATGCTTTGGATCATTGTCTTGTTGAAAATAAACATTTTTCTTCTTCATTCCAAGGTCACTGAGGGTTCCCAGAAGCTCATCCTGCAGGATTTCAACATAGAGCTTTGCATCCATATGACTTTCAATGCAACATATATGGCCTGGCCCAGTGGCTGTGATGCACTCCCACATCATGACACTGCCACCACTGTGTTTCACCACCTTCCTGGTGTAGCATGCATCAAAGTCTTCCCCAGGCTTCCTCCAACACCATTCATGGCCATCTGACCCAAAATGATTGAATTTAGATTCATCTGAGAAGACAACAGCCTTCCAATTCTCTGCTGTCCAGTCAGCATGGGCCTTTACCCACTTGAATTGCCTTTTCTTGTGAGCATCAGTCAAAAGAGGCTTTGGGTGACATACATAGGCCTTTAGGCCACATGCACATAGTGTGTGTTGGATTGTTTCAGCAGTAAATCCTGGGAAAAACTTCCTCTGAAGGTCAGCAACATCATGTGCCTTCCCCTGAGCAAGAAGTTGGGCTGTGCAACGAGTGTCATTCAAAGTGAATAGACATGGGTGACCTGATTTAGGCTTGATAGCATAGTAATCTTCAGATTTAGCATAAGAATTAAAGATGTGTTTAACAGTAGTATGATGAATTTGGAACTTTTTGGCAATGTGCTCATCTGAGAGACCAACTGCCTTGTCTCAACAAACCCAAGCCTTCTTTGTTGGGCTGGTGTACTTTTCCATGGCCAAGAGATGGTAAAGAGGGTACCAGTAGCTTCTGGAGTGGTGTGGTGGGCAGTGAACTCGGCAATGAAAATTTGAGGCAGGTTTTCATAATGCCACCCCCTATCCAAAAAAGAATTGCACAGTACTTTTTTTAGTGTTCACACCACAGCACACTGCAATACAATGAAAGGACAATCATCACACCTCAGTCTTGTCAAATAGACCTTTGTCCACATGTTAAGATAGTTGTATGAACATAAAGTGATGTATTACTGTTGCTATCAATGAAATGCTGGAAATGTAGTGGCTGTGCATTACTTAATTGAGACACTGTAGGTGATAAGTTCAGGTCTGTGATGCTATCATTCTTTTCTCCTCGAACTCCAGGATGGGCTGTGTTGGTGGGTGTGCCAGCAATGACAATGGGTGTGTACTAGCAGTCAGAGAGGCTGAAGCACCCTTGCTGACAGTCCCTTGTGGTGGTTACCTAAGATGCAAAATGGATCGAAATTGTATCTCAGATTAATGCATATGTAGGTGTGGTCACTTTCACAGACGAAAGTCAGGTTGTAGGAGGATATGGTAGTATTCGTCAATGGAGGATTGAAGATGGACAGCAACAGGGTCCTACCATGAAAGCAGATGGCCATATCTGTTCTGTTGCCATTTCCAAGGATGGCTGGTGGATTGTGACTGGAGACTGGGGAAAGAAGGCAATACTCTGGAATGCTGCCACTCATGAAAAAGTGTGCAAGTTCACAGAACATGGCCACTATGTTTATGCAGTCGATATCTCAAGTGACGGTGCTAAAATTGCTACCATGGACTACCACAACACCCAGGTATTCAGTATCACTTCTGGTATCTGACTCCTCCCCTCCCACACCCTAGCATTGCTGGTGTCAAGTTCTCCCCATACAACAGTCAATTTGCTACTGTCTTGACAAATAATGGCTTCCGCATCTATAGCACCCATAATGGCAATATCTTGTTTGATTCAGGTAAAAGGGGTTCAACCAGAACAGATCTGGTCGCTCCATTGGCCTGGTCATCTGATGGCCAGCAACTGTTCATCGCAAACATAGGCAAAATCATCTGTTTCGACTTCTCAAAGTCTTCAGAATGGTCAATCCATGTCGATAAACATGTGGTATCTATGGCATTCAACAACAGATTCATTGCATGTGGCACACATTCCTCGGTTTTGCTATGGGATTGCATATCCCACAAGCAGATCAGTAGCATTATCAATTACAACATGGCAATCAACTGCATCGCTCTCTCACCAAGTGGATGGTATCTTGCATGTGGACTATACACCAGGGAATTCATAATTTACAATCTCAAAGATGTCCTGCCCCCTGAGTATCTTGACCATAGTGTAAGTTTATATCCACTCATGGAGCTTACATTGCTAACAAACAACAATCATCATGCCATTCTTATGCCCTGCATAATGCTTTAATCCATCACCAGCTCCACTCTTCTCAACTTCCACTTGTAAAAATAAGTCATAGCAATTTGATGGCAGACAGGATTTATACAATTTGAAAAAGACATGTCTATAGTATAGTACACACTTAAACATGCAATCCTCTCAAAACTTCATGGAACACTACATTCATAGACTTGTTTGTTTGGTGTCCTTGGCCACTGTGCAGCACCTTGATGTTCCTTGGATGGCTACATCTGGACAGAGCAACATATAGTTGCCCATGAGAGAACACAGGTGTCCTGAGGTCAAGGCCCACATGTTGGACTGTCTAGCCTTGTGATTTGTTAATGGTCATTGAATAGGCCAGATGAACAGGGAACTGCAGGTGATGCAAGGGTATTGGGAAGTCAACTGGATTGGTATCCAAAGCCATGTGAGGAATCAGCACCACATCATTGTTGGCATCTCCATCCCTTTCCTGCACATAATGTACCTACATTGTACCATGTGACAGGGCCAGTGGAGGCTGACAATTTGCCATGTCCCATGGGCCAGTGGAGGTCAAGCCCTACACTGAGTCATCCCCCTGCTGTATGGACCAGCCCAGCTTCTATTATCAAATAACACATGAGTAGGCCACAATCAAATTGTCCCTGTAGTACCTGGAGTAGCCTAGTGAGATGTCACCTATCCAGTGGCATGCTGCAGCATGTGTAGATCAGCACTGGAAGTTGGCACAAGACCTTGGCATGCTTTGGGATAGCTCAGCAGTGTAGTGTTGTATGATTTTGGAGCACTCCAGGGCATACCATGGCCCTCTGGGGTGAGCTGTGGCATATGTTCCTAAGTGAGCTGTGGCAAGCCAGCCACTCTGGAGCAAATGGTGGAGCATGCAATTGTCCTCCAGGGTAAGCTGTGGCATGCCAACCACTCCAGAGCAAATTCTGGAGCACACTGCAGCACATGTGCTGGAGTGTACCATAGCATGTGCCACAGCATGCCAGCCACTCCAGAGCAAATTCTAGGACACACTACAGCACATGTGCCAGAGCATACCATAGCATTCCAGAGAACTCTGGAGCAGGCCATGGCCCTCTGGGGTGCAGTAAGGTTTGGTATATGTTCCAAAGCAAACTGCAGCATGCCAGCCACTCTGGAGCAAGTATTACCAGCATACCCAGCATGCCTACCCCTTGCAGATACTACCAGAATTGGCATAGCTTAAAAGGTTGGCATTCAGTACCACAAACTGGGATGCAGCACCATGTATTCAGAAGCAGTAGCAGTTGGCAAATATGGCATTCTGCATTATGGCACACTGCAGCATGCAGCATAATTCATGGGGAAGTTGTGGCAACATGTACTGCAGCACCTGGTGGCACCTGCTCCATAAGTCTCTGGAGGGTCACAGCAGCTGGTGGAGATTGCTTGGCACACACCAGTAATGTGGCCAAGTCAGCTAGACTTGGCAGGGATGCCTGGCAGCTGGCAGCATGGGCATGACATACAGTGGCAAACACCTGACTGGCTTAGGATCCATGTCAAGGCTTGGTGTGTGGCATGGATGGTTCTGCATACAGCAGCACATGGTTAGATGCAGAGGAATAAACTGGCAGTTCTTGGCAGCTGATGGCATTGATCCAACATACTGCAGCACACATCAGGATTGAGTAGGATTCATGTCAGTGCATGGCATCCAGCATGGATAGTTCTGTATATGGCAGCACACAGCTAGGGTACTATAGATATGGACATGAAGCATAGCATGAATTGTTAGTATACTGCATATCTTACCACCAGTATAAGATCATAACCTATACTTCATATGATCACAGAAGGGTGGCTAGTAATATTGCATTGATTTCATAGATTTCATTCAAACCAGGATTGTGCTGATCAAATACTGGATGCCCAGGGCATTAAATAATGTCCAATACAATACAATACAGGGTGTCATGGGTGATTTACATGCCTGTGAGAGCCCGCCACACCAATGGAATTCACATCCAATCACTTTGAGGGACTCCAAGCCAGTTGTGAATATTGTCCCACATGTAGAATGCTAGTGAGCAATGGTTGCTGCTCACATCATTCACACCATGCTGCAAAAGCCAGCCAGAAAAGGCTACAATGGTGCCAGGCCAGTAATTGAATTGAAGACCAAGAGAGGGAATGTCAAGAACACATTCAGAATAATTGCCAACACTAATGAGCATGTCATACCAGTTGGCATGGGATTGTGGGTCATGATGGAGGGGAGCTGACTGGTTAGCAATCATGGAGATGTTGGTATAAACTGTTGGCCAGTGTCAGAGTGCTGCCAACATTTTGGGATCATTCACAGCAGACCACTCAGTCAGCTGCTGCATGGCTTGGTGACTGGCATTGTACAAAGGAGGGTGCATAATTGAAAGTGTAGCAGAGAGAATTGCCAATGACATTTGGATGGCATGGATCCATTGCCAAGTGGCTGGAGCCCCAAGGTTGGCAGATACAGAAGGCTGGTGTGCCAGTGTCTACAACACTAGCAATGAGTATTTTGAGATAAAGCATGAGGATGATCCTCATGGCATGACCAAGTTGATGCTAGGCTGGCAAAAGCTCTAAGCAGCCTGCAAGCAAACAGTGATCCACCAGAAAGTAATCAGGTGATGTTCACCAGGAACCATCAGATATGCTTCAAGTCAACATATTGGAAAGTGGGGGAATAGCTCCCACCATCTGGTCCTTGGTAGGGTTGTGAACTGAGGACAGCAGGATACATCACAATGCCTGCCTGCATTGATTGGGACATTGCACTGGGTAGATACCACAAAGCAATTGCATCCCCTTCACCCAGAATGATTGCAGGAATGTCCAAATACCCACTCAGATATGGTGGGTGAGTGGAAAGGATGCAGGCCTCCTGGTTCAAATTGAAACCTGTTTCTCAAGGCAATAGGCTTTCTGACAGCCTGATTAATTCATTGCCAGAGGGAACTGCAATAAATGTTAGCAGGACATGCAGCAGTGCTGTTAAAATGGCATATGGGGATTACAATAGGCCTGGGCCAGTGTTGCTGCCATTTGATTGAGTGTAATACATGTCTGGACCTCTGGTTCAAGAGGTTGTGGTGGGACAGTGGCAGTGCAAGGATGTGTCTCATGGAGAACTTGGCAGCACATGTACTCCACAAGCTGGTCAGAAAGTAGATAGTTGGATGGGAATGTGCTGGTACTGGACATTTCTAATGTGATCAGGTTGGGGAAGTTAAGGGAATCCACTGGCAACAAGTGGGATATTTTCCAGAGATGTGAGGAACACACACAGCATGGCTCCCTCTGGCTGCAGCAATTGTGTGGCCAATATTGTCAGCAATGGTAGTGACTAATGCAGCAACATTGAACTAAATGCAGCATGGAAGCTCTCTGCAGCAATGTGACCACAGCATCATTGGCATTTTGGAATGTGGCCCAGCTGGAACACAACCTTGAACAGCTGTGAATGCCACTGGAGTATACATTACAGAAGATATTAGCCCCTTCCACATGTTCCAATTGGGGGTTGCACATTTCCAATACTGCCAGCAACATGAGTCAAGGTCTGGATTACCAGCCTGTTTCACTAGTGGCATTGTTGAATGGGCAGTTTGGAGCACCATGCCAGAGATGGTTCAATGGCACTGGCACATCACAGATATCTGACTGTGAACCTAGTGGATGGCTTTATAGACTGCTGGCCCAAGAATGACATTGACATGATTGGGGCTGCAGGGAGAAGAGTACACAAAAGACCCAGTGATCATGGGAATGCCCCTATACATTTACCAGCATTGATTCTGATACAGTAAAGCTACCAGCCTCAAAGGAAACTCATTATAGATGGTTGATAATATGTACAGCAGCTGTATGTTCATTCCTGCACCTTTGACACTGACTCCACCCATGCAACCTGTAATGCAAGTTTAGATCAGGTAACAGCTTCCAGTGATGACATCTGCTCCTGTGAATGTAAGATTAACTTTGAAAGATATGATAACTCCTGATTAATAAGCAGTGGTAGTGAAATGCCACCATTCTGATACCATGGGTGAGTTGGAAGTGAGCAAAGGTGTGCTGCCACTTACTGATACTCCTGTGAAAAATTCCATGGCTTCTGCAATTACATCCTGCAGTGGTCTCCTCTCACAATTCCACTTTGCTGCTGTCATTCTGCCACAATGCATGGGCCATGGTAGTGGCCAGTTTGACATGGCACTCCTTAATCCTTGTCACATGGGGATTCAAGCTTTTGATGAAAGCTAAAATGTTGTGGGGACTCCATTTGCCATCATTCAGGTATGTTAACAGCCTGTTGGCTGTGAGCAGCATGATCAGGGTGATGGGATGGCAAGATGCCATGCCCATCAGACACTCCATTGTACCCTGTACCACTATCAACCATTGTACCACCACAGGAACAGTGGCTTACCACTTCTGCCAGGAAATGTTGATACCAACTAGTGTGCTGGTATTCAGACCAATCCAGCTTCTTCATGGTGGTGACAAGGTGATGAAACCTCATTCCCATGTACTGTATGGCCATGGAGAGTTTGGCCACAGTGAATGTTGATGACATGACTTACTGGCATGAAAGATGAGATGTCATACTATATAAGCATTGGCCAACTTTCCCATGGCTTTGCATGGTGGCATGCATCTGCCATTAAGGCAGTACTCATTAGCAAATGCTTACCTTGCATTCAACTACACCAACCAATATATGATTGATAACCCTGGCATCATTTGGGAGATCTCAAGAATGATGTCATTGCAGATAGCTAGTGGTCTCTAGATGGAAATGGTTCACAGAAGACATGCTAATCTGCCATACATCTGGCATTGCTGTGTGGCATAGCATGCCAGCCCAGCCTGTCCCTTTGCCAATGTGGCAGCCTTTCTGCCAGTCCAAAATCTTACCTTGTTTTCAAAGAAGTTTTTAGTCCACTCCTGCTCACATTTCAACAGATGAACCTCCTCCTTCCATCTGTCCCACAGCACTCTCATCTGGAGCCAATTGACCCTGTAAACTAGAGAAAATGATAAGTAAATCTCAGATGCTGCTGCCATGTGATTGCTCCTCTCACATTCTGACATCCAATCATTAGTGGCCATGTCCCTTGGTACATCCATGGTCCAAATCCAAAGTAGGGTATTGTCTCTGTGACCTCTGGCATTTGGGTCAGATACTGCTGTGCTGATAGTTAGGTCAGAGTCATTCAACTCTTTGTATCACTCCAGGATATCTGGCCCAGCCCCTAACCTGCCCATTTGAATGTGGCACCAGCAGTGCACAGTGGCATGACATTGCATGGCTGCTTCAGCATTGGCCACCCTTCCCCAGGCATGCATGGCCATGTGGTAATTAGTTCCATGGCAAATGTCAGTTCAAAAGATGACCACCTTCTCTGCAAGCACAAGCTGCAGTTCATGAAGACAATCATTGGCCTGTCCTTGCTGCAGTTGCAGCTCCATTAGTGTCACATACCCCAGGCCAGATCATTCAAAATGATCTTTGCCAACATTGGATGGCAGTGGCAATGCAATGGTTTCTGGATCATGTGGGTGAGATGACTGGCAGAGCTTGGCATCCTTGAATCTGTCCCCAAATAGTTTTTTGGCAGTGTTGAAAATGCCATGTATATGGGACTGGAGATGATCACAGTGACATGCAATGGTGAGATTTTGAGCTTCTGTCACTCTTGAGGTGATGTGCCAGCATGCAACTGCAAGCTGGATTTGTGCTTCCTCTATCTTCAATGCCTTGGCAATCCAGGTCACCATACCCTGTGAATGCCCTGGCTGGGGGATGGCCAGTAAATCTATCTCAATTGCCTTTTCAGAGGGAGCTTCAATACCACTCAGCACAAATCCTGTCCAGGATAACCTTCAATACCTACCTTTCTGCAGCCTGATCTCATATATATCCATGGCCTGTGGCCTTGGCAGCCTGTTGTCCAATGCTGCTGCTGCCTCTTCCCCCCATGATTGGCTGATTGCTGGTGGGGAATTACCATTCAAATCAGTAAACCTGCCTTCAACCACTAAATAAGATTCCTCAGCAACCTTGAGTTTCTGCTTGAGTCTTATTGCTGTAGCCTGTTAGCCATGCAACCATGTCTGATACAAGCACTAGACTTCTGCATTCTGACCATTTTCAGGAAATTGCTATCATTCATTTGGAAATCAAGTACCTCCTGCCAATGGGGAGTAGCCATGCCTCTAGCAGATGGGGAAATGGTATTCAGGGAGGACCACAAGGTTTGCATGATCTCCCCATCCACCTGGCCAGCACCCACAATGAAATTGGGAGCATATCATGCAAAGCATTCTGTGCAGTGGCCATGAACATGCCACAACCCAATGCCAGGGCAGATCTGCATGCCATCTGGCATGGATATATAGGCATTGGCATGTAGCCATCATTCTAAACCTTTGCTATACTGGCAGTTAATATCATAGAAATGTATCACTTGCTGGCCAGGGACTGTACCATGCCTGATGGCATGCACAAGCACATAGTCCATGTTAACCTGCCTGTGATGTTGATGTCAATATTGTCATACATTGTTACAAAGTTATTCATACTGTTCACCCTTCTGGAAGTCAACCATTGCATGTGGCACAAAACAGCCATGCCATGCACAGGCACATCCACCTATTCCCATAGATGTGAGTTGCTGCCAGTTGGCATTTGCTTGATTAACTGCCTGATGATTGCTGCAATCTGAGATCTTGTAGTGTGATCAGTCCATCGGGTAATACATTCCTACACATCACCCACCTCAACCACATTTTTAGTGCTGCTCAAATATTCCTTGTATGGCTGTGATGCAACCATGTACCCCTTTCCATCCATCAACCAGGCTTCACTGCCAGTGTCCTTTGGATGCATATGCTCTGCCTTGAAATTCCCATCCATGACCAAGCTTCTTGCCAGTGTTCAACTGGATTACACAGTGTATAAATGGCTAGCAGTGTTCATGGTATCACTCACTGGGAATAATCCATTGCATCTTCAGGAATGTTGATGCTGGGTTGGGGACATGCTGGACAGAATAACACTAATTCCCTGGGGCCAGCATCTTCTGCACTTGTGTGGGATCCCTGCCATTTCAGTAGTTTCAGGAGCTGCCACATCCTAGCAACTCTCAGCAGTTCCCTGTACCTATCCTATCATCCAGCTAAGAGTTGTGTTGCAGTGATACAATTCAACAAATAGGATGCACTGGCACCAGATGAGGAAAGGCATTGGAGGTTATGCAATGAAGGTTGCTGTAGAAATTCATTGCTGAGGTACCACATTCCACATTGTCCTGAATGAAGTCATCAAGTACTTGGAAGGTAAATGCAGTCCTTGCAACCTTTGTGGTAGCAGGAAACATCCCAGCCCACATCAGCTGTATGTGTGAATCCTCTGCCCCAGGGCATCTACAATACCACACATTGCAGTAGTGTATTCCATTGGTGTGCACAACAATTACACAGCTTTGGTTCTTCAGGGCCTGCAGATTAGCTTCCCACCATGCCCAACATGCAGTACCAAACCAGCCTGAATGGTAAGTACAGGAACAACCCTCATGATTCAGCTACTTACCAGCTGCAGGGATGATTCCTCAAAGAATGTTCCATTCCATTGTTCCACCCTGTGGAATGCCCAGTGCTTGTGTTCTACCCAGCAACACATGGTGCAGAAGACTGGCCAATGGGCACACTCAGTGCACCAGAAAATTCCATCTGCTCCACACAGGACACAATCCCTTGGCTCAGGTGGGGCCTCCATGTCCAACAGGATGGCTAGATAATGTTGTTGGTGTGGCAGCCACTGCTGCAGATAACTATTCTACAATTGTGTGACACTGTCATTGCAGGTTTGTTGGGCAATGCAGCATTCCACACACCTGACTTTTCTGAGGTTTAGAAGGTGTTGCAGGCAATACATCATTATTGGAAGGCAGTTGTTCACCAACATCATCCAACAGGCAGTCCAGGTGATCCAGGATAACAGAGCCAGGCTGCACAGGAGGCTGAGTTGCATGGCCTGGCACCCACTTTCTGGGTGCTACTTTTAGCATCTTATCCCTATATCCTCAGGTGGTTTTCACTCTTTGCCAGGTCACCTGGGTCACTCTTGTAGCAGGTCCCACTGGTGCAATCTTTGACTTCCCCATGATGAATGTTGCAATGCAGAAGGGTTTTGATCACAACAAATACATGCAGCTGACACATGCTAGCAAGGTCTGACCACCAACTATGGTAATGCTATCTTATGATCTGGCACATGATTTCAGTGCTGGCACCTGCACATTGCCTAGAGATCAATGAAATGAATGAGCACTTGCAAAAAGCCTTGTCCTACATCATGCCCATAGTGCCTATACCATCCACAGTGTCTCAATGCACATTGCCCAATTACCAAAGATCTCAGATCCATGAAGTCTGAGAGGCACCACCTTTGCACATGGCTCAGGGATGGAAATCTCATGATTGACTAACAACCTTAGCCATTTTGGGAAACTGTCCAATCAACTGGCATGCAAGAATGGACTAGACACTGGAATGTAACCTTCATTGACATGGGAGAATGCTGGAAAAGTCTATTCTCTTCAACAGATATTGTACTAGCTGTCCCCTGAAAATTTGCACACAAGCACCTCAATCCTCAATGGCATCCAGTGACTATGAAAGTGACTCTTTCTCTGACAACACTGAACCCTCCCCACCATAAAAGCAGACCAGTCTTCAGCCAGCCAAAATTGAGATTCTTGAGGCTGAGCTAGAGTCATGGAAAAATGCTAACTGAAACAAGAGGAGCTCCATCATGTTAACCCTCAGAAACAAGATAAAGAACCTTGATGCAAATGTGATGCTGAAAACACATGAATGGGTTTGGAAGAAGAAGGTGTGGCACACCTGCCATTGATTACCTGGCATGTCCTTACCATTTCCAGGCAATTCAGACTTGGTTGTACAACCATGGCCAGAGCCATAGGTGATGGGCTCTGATCAAATATGGTGGCAGTTGGACACTGAGTAGCATTGGTATTTTACATGGCCATGGAATGTGATACTACATTTTGACAACCAATAGCTACAATTACAATAAATCCTCATCCAGTTCCAATTCATCCTCACCATCCCAATCACTGGTCATCAAATCTTGTATATATTGCTGAGTCCTTGCCAGCTGTGCTCTCCTTGCAAGCAACAGGTGAAACTGGATGCTTGATTCCACCAATATATTTCTGTAGTGGTTGTAGGCCACAATGATTGGCCCATCAGTGGTGGTGTTAAGATGGGGCAGGTGCTCATCAGCTGGTCCTGTGAGAAGAACTGCAAGCCACCATGCTTTTTCCACTGCCAGATGATTGATATATATGCAAGGGATATCATAAAACAACTTACATGTTGTAATTGGCCCTTCATCATGAATTCCTTGTATACCCAAGTCACTGGCAAAATGTTGCAGTGCCAAAAAGTGAGCTAATACACTTAATACTGGTGGCAACAAGAGATGACATGGCACTCACCAGTGGTGGCATTGGTGGCTGTAGGCCATGGAGATGGTTGCTGTGATGTAGCCAGGATGGGCTGTGGCTTGGAGGCTGCCACACCATCTAACTGCTCATCCATACATGCATGCTCCATGGGAGATGGTGCAGTCTGTGGAATTTGTGCAGATGCTGGCAACAATCTAGGTGGGGGTGAGACTGCCAGGGAAGATGTTGGTAAATCCCAGCTGGGTGCAATGGTGGCCAAGGATGGCATGGAATGACTTGCTTGCCATGCCTCCCATTGTTGATCAGCAGCAGGTGGCTGCACCTCTGGTGAAAGTGGTGGGGAGTCCCAAGATGGTGCAAGCATGCTGAGCAATGGCTGGGAAGGGCCAGCATTTGGCAGCATGGAGGATGAAGGCAATCCTAGCTGATGGCCCCAAGCCACAGCATTTGTGGCTGTTCTGAATGGTAGAAATTCAGGTTCATCTATGGCCATATCTGTATCATTGGCACCTGGCAATACCCAAGGTTTCTTACATGGGGAGATGACTGGTGAAGGTTATTGACAGTTGTATGTTATAATGACTACTTACATCAAGTATCTGGACTGCCCAGCCTCCACCTTACTGACTTTTGCTCCATGATATTCAGTGATCTGCAGAATGTTGATAAGTTGATTGAAATATTGTTCAATTGTGTCACAATGTCAGATTTGGCTATTTGGGCTTGTTTGTCTACCAGCCAGTGTTGATGCCAGCACAATGGTTCATGAAAATATAAAATGCAGCTGTGCTGCCAATGCAATTGTCAACTATCACTTGACTGCACTGCTCTCACACCAGTACCCCACTTCCACAAAAATGTCCCAACACACTGAAACATCCCAAACCACCACTGCCACCACTCCCTCCATTGCTCTCCCATGTGAAATAGTCACTAATGCTGCAGACATAGTCATGGTGGAGCTTTTGACATTCCATGACCACAGGAACAAGCAATACTGGAAAAGAGCTATGCATGTCATTTGGGAACAGTTGGTTCATGGCATGCTGATCTATTTATCCTCTGATATTTACAACATTCCAGACCTGTGTGCACCCTTTGGTTGAGGAACTGCCCTCAAAATTCACCATCCCCACCCACATCATCACCACTGAAATGATTATGAGAGATCCAGTGGTGCTTACAGCATTGAAGGAGTGGCTGAACTTTGACAAGATCAGAGATGCAATGGATGCTGATGTTGTGGACCATCCATGGCACCAGATTGGAAGGCCCATCAATAAGGGTAAAGGGCACACAGTTCCATTAGAACCACTTCAGATAAGTGACACTGCTGCTGCCACTGCTGACACTTTGGAAGAACCCCATGGCTGATCAACCAGTTGTGCTGCTCCTACTGGCACTTGGCCCAGAAGTTGAAGGCTGCAGAAGCATACAAGGTCAGTGGCAGCAAGTGATGCTGACATTTCAACAGCAACTGCTGGAGCATCTGCCAGTCACAGCCACTCAATTGCAGCTCTTGCAACCCCTGCCACTGGCTATATGCCTGTTGCTGAAGAAGACCAATGTGATAGGTGCATGGAGAAAAATCTGCCATGTGTGGTCAAGTCAGGTTCTGCATGTTGGCAGTGTAGCTGCTGGAAGTACAGGTGCAGTATCTTTGCTGGAGTGAAGGCTGCATGGTCACAGTCAAGGTGACCCTGCAGTCATGCTGCAACTGAGGCACCTGATGGAGCAGTGGACTGTCCCCAAACTGTCACAGCCACCCATCCCCCCAGCCAATACCATCCTCAAAGCCCTTCACCAGGGCCATCAGCTGCAATATCCTCAGAACCCACCACTCCTGCACAGCAGACCCAGAAGTGGTGGGCAGCCACTAGAAGTATGACACCTACCACTGGCAAGACAACCACCTTGGCCACTCCAAGCTCCTGCAGGCAAAGTAAGTCCTCCATTTCTTTCATTCTGCTATTCTTATTTGATCCTAACATAGTTTTCAATGGAATGGTCATTGTCACTCCATCTTGGTGGCAGTCAGGTCAGCAGACATCAAGCCCAGCATCCTGGGGGGTGGCAACATCCCAAAGCCATCTCACTACCCCAGCCTGCCCAGTGACCCCCAATGCTACCCCCATGGAGCATATGGAAGAGGAGATTGCAGCATTGTGGCAGCAGCATATGGAGATGGCACAAGATCTCCTAGATACCCACTGTGAGCTTGCCAATACCCAGCAGGCCCTTGCAGATACCCAGACCAAGTTGCAGATACTTTGCAATCTTGTCAAGGCCTTATGCCAGCACCTGTACCTGTTGCCACACTCCTCACCTGATGCACCTGGACCCTCCCACCCCTCCCCCATCAGCTTTGCAATTACAAGTCATCAAGCAGTCATTCCCACTGATGGTGCAAGGATACTTGACCTTGTGCCCACTACAATGGTCCAGGAGGTTGCAGTTGATACCAGCATCCTCCAGAACCTCCCAGGTGATATGCTTTTAGCCCCTTCTACTTTCCTGCTGCCCACCCACCATTTTGCATACTCATCCACCCCTGGTGTAGGAGAAGCCTGGCCCCCTATCTATGTCTCTTTGGGGGCAGTTGCTGACCATGCTGGTGGCGATGATGCTGATGATGAGGATGCCACTAATTGGATGGATGTAGATTAACATGTCCATAGCATGTACTATTACCATTTCATTGTCACTATTCCTGAGAATGATCATCCTCACCTGCTTTTGCTTTACATGGTGCAGATATGGTCTCTCTGGTGTGTGCCATCCCATTTGAGTCTGGCCAGGCAACTGGCCTTGCAATTTATAAATACACTGGTACAGCTAAGCTAGTGCACACTGGCAGCACCCTCAAATCATGCATGGTACTTGCCACATATGTCCTGCACAATTGCAAGGGTTTAACCCTCTGACCCAGGTTGTGGCTGTGCAATCATGGCCTATGCTGCTTAATGCTGATGCCACCAGTGAATAGTGCTTGATGTTGCTGATTCCTGTCTATGCCACTCAATGCTGGTGACACCCAACCCCTGCTGCCACCATTCCTGTGTATGCTGCCACTCATTCCCCTCTATGCCACCTGATGCCATTGACACCCACCCCCTGCCAGCACCTCACATCCATGCCACCAGCCCATTCCTGACTATGCTGCCACTCATCTCTGTCTATGCTGCTCAATGCTGTCAACTTCTGCCCCCTGCCAGTACCTCATATCCATACTGCTACCCCATTCCCACATATGCCACCTGATGCCATCGACACCTGCCCCCTGCCAGTACCTCATATCCATGCCACCACCCCATTCCCATCTATGCCACATGATCCTGCCATGTGCCAGCCACTCCCATTGGCTGCCACTCAATGCTGCCAGCTTCTGCTCCACACTAGTGATTACTGCTCCCTGCCTGCTACTGCTGTGTCATGCCAGTGAGTTCTGCTGGCAATGCATGTTGCACTCTCCTCACTACCCCACACTGTCTCTATATGCAAAACTATGCTGACACATACTAGTGTATGTGGCCATATGCTTTTGCATCTTCACTGGCTTACCACTTACCACACTGTCAGATGCAAGAAAATGCCACTTTTGCCTCAGTCATGCTCAGATGGTCCTTGCCACTGGTACTCACCACTCCAGTAATCCACCTGGCATTTGGTGCAATGGCATATCATGTTTCCACCGTGTGCCAGGAGTTGCTGCTGTGTGCTGCTGTATGCCCTGGACATACTGTGTTGTCATGTTGGTCTGCCCTATGTACACAATGTAGATCTAGTCTGGGCTATGCTATATATGTCCCTATGACATGATGATATTCTATTTGAAGCCTCTCCATGTGACACCTAAAAATATAATTGTAGCCAATCCTGAATGACACATGACAACATAATCACAGCTGATCCCTATGTTATGGTGACAACTTGTAGGTCAGCTTGACCTCTGCTGGCTATGTCATACAGCCTAACTAGGTACATGGGCTCTTTCCTGCAACACATGGCACTCCAATATATGACAGGTAGATCTGATCTACACCTATTAGGCAGGTAACCACACAACACAATGCTACACTTTTGATAGTCACTTGATAGTCAAAAAAGCGGACACTACACTACACCTATTAGGCAGTTAACTACACAACACAATTGCTACACTTAGGGCAGTCTCTTGATGGTCTAGTAGTCAAAAAAGCGGACATAATACTACACTTATTACCAGTATTCCATAGTACTGACAGCCTGTGGTTCAGAAAAGGCCATTTTCGCAATTTTTAGCGGAGTTTGAATGGCTCTGCAGGAGTTTGAAATCATTGCCACAATCTCACATGTCCCCAGAACTTGGTATTGGACAACTGCAGGAAAAGTTGCACATGGTTTTCATTGTACAAAAGCAGAAGTTTTATATTACTTGGCAAAATTAGTGAAATTAGTGAAATACATGAAATAGTTGTTGAGGATTGGTGATTTTTTCACATTCTCCCTTAAATATATGACTCATGAATATCCTGAAAGTCCATTTGGAACACAATATCTCAGCAAGGTGTTGGCAAGTATGGCATTTATTGGTAAGTCAAATCCTATGAGTTTGCATCACAAGTGGACTAACCCCCAAAGGGGCTGCATTCAGTATGTCCTTGGGATGGTTGTCACATCCCAGCTTGATGAGTGTGGTGCACTGCTTCATGTATCCTCACTTGTGTGTCTAAGTGTTGCACATAGGGGATTCCAGTCCCTATCTACCACTCCAAAAACTGTGTTCCCATTCCAGCAAATATCTATGGATCTCATCACAGATCTCCTGGTCTCAGGAGAACAAAAATATGACTCCATTCTCATGGTTGTTGATCAGGGACTTACTAAAGCCACCCTGTTTGTTCTGTGTCACAAAACTATTGACTCTGTCAGGATTGCCCAACTCTTCCACCAATTCATATACTCCCATTATGGTATCCTGGAATCAGTAATCTCAGATTGAGGACCCCAGTTCACATTGTCCTTCATGAAGGAGCTGTACAAAGCAATAGGGGTCACCCCCAAGCTGTCCTCTGGCTACCACCCCCAAGCTGAGTTGCAAGCTATCAAGAAACTGGGGATACAAGGTATGGTACAGCTGTATAAATACCTCAGGACAAGAGTACCATACCAGTCACACCATTGAGGCAGTAAGTATCTGCAGCAGTAAACAATGAAACAGAAAAGAGTCATACAGTGTCAAAGATGGGGGTAGGCAAGGAAATGAAGGCTATACTGACTGTGCAATCAATGTGCAGCAAGGAGCCTGACACTGGAGCAAGAAGTAAATGATCAGAGCAACAAACATGAGTCAGAGATGAAATATGAAATTGACCATTCATCAGAGATGTGGGTGGAACACCAGATCACCTACAAGTGTGCAGCATCAGAGGGTATTGGAAATACCACAACTGCTGGGGATCCAAGGGTTCCATTGAGCATAGACATGCCCATAACAATGACAGTTATTAAGGATGCAAGGAGGCACATGACACACATGACCATGAGAAGTTGAAAAAGGAAAGACCCCTGACACAGGCATAACATCACCCCCCCTCTAAGGTCCTCAGACCCTTGAGGATGAGGCAGCTGCATTGGCAGGGTGGGCAGATAGGGGTCTGTGAGTAGTGTATGTGTGGGAGTGAGTACAAGCGATGACAGGCAATGAAGATGATGAGGGAGACAGCAGTTCTTCAAGGGCCAGAGTATATTTGGAGCCTTGGCTGTTATGACAGGACCAATGGCCCAAGTAATGGCACTGGAAGCAGGTGTGGGGGCAGAGAGGATGGCCATCGGGAACTGGAGTCTGTCCTCTGAGGTAGAAATGAAGTTGGTCAAGGGGGACTGGGACAAAAGGGGTAGCTGGGAGTGGATCAGATGCATGGATGGCATTAAAGTAGTGTTTATGGATTCCTGCCCAAGTCATATCCTGTAGTACAACCTCCCAAGTGGAGTTGTAAGTCCCAGTTCCGAGTTGAGCAACAATCTCTTTGTATAGTGTATTTCTGTCAACAAACATGAGCTCAAGATCTTGCCATTTATTTTCCTTTTCTTTATTCTCCAAGTCCATTTTGAGGACAGGCTTCTCTTCACATGGCTTGATGCAATCAAGAAGGTGAGAAGCTGGAGGCATGAGGAATTGCTGATCTGTTGATCATGAAGATAATGGTATGCTCCACCAGTGATGGCTTCTAAAACCTCTGAGTAGCCACATTCAAGCATGTTGATCATAATCACTTCCAACAAAGGGGCAGTGCCAGCAAGTTTCTGGGTGTGTATTTTTCCAATGCATCAACCAATTATGTCTGATGCTCTGTAGACTTCAGACAGCAACCCAAAATACTTAACTTGTTCTGGTGAGCACCCATCAATGTTGTCCCCTTTGTGGAAGATGTCAAGTGCCCTAACAATGTCTGGGTAGTCACTTGCTGCAATTGGTAGTTGCAGCTCATCATCCCTGGCAGTGGCAACACTTGCAAGGAGATCAAGGGCAGTGCAGTGGGCACCATCAGAGTAGGTTGTGAAGGTGGTGTGAAGGTCAGGAGTCTGGGGAGCATGGGCAGAACTGGTCGTGGTTCCTCTTTGATCAGTGTCATGGTCAATGACCTCTTTACCTTTACCCTTTCCCTGTCCCAACTGGTTACTGTCCCTTCCTTGAGGGACTCTGGCCTTGGGGACTGGTACTTGGTGGATTGAGAAACCCTGGTGTGGACACAGTCATAGAGGGTGGGCAACAGGGGAGGATGGTAGTTGTGAGATGGGGAACAAGGTGTCTGACTCAGGAAAGCAGGAGTTGGTGGATGAGGGAGGGGATGATGGATAGGTGGGCATGAGTAACCCAGGCCAGTTGGTTGCAGGGTCATAAAGGGATTTGCAGGGGAGGTCAGCATAGTCATTTTCTGTGTTGACCAAGTGGGGAGAGTCCATTTAATTTCTGAGATGGCAGGCAAGTTTGTACTGGTCAAGTGCTTCAGAAGCATGATCCTTTATATGTTCTTTGGGTTCCCAAGTATTTGACAAATGGGGAAACCCTTTCCACTTGACCAAGTATTTTCTTTTTCTGTGGTGAACATCAGTTTTGTGATTTATGATGGACTTAACCTCCCATTTGATTTCATCATCCACTAACTCAAGGAGAGGCACTGCAGGCACAGCACTGTAAGTGTTATTTTCAGTATACAGAAGGATGTGGGAGGCATGGAACACCAGATGAACCTTCCAGGTTGATGGCAACTCCAATCAGAATGTGACTGGGGATACCACCTGAGTCACCTTGAAGGGTCCAAGATGTTGGGGCACAATCTTGTCACACTGGTTTTTGATCCTGAGATGGCTGACTTCCAGGAGAACTTGATCTCCAACTTTCAGCAGTTCATAAGATCCTTTGCTGCACAAACACATTAGATCTTGTGCTTTCTTGTGCATGAGGATGGCAACATCCCAGTTTGATATGAGGCACTCCAGCCTTTCATCTACTAAGGGGATGGGGGTAAGACATTTTTCTGGATAAGGTGAGGGGTCATAGCCAAGAAGAAGGGAGAATGGAGTCATCTTGTGCACAGAGTGGATCTGGGAATTATGAGCAAACTTGGCTGAGGGTAACTTGGCAGACCAAGAATTTGAAGCCTCTGCACAATAGAGATGTAAGT